TTATATACCCACTATATTTCTGCGAAAACTTTAAATACTCCGCCGCTCTAACGGTCATGCCTTAATTTTGCGCGGATCGATGTTTCGCCCGCATCACCCCGAGCGCTGACGCACCCTCTCCCCCTCCCGCCCCCTCCCCCGCATCCCCCTCGCTCGAACGTGCTGTTTTCCACGTGCGTTCGTACATGCGTTCCTCGCGCGCATGTCTCGCCGCGATGCAAACGGATATACGATTCCGTAATCATCGGCTCAACCAGAGAGAGTACATCGGATATCGTGTAGTTCCGTCGACCAAGAGTTCCATGTAGTTTCGTTTTTTTCTTAACGAAGATCGGAAGTTGCGTTTCCGATATCGTCCTTTTCCCGGAGAGGGAATATTAAAATACGTAAAAAGGAGAAAAAGAGAGAGAGAGAGAGACGTGTTATAAATAATTTTGCTAATTATACAAGGATATTAATTTCTTGCAGAAAATATTACATTTTATAAATTTTGTTATATTACGGAATAAAATATACGAGCGAAGTAAAATATAATGGTATAATAACATTAAACATATTATTGCAATCCCTCTTAATGCGTCTCTTCTCTCTTAATACACGTTACATTATCCTTTTTAGTAAAATAAGAAAAATAACGTCATACGATTCGCACTGAGAAAATATCTGGTTACATTAATTAGAATTCTGGCAGATTCAAGCAGTATGTCTGTTGGAAAATGGACGAACTAGAATTCTAGGATTTACCAGATGAATCTGATTAATTTCTTCCTGTTAAATTTACCAAATTTTCTGGTTAATAATACTAAACTCACCAGCAGCACCAAGTCGTCTAAAATTTTTTCCATCTAATCTCAAAAGTCTGTTTAATATTCTGAATTCCAACAAAATTATTGGATAAATTCAATCTGGATTATTGAATAAATATTTATTAAATATTTAATTATTTTAAATTCAGTTTGTTAGAAATTAAACTGATAAACAGCGATGCAAAAAGAGGATGCGGCTCAAACACACACAATCAGAGAGTTAGCGTCCTCTCTCTGGCACTACTGCTCGTAAGAGAAAAAAAATATACTTGGGATTTAATGTTAATACTAGTTCTTTATATACATTTTATGGCAAATATTGAATACGAGTCAAGTTAAGAAGCAAGCAAAAAAATTAATGTAACAAGAAATTTGATAGATCCAACCAGAAAATACTAATCAAATCCTCATAAAATCTATTAAACGTTCTAGTTGTAAAAAATCGAGTCTTATCATGATAACTAGAAATTCTTGTTTGATTTAACCAAAATGCCTTCAATCTACGTCTTGTTGGTACAATCAAACGATTTTTCTCAGTGCGGGAATGTTTTTTATTCGACGGAAAGATGGAAATCTTTAGGGTAATGTCCGCTGTTAAAATAAAAACAAATCGTGCAACAATTTTCTAAGGGAAATACTCCCCTCTCAGCATCACCTGAGAACGATATTGCTAATTTTGCGAAACGGAATTTCCACATGGCACGGAACGGGATCCCGGAGTCTTGCCAGTATTACCTCGGGCGATGAGAGACGCTCGATCCCGCTGTTTTCCACGTGTATTGTCTCGCTCGTCGGGGCTCTCTTCGCGAACGCACGGTTTTCGTAATCTGCAATTTCGCTCGCAGCGACCTGCTTCTCCCATAAGTCGACTCCGTCAGCGCGTGCATCGCGATTATATCCAGAGAAAAATCGCGAACGGAGAAGCGGAGCGGAGCCGCGAGCGCCTCGTGAGCGTGGATCGATCGTGGAACGTCATTCGCGAGGTTTTCGATGGCGCGAGAGAGCGCGGCCGGGATATCGATAAATTTCCTACCGCCTCATTATTCTCGCGATACCGCGAACGGTGCGAGGAAACGATAGCCTCCCGGCCCGTTCTCTTCCTCCTTCGTCTTTATTTATTCCTCCCCGGGCAATTAAGTTTTTATCGTATTCATCTTCTTCGCTATCGCTTCGCAGCGGCGGCTTCTCGCGTGCTATTCTTCTTATGTGCATACGAGACGTGTACGTACCATACGTTAAACCGCGCGAGGCTCTCTCTTCGCGAACAAGAGGAGAAAGAGGGAGAGAGAAAAAAAACAATTTTAGGGCGCGTATAAATTCGCATGCGTGCCGCGCGTTCATCTCGCACGCATGAAATATCGTCGTCCTCGAGAACGCGGCGGAGACGATTGTGCGACGTGCATTATGTATGTGCGTACGCTGGAATATTTATTGTATCCTCCGACGCGGGGATAACGTTTTAAGGCGATTCCGAGCGCGCTCGAGAGTACTTTGTTTCCCCTCCTCCATTACTCCCTTCTTTCTCGCGGGTGTACCTGTAACCACCGACATTTCCTCGGTTTATTTTCTTCGTCACCAACGAGGAAAATAGCATCTTGTTACGATGCTCTGTTCGCTTAAGCGCTTTATCAAAGAGGGATTGGAAAAATTGCTGCTCTTCGAGCCACACCAGGAAAGGGAGAAAGAAGCAAGTGCAAGGGTGTAACCTTTGGGGGGAGGGGGGGATGGCCGTTGGGAATGCGGCAAGAAGCAACCGGGAAACTGCCGAGAACTCGTTACGTCTATTTGAGAATTTTCCTCATCCCTCTCCCCGCTTTCCCTTGCTCGCTCGCTTTTTTTGCGTATTTCTTACTCCGGTCTCTGTTCCCTTCGCCATTGGCGAAACGATCAGGTGACTGTAAACTCTCCCTCCTCCCCTCCCCTCCCCCCGGTGCTCTCGCGCTTTTCTCATCTAGCGGAGAGTATTTCGCGGTGTCATTTATTCGCATCGGTTGTCGATCTTCCTGTCAATCCGCGCGACTTAATGGCTCGCCGGTCGAGAAACAATCGCGAAAATTGCGATAGGATAAACGAGAGAAAGGGAGATTTTTTTTTTTTTTCACTCTCGAAACGCGAAATTCAGTTAAGTCACGTACGTTACCGGTACCGGCGGTATGGTTTCTTAAAGTGGCAAACACATCGGGCCTTTGAAAAATTTACGCTCGTCGGGACACGCATCGGGTGTTTCCTCAAAGTTACGTTTGGAAAAGGAACGGTTCGAGAGCGACGGAATCATGAATCCCTTTTTCAAAGGCATCGTATCGAGTTTCCGCTTCCTCGCAAAAAGAGCGGAGCCGCGTCGAGAGGTCGGCAAATAAAAAAAAAAAAAATCGCATTTCCGCGCACCGGCTTCTAAATGTAAACGATCCTTTACCGCCGTCGAGAAGGAGGAGACACACGAGCGCCTCGAATTGGCCGGATTAAAGGATACACTGGCGAAAACGCGGCGCAATTTGTTATCGTTTGACACGCGAAGGTGGACGGAATAATTTGATTATTTAAATCGGACACGATCTTATTCTCGGCCGCCTCGAGACGCTTAATTAGCGCAACGTTCTTCTCGTGATAGTGCTTGCGTTACTTATCCGAAGCTCTCGTATCCGAAGCGCCGCGAGATAACAAGACAATGCCAACGTCGCGGTTTCATGTGATGATGCAGTGTTTCCTACGCGAAGCTTTCATGATGCGAGAAGAGTGTCAGCAGCATCAAAGGGTTCGCGGAGAGAAAGGGAGGAGAAGAGAGAGGGAGAGAGAGTCAGCGCGCGACAGAGTTATGAGAGTTGAAGAACTCCACGCGACCCAGAGAAGCCGGGGGGATTGAGTACATTTCAAAGTTTTCACCGGCGCCGGAAGTTGGTATAGAAAGCAGATGGTCGACGGTTGACAGGAAGGATATGCGGTTTTCCACACATGTCATCGTGGTAACTTCCGCCTTCTTATTCACGCCTTCCATGCGAGATGCACGCGACGCTGACGGGACAAATTCGTCGTTTTCCATCATTCGTTCGAAACGCGAATGGACTTATAAACTCGGATGAGTCGACACACAAGTACTCGATATGTCTAGAAACAAATAGGTTAACGTTTATAATTAGCAATGTTAACATAATAATTATCGGCGATGTTAAAGATGCTTGTTTGAATAGTATCTCTAATCGGTCTTTACAAGTAAAATCATCAAATTATTTCTTCTCGGATAATAACGTACGTAAATATCAAAATGACTGCTTCATACGCTGTAATTCGATAAAATGATGTTTGTTCGTCAATTCGTAAGGGTACCATTTAGAAATGAAGTCTATCATTTGTGATCGTCTCGTATTTTCCATTTTCCTCAATTTCAAATGTTGTGTTGTTAAATTTTTGCGCTCCAGTTCACGCTAGCTGACTCATGTGGTTTTCGCCTTGTCCATTAAAATTTTTAACTTTTCCAATTAATTATCTATCATCGCGTACAATTATTTGTTCATATTTTCCCTCGCTAATTAGACATTTCCTTGATAATTAAATAGAAACTAGAAAATTAAAAGAATTAAATAGAAAAAACGTACACTGAATGGTAAAGATTCAAAATTCTATATTTGACGATCATTTACAATAATTTAAAAGTATATAACAACGACATACATATGGCGCAAAATAACATTATGCACATTAAAACAAATACTTATGCGCATGTTTAAAAAAAGAATAGGATACTTGGAAATTGATGTGTTAACGATATTTATTGTTATCAAGTAATGTGCATATAAATAGTGATAAATTTCTTTTTTTTTTTTTTGTATACGATATATTAAGGAAAATCAATACATTTTAATATAGCGAATGCGATAATCTTATCTAGAATTTATAGATAAGAAGTTTGTTAGAAAAAAAGACCGGATAACTTTGAAGGAATTTGATTGAATTGATATGAGTTATCAAATATTTTCTTAACATTAAATATTTTCTTAATTCTTAATGGGCAATTATGGTTTGAAAGACTTGTAATATTTAATTTGCTAAATTTCAAAATTTTACATGTATCATATCTAATAAATCATATATGCATTTATTATATGCATCTTTTATTAAAGTAAATATTTTTCCAATTCTTGAAAATAATAAATTTGTAATTTTGTGAAAAATTCAAAATTGCATAAAGAGCTTGCATACATCTTAGAAATTTCATACATTTGATACATTTTAGAAATTTTTCAAAACAATTTGCGCATATTAGAATCCTGGTATCTAATTATAATATATAATTTACTTTTTCCCAACGTTTTTTCTCAAGTTTTCGGAATCGAACAATCAAACTCTTCTCATTTCTTTCATCGGCTTAATTATTCTTAAGTATTTATCGCAGTGTTGCTACAAAGTTGTTATATAATTATATATAATATGTTATTTTTTTAAATTTATATTCCGACTTGCATAAAATAAGCTGTTAATTTAAACATCCTCCTTGTACAACGATTGTTTTTAAACAATTTGCTTGTACAGTAGAAATTGTCGATAAGACGATAAGACAGATAAACTTGTTTTGACTTCTCAATTTACATAACAAAATGTTTGATACGATGACTAAAATTAATCTAATAAATTGGCAAATATGCTTCGATTTTAATGAAAATCTTTGATTTATAAAAAAAATTGATTATTTCATATTCTGATTAACTTTACAATATATTTTCATGTATAAATACTATATATTTCATTAATATTCAATGATAAATTTGAGACTTAGACATTTCAAATTATCATTCGAACATTAACTGTCTTGAGAAGTAAAACTGTCTTGTACAAAATAAAACCTCTCCCTTCAAAACAAAATTAATTGCTTAGAGATGCGCTTTCAAAACATTACGACAGAGTTAGAATAATGTAAGAATATTCTTACATTCTGTGGATCGTTCTATCACACTATCACGTTCACAGCATTCTCGCGTTGCATCTAATCATCCAAGACGATTGTTTAATAAATATAAGATATGATGGCCACTAGGAGCGCGAGTCCACCTATGAGCAGATAGAAGGGTACGCTGGATCCGCTCTTCTTCTCCCCCGTTTTTGTGTATCCCGCCACCCAGCCCTGCTTTGGCGATTGATTCTTTCTTTCCGACTCGACGACCTCGCCAACTTGATACTTCTTCATCAGCTCCATAGCGTCGTTCGAATGCCCGACATCGTCAAAGTTCTCGGAGGCGTCTGTGCCTTTGTGATCCAGCAGGATCTCTTCTCCGCCCGGATGCTCGTTGAGAAAGCTGTGAACATTATATACTTTGTCGTGCAAGATGAACAGCATAGTATCCTTTTCGTCGTTCTTCTCGACTTGACGTCTCGTGAATTGTTTCGTCATGTTTCGTTGATGTTTCGCTTTATTTTTCCCTTGTGTAGTCGACCTAAAATAGAGAGCAATATTAGGATCGTTAATTATGCCGAGGAACAAGACTTGAAATACGTCTATTATTTTTTTTTTTTTCGTGTATAAAAATAACATGTGACGGAGATTGTCAATTGGGATTCTCTGTAACACTTGAACTTTATCGCTTGGCACGTGTAACAAATATAATAAATCAAAGCGCGATCGTTAAAATACACATATGACGATTGGCAACATATTATTATTTGAAAGATTGTTGCGTTAATGATTCTAGGGATCAGAGGAGACTGTAGGAAGATCTCGTACATGATACATACATATAAGAATGTTACGCACGCTGACGTTTATGAAAAACATCAACGAGTCTGATATAATCAAGTCGAGGCCAGTGGAGACTGATTGCGTAACGAGCACTAGAAAGATTATTGTTGTACAGTAGACCACGTTATAAAATTGCTTTCTGACCGGTCTCATGGGATAAAAAATTTCATTATTATAGCGTTAATGACATATCTTTACAAATGATGAATTGCAAATCACTTTAAATACCAGATAATAACAAACTCACGCAATCGCTACAACTCGGGCCATCAGTTCATGAAAGCATTCTTTATGTTTATTAAAAATATTAATTTTATCGCCGTCTCGATCTGTAAATCGAAGATTTCCGAGTATTCCGTGTTAGACTCGAAAGATTTGGAACTATTAATAGATTTTCTCCGAAACTTTCACATTCGGGCGCTATGAATAATTTCCTATTACGCGAAGATTACAGAGGAAGATATTGAGCAAAGATTTTCTCAAGTGAGAACTTCATTCCCGAGAGAATTTCCGAGATGCGGAAGTTATATTTTTATTTTACCTGTATTTATCATCGAAAGAGAGATTAACATTACTTTGGAATAGTCACAATTTCGAATCAATCGTAATCACAGTCATTAAAGAGTTGGAGAAATAATGTCTTCCTCTTCCCACAATACAATCAAACTTTATCTGTGCGCGCGCAATTCAGTAGTTAGACGCTTTCGTTTGCGAAACTTGATGTTTTCCTGACAAAATACCGATTCGAAACTTCAAACACGTCTCGAACGCAAACACTCGCTCGCGAGTAGAGAGATCATCATCGACGAGAGATATCTCTGGCGAACAAACAAGATACGAATTCGAGAAGTGGCATTGGATCGATAAGATCCCTCTACGCGTTTTCTTCTCGACCTGGTCGTGTCGAATCGTTCTCTCTCTCGGGAGCTCGTCCTCCAACGGAATTCGCCGATCGCTTCGAACATACCTCCACTTGCCTCGCTCTCACGAATAGAGGTCGACCTTCCTGGAGGAAGGACGCGATCAGGCGTTATCGAGTTCGTTATCGTGAGAGACGTGGGTGCGCTAATCGTTGATCTCAGCTGACGATGATGTCGCGCCGGGAGCCACTCGCTTCGGAGCCGCACTCGCGTAAACACTGCGAAATCCGGCTTGTTGACCGTATAGCTTTATGATCCCCCTCTTCGTGTACGCCACGTCGTGTCTTCTATTCAACCCCACTGTTCCGTCTGCTTGCTGCAGCGTTGCCAACCGCGTAATCCTAAAAGATCTTACGCTGCTCCCATGTTCATGAGCTGAGCATAAATTCACTGCGTTAAAGTGTGATTGGCTCGAGAAAAAATAGAATCAGAAAAATTGTAAAAATTATAAAATTTGTCACATGTCTCTCTTTCTCTTTCTCTATCTCCTGTCATTCTTGATAACGAGACCTGATAGTGAAATTGAATTGTATCAGAATCCTATTTCAAGAGGTTTCCAATATCAGATGGCGCCAGCCATGGATGCTTGTTGATTGTATAGTACGTATGTGTTTGGAGCATTTATGTAGGAATGGCACTGATAAAGTATCCGTTACAAAATGACTATTCTTCTTACAATGTGTGAATTCACTTTTGTGTTTGTTCGGTTTGTTCCCTAGATTATTCGTTGACAAAGCAAATTTATCTGATTTGACGCTTGTGTAAAATATTCCAAAATATCAATACATTATTCACATATTTTCAAAAGAAAAATGATACTTTATCATGCATAGAACTCTCATAAACTAGGATATTCTCTGCTTATCTTAGAAAATATGGAAATCAAATAGATGAATCTAATAAATACATTCGGGTCATATTTAATCTGATATAAAGATCTGTATAAAGATCGAAAAATAAATTATTTATCATATCAATGACGTAATTATCTCCAACCGATCATCGATAATATACACCCACGATTAGAGTGTATCTCTTATAATTTCTATTAAAACTCCATTAAAAGTTGTATGCATGTAATATGAATATTATATTAGAATATTACATTTCCTTGGAATTTTTTATCAGGTAGCTTATACCATTTCCATTCCTGTAGATTCGCGTATTATGTAGCATGACGTTCGATTCATATGCAAAAGCGTCTAGTCACGGTGACGCCGTATATTTATCTACGTGCATGTCGCAGAAAGATAAGCGCGATAGTCGAGTTGGTCGATCGACAGAAAATCTACACTCACCAGAGACACACAACTTACAATATATGTGTATAAAATCGATATATCGATATATTTATTTATTAGATTCCCCGCGACAAATACTTTTAGCCAATAGTAACGTGATTATTTGCGTCTATTATTAAATTTATTAAGAAAAGTTTTATTTTCTCACACGTACACATACACGCGCGCATTCGGTATTTCATAATGTTTGTTCCGACGAAATTCAATATGTAATAAATACTTGTTATAACGATGCATTTTAGATAATGTTAAATGCTAATATTTTTTTCAATATGTACATTTCAAATATAAATTTTTAATATTGCATGCACAAGTGCAAGGTTGTCAGAATTAAAGACTAAAATAAAAAGAGTTACATATGTAAAATGTACAGGATTTTTGGAATCGTTTCTTTGAATATATATTTTTGATTTTATTACAAATTACATTACAAATGCATAAATTTAATTATTGAAACGCAGCAATCTAAAATTATTTTAAACAGATCTCATAAGTATCTTTGATTTACTCATCTGATTTATATAATTTTTGTTTAATTATCTTTTACCGGAATATTACAAAAATACTTGTTTACAATTTTGCAATAAACGCATCCCCTTTAGCGTAGAATTTAAGAGAAACAGTTTTATAAAGATAATAAATTAAAGATACTAAATTACTTGAGAAACTTAACAATAAACACAAATAGAAACAAGAAAATTTTACAAACTTATTTTCGATAGAACTTCGTATAAAATTTTATATATAAGATTTTATATAAGATTTTGTTAAAGTTGACTAATTGTATTGTGTACATGTATATGAAATGTTTCAAGTTACATATTTTCATAGTAATAGAAGAATATAATGGCATAAACTGCAATAGTAATATACAAGAACACCATAATCGAGGACGTTTCTTTTTTTTGTGGTAACTGGTAATCGTAGTTTGCATCTGTTTCATCTGCTTAAACAAAAAAATATTTCTAAGTATAGTGACGAATGCTTTTCATTTTAAGGCAGCAATAAAATTATTGTAATAATTATCTTTGTGTAATAGTTGTTGGATTATTAATACACATTATTTGTCATCTTATCGTTTATCGTAATCACAATATTAGGCTTTTTTGAAAGAAGATACAGGCAAAGATATACGTATGTATTTATTTTGAAAAACTGCTAATTTAATAATCGTGTTAAAAACAAGAATCTGATATATTTTATATGAAATACTGAAATTAAATTTTTATTAATATCTATATATAATAATAATCTATAAATTACTAAAAAATCTCTATATATATCATAATAAGCTCTAAATTTTTATCATAGATTTTTACTCGATTAAAGATATAATTGAAGTAGAAAACAACTTGTTATCACACCTGCATTAGTTGTCGATTGAGCCTTGCTCGTTATCTGGGTTTGAGCGCTCTCATTCGTTACTTCTCCGATTTTATACTTTTCTCGAAGTAGTTTCGCCTCTTCGGAATGACCGATACTATCGAAACATGCTGTTCCATCTTGCCCTGCTAAATCCAACAATACCTCTTCACCTCCAGGATGTTCCGTCATGAACGACGTGAGATCATAGACATATCCGTGTATTATTATCCACAAATCCTCAGCACTATCGTGCACAGCAACTTCCTCCGTTGTGTATTTATTCATCGTGATTCAATGCTAAGAAAGAAAAAGAAATTATTTATGAAAAAAGCCGACACTGAAATGTAACTGCTAACTTTTCTTTCGAACAGTTTTCAGCCGAATCGTTTTTTTTTTCTTTGTTTTGAATCACTTTTATACAAGATATCACTTTTGTATAAAAGTTCCCTCGCTTCGCTTCACCTTGGAGCAACGCACGTGCGCGATGTATTTTGATGTCCGAGATCTCGGTTGGATCGTGTGCTTTGAATGGCACTTTGAAAGGGAAAACAGATCGCGTATGTCGGGCACAGATGAGTTTCTCGACGGTTCAGGTCTCGCTTCGTTCTCCTCGAGCGATCGCGAAGTTACTGCTCGGCTTCGTTTCTTTTCATGTCGCGAATATCGGTGGCAAGAGACAGGTTTCTCATACCATCGCGTATTTACATTTCACGTTCTTCCGAACGGTCATTAATATTTGACGAACTTTCGCGTTTTTTGGCCTAAATATATTGCCAATATCGAGTGGTTTATAGGTTATTTATTTCAAGGTCCTTATATATCTTCGTTCATATTCAGGCTGATATAGGACAGTCCGTTACTCTTTCGCTTTTATTAATATTCTTTTAATCGATATTATCAATTTCAGTCCGTGTGAATAGGAGGATCCGTCAAAAGTTTTGTGGTCTCCATCGATCTAATCTATTCGCGATTTCAAAAAATATAAATTTTAATCTAATCTTGATGTCGAGCACCTCGGGATATTTTTCAAAAAGCTTGAAACTATACAATGTTTTGGACTACAATATATCGATTTGTAAGGTCGGGGATCTCGCTTATCCGAGACGGAATCTGCGCGTTCGAGTTTTTATTATAATATTTACATAGGTCAAATCCATGTAAGGAATTTATGTTCGGAGCTCACCTGATTTTGAAAAAGATATCTCGAAAGAGACGATAGTGACATGTCCTTGTACGCGACTTGAATGTCGGAAGAAATGTATATCACTTTACAGTCACTATGATGGTAATCAAGCCAACGACTGATCCAATCTCTTTCCCGGCGATAACTGCGGTATAATACAGAGATTCACGCACATAAACCACATGATCTCATGAAAATGCATTAAGCATTCTTATTCGACCAATAATGATGCCGCAGAATTCAGACACACGATAGATGATAATGTCAGAAATTGAATATGGATGATCGTTTATTGCGAGAACGTAATTTTGTCAAGCTATTATATTTATAAATATGTTATTATTTTGCTATCATTTTCAAAAATCATTTTACAATTTGTTGAATAATTATTTTAGAATATTATTTTATTTTAATCTCTCTTCATAATTAGATTAATTGCAAAATTGTCGATATCTCGTACGATTTTATATTTAAATCATCCTTGAATTTAAATGTCTTCCGTGGCAATTAGCAACTGATGAAAATTGTTTGTCAAAGAGAAACGTATAAATAAATAAAGGTCAAAGCCCGAAAATAATTCGTTCAGGAAGAACTCGTTTACAGCTAATGAAAGCTAAGAAAAACATAATAAAGGTCGAGCATGATATTCAAAGTCGTTAACTCGTATATGGTTGACACAAATGTCGAAATTAGTATTGAGCGATATTGTCGACGGGTTTAGCGTTTACGTAAGTGCAGCTGCCGGCTCGAAACTTACCGTGGGGATGGAAGTTTGTCGCATTGAATTGAATAGAGCGATTCATGTTTAGATTAGTTCATCACGCCGCTCGTAATACCGTGGAAGTTTGCAAACTCCAGACTTGTGCCACGGATGCCACTGCTGCGGAGGACTGTTAAGCAAATGCGAATTTGGGTGCAATGCAGCTTATTCTCACAAAGCCGTGTTCTCCTATGGTTATCCCGCCACTTGGAGGACTTCGAGGTCCTTTGGATGCGCTCGCGTCGACTTGCCATAAACCTGTTAACACTATTATCCTTTATTTTCGTTTCTATAAAAACTTTTCTTATCTCTAATCGCACATTTTGTGCAAATGTGTGTTTTATTAGTTTTTTTCTCTCGTGTATTTTTTATTATTTTTTTTTATTTAAATCGTGATTTTGAACGGTTTGAATGTGAACGCGATGTAAAAGTTATCTCCCTAAAAATTAGCTTTCTCCGCTTTTTATATCGTTTTATATTGTATAAATATAAATGTCCAAAGTTTACGTGCGCGGGATGGCATGTATTACTTCAAGTTCGCGGCCTTGAAACTTTGGGAAACTATTAATTATCTTCGGCTCTTGAATATTCAAGAAAAGTCACCTCGCGGAGAAAGTCTCGGGATTGTGTGGAAAGTTTCGAAAGTCCTGAAACTTTTGGAAAATTGAAAATCTATACAGGGGAGGCGCGCTTCGAAACGATCGAGATTTCGTGCGCTTATTACCGGGTCTTTTCGTTATAACGTATCGTTCACTTAATGTTCGTATCCGAAAGGTATTCTCTTTCCATCGCGCAAAAGCAATCGCAAAATCTCTCCCGAAGCGCGCACTCTCTTCAATGATGCAGCCTACGCTGCTATTTATGGCACGCTGCCTCTTTCAAAGGACGATCGATCTACGTTGTTCTTTTCAAGTTTACCGATATCGAATGTCAGAGGATAGAAGTCCGGGCCAGGCGAGCGGAAGTTTCTTTCGAGAATTCTCCGGGATGCCTTGTTCGCGAGAAACGCGAGTCAAGAAGCACTACAACGAGGGGAGCTTTCATCTTCGCCTTTTATTTTTCTCTTCCTCCCGAGCTTCGTCGATTAATTATCAAAGTCGCGCTGCCAGCTCCTCCCTCTGATAAGTCTTACTTTGGCATTACTGTGTATAAATAAGACGCTTACTGCTCGTAAACGCGCGAAAGATATATTTCCGACTAGTTAATGAAAACTTAATGTCACGATACACATATATTCGCAAATGGAAATGAAGAAGGAAATGAAACGCAAGCGTGACATTATTCAAAGAACAAATGTAATGTAATGTGTATGTACATATATATATATATATATATATATATATATATATATATATATATATATATATATGTCGCGAAAATACAATTCAATCAATTTTATCAATCCAAATTGAATGATCCTGTCGCGCGTATAAGAATCTCTGTTTATTTCCATTTCTATCACGCGAGCGAGATTAATCCATCTGATTCGAACGCCCACGTATCGTTTGAATTAATTAATTTGATTAAAATCATATTTATAACTCTTGCCGGAAGCGCAAAGTGTAACGTATAAACTGGTGCGTAATGTCGTGTCATCGATTTTTTTTTTCGAATCTCGATAGAGGCAGAAAAAACTCTACATATGTTATACAATTTTTTTTTATTTCTCTTAATTTAAATAAATTCCATTGAGCAATTACAGACACGAGGAATATTTCTTCTTGTTTGCCATTTATTCGTCAGCGATCAGATATCGCCGACCTTAATTTTCACTGAAACGAAGCGAGATGCGAGTGCTGTCTTGTCTTCGCTTTCTCGAAAAAAAAAAAAAAAATGCATGCAATTTTTTTCCTCGTGAAACTGAGAGGATTAAACTGCCAGAGTATAAATTGCATTTGTTTTCTTCCTTTCTTCCTCTACTTTCATATTCCCTTCTCTCGAGTCTATCATTTTGGGATTAACGCCGCATCCAGACCCCTGTTGCCGAACGTCTGCATCGGAAACGTTTGAATGGACCTGTACCAGATTGGTAGAGGATTCAGATAGGAGAGAGAGAGAGAAAGAGAAAGGGAATTGCTTTGATCTGCGTAATTAAACGGCGCGATTTCTCCGCACAATACCAATGGTTGCCGGACACACACTTTGTGTACATACACGTGGACTAGATCGTTATCTGTTTTGGATATTTCGCGTTTGAGCGCACAGCTGTCGATATTATCGGCAATTTTTCGCTTTTGCGTTATTCGCATCAAAGCCATCACCGGATGTCCATCCTGTATATACGTACGTCATTGTCTGTCGGTTTTCATCGTCCTGTACTCGTATAAATGTAATACCTTCGCGTAACAGCAGCGCAACATTTCACAACGCGTCTATTATTTGAAAGTTTTTTACGGACGTCGATTATCAGTATTTTTTTTTCTACGCTTTACGACGTGGACGACAAGTCGAAACTAGCCGAAGAAAGATTTGAGGAACCACCCCGACTCGCTGCACTTAGTCGTCTCGACGTAGCGTGATCGCGATCTGAGGTAAAGCGGTCTCGGGTAGACTGTTAAGCGACTATCAGCACGCGATCTGACCATTGTCGTCTCGAGGTATTACTTGGAAAGTCTCCGCGGCAAAAAGAACGGGGTGCAGATTAGCGTAGCGAGTACGAAAACATTTGAGCAGGTCGTTAACCAAGGGTGGGTGAGAGTTGGAGAGTGGGATAGACTCGAAAAAGTAGACAGACTCGCGTTATCGCACTCGCACGTTTGTACTGACGTGTAATTAAAAAGAGCGCACCAACTCGTTAAACTTATTAACTTTACGAAGCTGAACAAGAATTTGTAAGATCGTCAATCAATAGCGAAAGAATCGGCGAAAGAAGATATAAAATCAAGTGTAATCTAGAGAATCATATGTAAAAGAATTCTTTGATATCCTCCGCATCCAGACCCCAGAATAAGCACAAACTTTCTCGTAGAATCGTTATCTACTCGAATTCTTTCAACTTCTCGACCGTGATGCAAGTTCCCGGTATCAATTCCCTCTTTTCGATGCAAATCGATACGCGAAAAAGTTGTTCGGAATCTATCCCGATCCTCTTGAGTGGCTGTCGTACAACGTCGTCTAACGCGCCCGAATATCTTTTATGTTCCAGAAAACCGGAGCCAGGATCAAGATCTATTCCAACACCTGCCCCCGCAGCACGGATCGCCTCATCAGCATCTGCGGGAAACCCACGACGTGCATCGAATGCATACGCGAATTGATCGCCACCATTAAGACCGTAAGTATCTCGCTCGAGAGATCATGACTTTCCTATAAATCGAACTGTTACATCCACCATGTACGAGAGAATGCAATCCTCTTTGTTTGGCGCGGATGATTTGTTTCGTACCTCCTTCTACCACCCATACAAAGTGTATGTCTCGATATTCCATTTATACACGTTATTCTACTCTCATAAATGTATGAAAAAAAAAGGTTCCTTCAAGCTTTTTACGAAAAATATTCGCTCTACTCGCACATCCGTAGTCTATTACCCAGAGAAGAGAAATAACACCGTGCTTTTATTTTCCAGTCACCGTTGAAGGGTGTCAACAACCCTTACGATCCGCACAACTTTGACGATTTCTACGCCGACGATTACGGTGGCTATGGCAACGCCGATGGTAATCAGGGCAAGGTCGGTGGATTCGGCGGACCTGGTGGTCGCGGCGCTGGTGACGGCAGCGCCGGAGGCGCCGGAGGTGGCGGGATGCCACCTCGACGCGACAATCGCGGCAGCGGTCCTGGTGACATGAACCGCGGCTTCCCACCGCCATCTAGAGGTGGTCCACGCGGCGGAGGGATGTCCGGAGGCCCGCCGGATCGTGGATACGGCGGTAACTCGCGCGTAGGTGGAGGCGGAGGGATGTCTGGTGGCCCACCGGATCGCGGATACGGCGGTAATTCGCGCGTAGGTGGCAGCGGCGGAAACCGAGGCGGGCCGCCGTCCTACGGCGGCGGAAATTACAATGGTGAGGGGGAATTTTTTTTATCGATAATGCGTAAAAGTGCGATGATCAAAGGAACATCTTGATTCTTAACGTTTTCATCGAGGGAGAAATGTTTTTAATCGCGATAGAAAATATTAAAATACCGTTGGAGATTAAGATTCTGATGAGATACGGATAACAAACATTCCGTTAAATTGTCGTATGTCGTCGAAATGTATATTCGGGGATTCGCGTAACATTCGTGAAACACGAGTCCATTAATGTTTCTTTTGTCGCAGGTGATGGATGGGGAATACAAGGAGGCGCGCCTAATGGCCTAGGTGGCGGTGGTAACTTGGGAATGGGTGGCCCACCTATGGGTGGAAACAATCAAGGCAACCAGGGCAACATGAGCGGAAACAAGACCAGTACACAAGTCACCATTCCCAAAGACGTAAGTTGATTAAGTTAATATTTATCATATTTATTTCTATATTCTTGAGGAAGAAATATAATGTTTAACCATGATCGCGGTATCTCGGATTGAATTGTACCTGCTCTTAGATTATATCTTAAAGTGCGAGAAAAGCCTGATTTACGAAATTTTATTCTTGTTTGCAGTTGGCTGGAGCTATAATTGGCAAAGGCGGTGCGCGAATCAGAAAAATCAGGTCCGACAGTGGTGCTGGAATAACTATAGACGAGCCACTGCCCGGGAGTAACGATCGTATCATCACTATTACCGGGATTCCCAGTCAGATACAAATGGCCCAGTACCTGCTGCAGCAGAGGTAATTATTACGGCATACATTCTTATTATATACTTAATGCATAGCTTTTCATTTCATATTAACATTAAACGCTATCCTTATATCACATTGGCAAAACTTGGAATCAAACACACATTTACTGTCAAATAGCCGCTAAATAAAGATAGGAGATTACATTACGAGGCATCGATATTTATAGCGCAACACATTTAACGTGTATATCGTCCTTTTAGTTACGCGATAAAAATTGTGCGTTATAAAAGTTTATAATACATAATATTGTAATATATATATTGTATGCGCCGCTATTTTGTTATTATGATTTTGCGAAACTTCGAAAAAAATCTTTGATAATGATATAGAATATTTATATTTTGTTAAAATAAAATCGAAGAAAAAGGGAAAAAATTCACATATATCTATCATAAATTTGAATTTTTCAAAAAGTATGAATAATTTTAATAATTTTAATAATTGATGAAACACATGTTGTAAGATAAAGTTAATTTATATGTAATGCATAATTAACTTGTGAGTGATACGCATCTTGGCATACAAACTCTTCGATTTTATATGGCCTGTCCTATCATCGGAATATTCTTCTCTATCGTTCTCGCACGATTCTTCGTATTTCGTCCGCTTATAACCGGCATCGTCGCCATCGCGTCATCTCATCTCACCTCTAGGAATTAAAACAATCCGACTAACCAAACACACGGAGGCGAATGTAACAAACTCGCAATGGTGGAGGAGGAATCGAGACGGAAAGAAAGAGACGAACGAAGAAAGGAGAACGACACGCCAGAGAGTCTCTAGCCCAGCATGAGGGAAAATGGAGCACCGTTGTATGGAAGACTAGTGATTTTGTTGTTCTACTTTCGATGTAACAAGGAATCACTAATCATCCTACAAAGGCGCTTACAAACGTCGCCTCCCCCGAGATCTGCTTTCGGAACTAACATCATCCCCGCTACGCCTCGTTTGCTCATCGACGCGCCGTAATTTCGCTCGACTAAAAGTAGCGCCCTTTATAACAAATGTGCTTATATAATAATCGAGTAGTGGCTATGAAGAAGTGATGTAACATTTTATTAATATCCGGATCATTTTGGTCTCCTGATAACATAATTCATTTCTACTCTTGACGTATACTAATATATGATTGAAGCTTCGAGCGTTATTATCACTGCGTCATTATTCTTTATATATTTATAAGATCGAGCTGATACAGCTCAGATATCATTAAATTAAAGCTTTTCATATCACAGTTCGTTTAATCTCAACTTGCGCAACGTGAGATGCTTGCATTCTTATCTTTTTGCATTTTTATTTAATCTCCTTTGAAAAATCTCTAGAAAATGGCTTTCCTAGCGAGAAAATTCGAGTTAATATATCAAAAATTTTAATTAATATATTAAAAATAAGAAAAATATGTATAATATATACGCTACGTGTTATGTATCATTTCAATTCCTCTCATTTTTCTTCCTATTGTATCAAATTCTGATTTTCTCATCGGCTTTTGATTAAACGAAAATTTTGTTACTTTTTCTGTTTCAGCGTGCACGAGAATGCAGATCATTACTAAGCCATAGGTGCATTCGGGGGAGGGGGAGCCAAAGATGCGTTTTTGTAATTTTTTTTTAGAAATATTTCTTGGGTAAACATGTAAACGCTGAGGAAGTGGAAACTGAAACAAGTACACACATGCACCCACGGAAACAACTTCCGGCAGAGCGCTGTGCGCAGAAGGATGATCTGTAGAATTTATACATATACAAATACACCACACGTGAATCACCCTCTCCCAGAAAGAGAAACGCTTAATGGTCTATGCTAACGTGACCTTGATGTAGCGAGATATCATTCTCAAGGATGGTAATCGCCCATCGCCGCCTGCAAAGTAAATTGATCTACGAATCGAGTATCGCTAACATTTTCGATGTCGGCCTTTTTTTTAGTATAGAACTCTCTTATTGGTATCGTGTCCGAAGCACATACACACATACCCTGTCAATGTGACAGCGGGGGAGGGGTTTCAAACTGGCGAGCAATCGCATCGTGTTCCCCGATGTTAGCATTCCCGAGAAAACGTATTTATCGCTTGAAAGAGAAATCCAAAGAATGATCCCTTCTCTACCGTAATAGCGTAAGCTTTTACGTCGAGACATCGTGTATCTCCCTCTCTCTCTTTTTCTCTCTTTTTTTAAAATTAAATCTTGTTCCCTTTCATCGGACTTGACATTTTAATTTCGAAATATATAGTGTGTCGACGAAGAATCGAAACGCTAATCGCGAAACAGCCAATTTGAAACCGTTTACACGTGTAAGCGATTCCTGAACATCGAGACTTGACAACGCACATTTTTTTCTTCTCGCGTTTCTTTCCAGCTTTTTGATAAATTCTTTACAAATTTTAATCCTATTGAAGTGTAAGAGTACATGTAGTACATAGAGTGAATGCGAGGGCAACAGTGTCGAAAAAGCGAGAAGGTTGTACCGACGATGAATGAGAGAGAAAGAGAGAGAGAAAAAAAGATTTCATACTAGGCAAATATATTTGCAAGAGAAAAGAAGTAACAAAAAATATATCGCGAAAAGAAAACTGTACATAAAACCTACTAACATCCTTTCCCCTTCCTTAATTGCCGCATACACCGTTTCTCTGCTGTTGCATTATTATATATTATTGTAGTTACTATATATTGATTATTATTATCATCATACAATTTATTGATAAGAATATCTTTTACGTTATTATATCCCACCCTAAATCTGTACTAATCATACCTTTATCTATAGAGAACGCTTAAGCTGCGTTCTTAGAGTTATAATAAGTAAGAGTAATTAGATTTAATGAAGAGGCACGTAAGTAAATATAAGGGGGCACCATCGGCGAAGAAGGAAAAAACCAAGCGGTTTAGGGAACGATGAAACCGATACTAAATCTGCAACGAAGTCTGTTGTGTATTAATAATATAAAAATAATGTTATCATGTCTGATTTATTTTTTGACAGTTAGGTCTCAAATGAAGCGTGTTTTTCACTTTGTTTCTCATTCGCCTCTAGTTATTTTTCTATTATATATTGTACAGAGATCACTTCTCTTATGACACGAGAGAAACATGAGATGTAGATTATCGAAACGTGACCGCGACGCTGTTGCCGTTAATTATATTACAACTAAAATCCTGTAGCACGATCATCCTCGTCAATATGTGTAAAATTTTGGATTCGAAACTTCACACAAAGATACGACTGTAGTTTCTCAAAAGTGACATACGCCGGATTCATAACATGATCTGTAAATATATACTTGTACCGTAGAGATAGAGCACTATCTTGTGAAACGTAACTGCTCGAACGATTGTATTTTTTAAACAACAAATAGCAGCCGTATAGATAATTTTTTCCAAGTACAATTAAATAATTGTACCGAAAATTATCTAGCGCAGCCGTTCGAGCGATCGTGATTGATGAACCGCCCCGGAGAATAACGAATTTAATTCTCAAAGTAACGTTGAAGAGTTATGAATTGTCATGACGCATACCGGACTATACAACCCTTGACTTTGATAAAAGAAGCTGTGGTCAATGTAACATTACGATCGCCGTTTCCAATTTTTCCGCTACCGATGGTCGACCTCGCGTTAATTCGTAATCACCTTTTCCTCTCTCTCCTCGAATCCCTGAATACATTTAGTCTGATCAGATAGTCCAGATAGTCACTGTCCCTTTTCTTCCTTCGCCTTTTCCTTTCCTTCTTACGGGGTACCTACAAAAGGGCATTTTTAAGCATCTTTTCGAGAGAGATGAGTTTCGACCGCTAGACACGTGATTCGTTCACATGCAGGTTTAAATCTATGCTTGCGATGAATTTTACATAGATTTAAAAATGTCCCATATTTTTCACAGCGATAGATTTCGATCTACTGTTCACAGAAGAAATTGCTGCGACTTTTTGCAATGAGATTCTTTATTTTTTTATAATAGTTATTTTTTGAATTCGCACACTGCATCATTGTTCAAATTCGGATCTATACAGAAAGATTTGAAATTTGTTTCTCCTCTAATACGTTATGTTACATTATATATTTATTTTGTGTGCAGGGAGTTAGATCGATTAATATTATTTTAATATTATTCAACGTAAAAGAAAAACCGTCAAAATTATCGATCTGTGAACAGTTCACGGAATTGTCTCTATCCGCCAAAGTCAACATGGGAATCTTTTCAGTGAATTTTTAAAAAATTGAAATAGCGTGCGACCCCGCAAACGAGAGAAACTGAATCAAAATTATCCCGCGTGAAGCTTCGTCCGCGTGTATGCATTTTTTTTTAACACACTTGTTAAATGTAATCCGTTTCACACTATACGACGAGAAGCACGTAAGCACGCGTGTGTGTGTGCGAATGCGTAATGCAAAAGAGTGCGTGTATAGATGCCTGTCCGAATGCATGGAGGAAATATATATTAATGCCAGATATATATATATATATATATATTATATATATATATAAACCGATTATTACAGAGAGAAAGAGAATCGGGTTTTTGGAAAGTAAAGATAACGTGCGAGCACCATTATAAGTGGGAGAGAGAGAGAGCGAGAGAGAGAAAGTGAGCGCTATACACTCGTTCGTATCACGATGTGTGTGTACTGTATATGATATACAGTTTACAATTATTTGTAACGGATACTTTTTATTTGTCAAATAAAAGTTAGTACAAATGCGCTTTTGTTTTCTTTCAATCCGATCGAATCGAGTGCTATTTCCTAATTTGATATAATAATAGAAATGCGATGAAACTATTGTTTTTTTCATTGTAGTCATAAATAATTATGTACGTACAAAAAGTGCTTCGTCAGCCATATATTTAGAGCTAAGTGAATTTATCAAATACGTCTCGTATTTTTGCAAGAATACAAGAACAACTTCTTCCAATTACTTACCTGAAAATTAGCTGAAAGTAATGAATCTTAAATTATAGAATGCGATTGGTGAATGTATTGCCTTAGTATGACAAATATCCTATCTTTGCGAGTAATTGCAATTTGTTTGAGTGAATGTTCGATATATTATTAATCATCGCTATTGAAGTCTTAATACCATTCCATCGAATTTACTTAGGGATATTGGATAAGGAAAATTGAACGTAGCGATCGAAACGAAAATAAAGAATAATGAACGCTGAACAAAGAAATTACAAGCTCACATGTTCATTCTCCTGGACAACACATTCAGTCATTTAGCAAATCTCCTGACATATACTAGCTCTTTTCTTTCAATAATAGTATCGCTTTCTTCACAAGCGTTCAATTCTCACAAACATGAAGACGTACTGGAAGAAAAAATCTAAATTAAAGAATTTAAAACGTGGTGAGAAAAATATGAATAATATTTATAATATTTACAATTATTTGTTTTATTTCTTTTTTTCAAACGTCATCAAATAAATAGCGAATATCCGGCGATATTGCAGGACGTTGTAAGTGCTTAATGTACAATATAAAAAGATACATGAACCGATGGTTGAACATTTATTGCAAGAACACGGGTCTGCACGGTTTTCGTTATATAACGATGGACAGAGCGACGGTGATCGACAGTGCGTTTTGGTCTGTGGTAAGAAATGGAATTTATTCTTGTGATCTCTAAAAATGAGGAGCTTGAGAAAACTTGTTGTCCTCTCGGTAGGTTTGTATATCGTCCATCATATTCTGCGTTATACTCATGCTACGTTTATGGGATCATTATTCCAACAATCCCATAGTGACGTCCATCGATACGACGAGTCCGATATGGACAGTGGCCTTTCCGGCCATCACGATATGCAATAATAATAAGGTTTATGGTCCGCACGCCGACATTATCGCCAAAAGCTTGTAAGATATTGCAATCTTGTTTTTCTTTCTCTCTTTTTCTCAGTTCAATCAACTTTAGATGAACGGAGCTAAAGAGCAACATATCCCTAAAATTCATACAATATATCCTTAAATTGATATAATATATTACGCGATTCGATAGATATACGAATGGGTACAGCATAGAGGACAGCGACAAATTTTTCTTTTCCCTCGTAAAGCTGATACGGCCTGATAGGAATTTAGTGAACGATGTAACTGCGAGAAAGATTTTTAATAGTCTTAACATGACGGTCGAAATGCTCATGAAGCGGGTGGGTTTCTCGTATGAAAATGATTACTTCAATTAATTCACATTTATTTATAATGCACAATGATATAGAAATCTTTAAAAGTCAATAATAATAATAATAATAATAATATATTGCTCACACACACAGTTAATGCAGCCTTGCAGCACATTATTGGTAAGATGCATTTGGGTCGGACAGATTTACGATTGCAACAAGATCTTTAAACCAATCAAATCCAGGGAGGGTTTTTGCTGCGCCTTCAATTCCCATTACAATTTGAACGTCAAGCACAAGTAATTCTCGCGGATACGTCACACTTATTCGAGATAATCAACTGTCAGATAATTGTTCGTTCGAAATTTCAGCAAAATCGGTGAAAAAATGCACAATTCGCATTTTAATTTCATCAATGTCGACATTACCTCCACAGATCTACCGGGTGTGCAAAAAATTCTGGTAATTATTATATTAATTCGGGTGGTGTCCAGGAACATCCCAGCAAACAATCCCAAGTAACAATTATATAACGGCTAGTTAATAATTCCTCTCACTCGACAATTTAGATACAATATAACTGTTACTTGGTGTTTGTTAGGGTAGATATACAAAGGGAATATACTCTTGGTTTATAGAAAGCGCCGGGGAGCGGTCGCGATGTGGGACTTTCGGTTGCCTTAAACGTCGAGGGTAACACGTACAAGGCTAATTCGCGCCCTTTCATAGGGGCCTCTGTGATGATACACGACCCGATTGATTTTCCCGATATTGGTACACACACAGTGTCTGTGTTACCTGATCACGTTTTGGTGATAACTGTCTCCAGTACTTCCATCAAAAGCATGGAAAGTTTGCGATATCTTCCTATAGAAAAACGTCTGTGCTATTTCGACGAAGAGGTAAATAAATCCGACTTTGGTTCTCTACCACAAGAATATTTATGACACACCATATTTATGCATAGGTACCGGGTGAAACTCGTTACAGCTACCAATCATGTGTATCGGAATGCCTAGCAAAAAATATTCAGCGATTATGCGGTTGTTTGCCGTTTTATTATCCGGAGAAGCGTAAGTTTCTATGTATGCGAGATTATTTATAAATGTTTAAATATTATTAATAGATCGATTATATATACTAATGTATTTTTTAATATTTAATTTTTAATTGCGTCCAGATTCTTTGTGTGATAATTTAGAATATTATCTTTAATACGTTGACAGACGAAGGAGTAAGAACATGTTTTCTATCCGATCTTGATTGCCTTTTCAACATTCGAAGTATGAAAACAATTTTTGATCATATACATTGTATTTTATATATCGTAATTAAACAATATATAAGATCTATAGGAAAGTACTAATTAGTTTCTCAATTTAAGGGAAACCAGAGTACTGGAAGATGAAAACTTGTAGAAAGTGTCTACCCCAATGTACCGATATAATGTATCATATCAATCTAGAAGATGTTAAGATGGATGATGTGACTTACGATTCCGATATATCGTAAGTCTACTCGTTTTTCTCATGACGAGAATTTCTTTTTTTTCTGTCTCGTAATAAATATTATTCGTATTATTAATTTACTATTATAAATTACTATTAGATAGATAGATAGATCTTTAGTGATTTCTCTTAGAATTATAGTTCGTATTCATTTTAATATATATACATATATTTCTCCTCCTTCCTTCTGTCCTGCTTCTCTCCACTTTCTTCCACTCTTTCTTATCTTCCTTTTATCAATCTCTTCCCTTATCTAACCATTCCTCCCCGTTCTTTCCTTTATCTCCAAACTCTATACCACCTCTTCTTTCTAACTCCTTTCTTTTCACCTCCCTCCTTAAATCTCTCCTCTCACTTCAGCTACTTCTTCTATGGGTATTTTACTCCCTTCTTCTGCCTCTGCTTCCTCCTTCTCTCTCTTTTCCCTTCTTACTATGGCCTCCGCAACTTTTTCTCTTCCTACTGCCTCTTCCTTTTCCATTTCCTCTACTCTCATCAATCTCCTTATTCCTTTCCCTCATTATTTCCAGATCTTCTTCGCTCTTCTTCAGATACAGATTCTCTTCCCTGCTCTCCGACTCCTCTTCTCTTCCCCTTTTCATAAATTACTATTAAATTACTATTAATTACTATTAAATTACTATTAAATTACTATTATAAATAAAAATAAATTTATTTGTATATTATAGACGTGGCTTGAATACAAGCCATCTATCCTTCTTGAATGTATTTTTCGGTGATCTGACGTACGTCGAGTATCGTAAGGAGAATATAATCAGTTGGGATTCGCTTCTCGGTGAGTGTGAATCTCCGTAACATGAAAGAAGCGATCTTTGAATTTAATATTCATATAATTTAATTTATTCACATTTAATAAAACCACACGCACGATTTATTTCAGCATCCTTCGGCGGGATCTTTGGTCTCTGTCTCGGCGGTTCCGTGATGAGCGTGATAGAATTGGTTTATTTCTCGATCAAACAATTTTTTAACAAAGTTCTACGACAGCCTCGTAAAAGACAAGAGCGATCGCGTACAAGTTTGCCGCCGGCGTCGGAAATGTTTCTGTCGATTCCTGTGGCGAGGAGAGAAATTCAATTACAGAAACCACAAAGCCATAAGAAATCGAACGACAAGCGTGTCTTTGTTACGTGGTATCAACCGGCCTTTTATCAACGTGAAACGACAAACTATGACAACGAATATCACGATCGTGTTAAATTTTAAGAACCTTTTCTGATATATTCTGATCAAATCAATTATCGCGGCTAAAACAGCTGATCGATTTTTCTCAGATTAAGGAATACGCGTGTTTGTGTGAATAGAATTATAATTCTTATTATTATTAAAGTAAGCAATGTTTTGCGATTATTCATTATATTATTTATTAAAGTTTTAAATGTATCAAGATTTGTAGATGTTTAGAACATCACTCTGTGTGACATATATTACAATATTATAATAAAATATTATAATATTTCACACTTAGCATTAGCTCCCAGTTGTTGATTGAAATAAGCTCTCGGTCTTCTCACGTAGTGTCTGTTTATATTATGCTGTGGAAGTAGCATTTAAATACACAAAAGAAACAGAGATTCAGCAAGCAATAAAGTATAAAATCATCGAGCTCGTTAGCGCATTCCATAAAATCACCCATAGATGAAATCTGTGAAAATATAATAAATAGGACGTCATATTCGCGATCGATAAGAAAAAAATATTACCTCCGGTGCGTGGGAAACGACGCATGTATTTAATTGTTTTAATAAAGAAACAATATTTTTGTGCGATGAAAGTTATGATTGAAACTCGCTTACCTTTCCATGAAGATCTCTTGGACTTTGGTAGGATTGCCGTCGTAAAAGAGGGTTGCGGCATTTCGACTCGATGCCAAATGAATTGGCAACTCGCCTACGAGGAACACGAAGACAATGCCGACGAACATAATCATTAATTTCGCTTGATCCTAACAAATCCCAATAAGGAAAGTAATAACGAAACTCATTTCTTTCACAATAACAAATTTTTAATATTATTTTATTTCAATAAAATTATTTTGCAAAACAATCTGCATTTAAAATGTGCTCATCGTTAAAAATGCGATAGAATAAAATTCAGGCGATTTTCATTGATATCAATATTTTTCGTGCGAATAATGCTCTAATATAAATTTATGGTTAAGTAATTTAAAGTCTAAATAATATATTTTTTTTAGATAATCAAGAATCTTCAGATAATTAAGGACGAATATTTTTTCTGTGTTTTTTAACATAAAAATCGCATGAATTCGTTCTTGGAAAAATGCAAATTGTTCATTATCTAGGAAAATAGCTCGTGTACGATACTATAAATTATAATAAAAGCATTATCTGCGCCAAACGACGAGAAAGTTTTAATAATTGTTCTCGTGAAAACACGATTTTACGATGTTGTACGGTTTTTGTACAAACTTTTCCAATTACGCGCGACAATAATGACTCGCGCGAGATTCTGTTTCCGGATACCGCTTGGTCTTCCAATGAGTTTCATGCAAATCGCATCCTGAGATGCTTTAAACCGGAGGAATACCGCTCGCTTAGATGCTCGAAAGTAGAATAGATTTTCAAGTAGTCTCGTAGAACGAATTGTGATTCCAATTTCTAAAGTTTAGAACCGGAATACGTCTGGACGAGAGTGCTTTCTCAGCATCGGAACTAATTATGAAATTACCTCGATCGTTTTAAGTATGGATAATAAATATTTTTACGGAATTTTGCCTGTGCAAAAATTATTTACGCACCGGCAGGCGATTCCTTCGCGTGTGTTTTTGCGTTTCAACAGCTGTTTCTACTTGAAGACTTTTTTCACAGAGTAGCACATGATGCCATTCGAATCGACCAAGAATATGGCCAGTATCACACCGGAATATTATAAATCGTAATTCTGAAGATTGAACCATCTGCAAAGGCCATCTGGATACAATTTTGCAAAATTGAAATTGAATTCGTGCAAAGAAATATCGTCTATTGAGAAATGCACACTGAGAAAAAAAATTGTAAACTTGATAAATATTTTCAACTAAATATTTTTTTAATTGAAATATTTAAATTAAGTTAAATAGATGTCATGTTAGATTTAATATGTCGTATTTAATTTAAATACTTAAATATTTCAATTAAGAAAATAATAATTAATAATAATTAGAAAATAATAATAATTAATAATAATTAGAAAATATTTAATCAAATTTACAAGTTTTTTGCTCACTGCAGAGGAAATTTTTTTCAAACAAATTCACATTTTTGAATATGAAAGTGTTTCGAGAAAGAAACTTTTTTCACGATTTATGGCACGGTTCTTCTTCTTACTGCGAATGAAAAATATTCGTTATCACATCGCCGCAATTGTTACGCAATTGTTATACATGAAGCAATATGGTATATTGATCAAAATAGCGAAGCACCTGGCGAACATCACCAACTTGCGTGCAACTTGTTGGCTGCAGAACTTTGGTGGTTTGCATCTCCACAAGCTGCGTGAATCAAATTCTCGTTAAAGATTTTAATGCATATATTTAGTTAGATGTACATTTTACGCTTCTTTTCATCAATAAGACTCAAATAGATAGAAATAAATATTTATCTGCAAATTTACATATGAAAAAATAATTTTTATATTTTTACCTATAAACTATCATTAATCTATCTAAGTTTACGTCTAATGCAGCCCAGATTGTGATATTCGAGATAACGGAGTCGATCGGAAAGTGAACAAAAGCGTTGAAATCCAGCCATCCTTTGTAAAATCGAAAAATGCCTCGGGCTAGTGCGAAAAAAAGAGCCAGATACAGGTGTCTAAATCCGAAGATGCCAATAGTATAAAATGAAAAAATTAAAAATAAGAGAAAGAAAGAGAATTATATAGAATATTTAAAATATAATCATATGAGCAGCAAAATAATACAAGAAACATTATTCTTTTTCTTAAATTTCTCCCCTTTATTGAATTATGCAATTATCACAGAATAATTATAATTATTCTCTTGGAACGCATAATATTAACGATACGAGGCGCAAAGTGAAATTCCATGCAGGTTCAATATATACATGCTTTCACCGATTTGATATTCACCGACCTGCCAAATTCGTCGACGCTTTTAAGTACATTTTCGTCTTCAAATTTCGACCGTGAGAATCGGCGAGTTTCCGATTATCCCGAGTGCGGAGACTATGGGAATAATTACGATGTATCCGATAATGGCCCAGATGCTTGGTTCGACCATCATCAGTCCATGATACTGTATATACTTGTTAGGGTATCTCAGAGATTTTGATCTGGAATCAATGTCGTTAGCATGGAATTGCTGATCGCGCTCTACGTCATGCATAGGATTGTCTCCGTCTTCTTCCTTTTCCCTTAGCGTCTGCATAGTACGCTCATATTGTACATCTCGGTGATGTTGAAATATGTGGGTCTCATCGCACCATTTGTCTCGTTGGTGCACTCAGGACGAGAGGTCTTCTCGACCCATTTTCTTCGCTTGAGAAACTTTCGCAAAGGAAGAACTCTATTCCATTCTGGGATATCGGATGACGGAGTGTTCTGTTAAACTGATGGAAAGCATGGTATTAGGCTCGATTTTTAGCTCCTGCGAGTCATCAGCTGAATTGAAGCCTGATGAACATCGAAGTTAGAATTACGAAGACGATAACTGAATCGGAAACTTACAGAAACTTACCGATTAGGCGTGCCAATTCAAACAGCAAGACGATTCGCACGCAAAATGCTCTTCGGGTGTGTCGCTTCTGCTCTCCAGTAAGTGAATAGGAAATATTTTTTAATAATTTTCTTTAAATTTTAATAAGTATACATTATATGTAATCCATTTTTGGATTAGAATAATGTATACTTTTAAAACGAATAAGTAGTAATTACAATTTATTAACTTATCGATTTACATGAATAAATCGCAGTCTTTCTAAATACCAGACTTTAAATGGATTCCGATAAGCGAGATATTCGCATCGCAAATGCAATATTCGTCTCAAAATATTATTGATGTTTGTAAAGCGGAAAATGTGAATAAAAGGTCACGTACTTCTAAAAGCTCTCGCATGCGTGCAAAAGCTTTTAAATATTTCAACAAATTATACCTATCACATTCAATTTTTTCTATTTCATCTTTATTTGTAAATTAAACTATAGTATATTTGTTCTATTAACGCGCATACTTCAAATATAATTCAGCATTTTTAGCTCGGCCTCAGAATCAAACGTTGGATTGTTCGAATCTGTCTATCTATCTCTTCTACCCTGAAAATTGGTTTAAACATGAATACTTCTTTGATATCACGATCTCGTTTAATACACGTCTGAGAAAACAGCAATAATTCTTACAAACTACGGTCATCTTTGAAAATTATTGGTTTTTTCTAATTCACGTGACATGCATAAAATTAATTTATTTACCGAATGATTGAAATAATTAATATTGATAATTTTTCAAATTGAAAATATTGCGCCGCGCTTGGAAAATAAATCGATTCTCGTTTCAGTCAAAAATTGAATTTTGACGCGTAGCGAAAGATGCTCAAGAATACTGCGAGCGACACGTCATAGATGTATTGAATATCAACGAAATTCTGTAAAAACTTTGTCATATTTGGAGAGGGATTTGCTCACCGATAATCCTGCGATAATGGATACGCAAATAGTGCGTACGTGGAATGGTACACATCGTCGCAAACGTTTGCCGCGATCGATTGAGCATTCGCTGATAAGGACTTGTTGGTCGAAGCCTCGAGCGAAAAATCTCGGATATGTCTGTTGGAATTTACGACATCTCGAAAGCCGATCGAGGATCAACGGCTATATTTTTGTTCGGGGATGCACGCATCATCACGTCTTGTTGTTACACGTGACAACCTTTGGGATTATTTAATAGTTTACGTACACGCGCTGCATCGCAAAAAGCCTCCTTACGCGGCTACAACGGTCAGCTTTGATGTATCCATGGAAACAACCGCGATAACCATTATCGATCGTATATCGGCCACGACCACTTTCAGTCACCCTCGCGACATTAAATTAATGATATCGAAAATTTAGGACATAACATACTCTTTGCAACGCCTCGTCGTGCAAAACGGTGTGTCGTACAAACGGTATGTTGCGGGATTCTCATTTTCCGATCACAGAGTCGAAAATCTATCGCTGATTTTGTGTGCCTCCGCCTTTCCGATAATTAGATGTTTAAATATTATTAATTCCCCAAAACAGCAAAATCTAATACATTGTCAAATAAATTGAAGCTTCCCGAACATAACAAGTTTATAACGTTCAATACCTTGACGAGATTTCAATAATTTATGTATATACATACGTATTAAATATGTAACATTATTATTTATTTAGTTTATTTATATTTATATTTATTAAATTTAATATTATTATTTATTTAATTTATCTATATTTCAAATGAAATCAACAGATATTATAATTAATGTATAAATTAATGTATAAATTTTATTGAGAAATTTATTATTTTTAATTAAAGTATGTGTGATGCATATTAGCTTATAATATTTTTTATAATATAATTATTATATATATTTATTATATATTTTATATCTATTATTATATATTTTAAAATCTTATTATTTTACAAAAAATAAGTTTAATTACGGTCTCATGCAGACTAATCATGAATCTTTTCATTTTACACAAATAATATCATTTCACGAATCCATTTTTTTCGAAAATTTTCCTTTTATCGCAAATTCATATATTTTTTTCTTATGCTAAACATTACAAAGCGTGCGCGTCATTTAGTTTTTTTTTATTATGTAATAACAATTTTATTTAATATTTATATATATTTAAATATATATATATATATATATATATATATTTAAGTATAAATAAAATAATTTATCATATTCAATATTAAATATATAATATTATAAACGCCACCACCACCGTCAATCGAACACGCGGAAAAATGGCAACGATAGATTCGCTTAATGCGACTTAAAACAACATTTCAGGCTTTTTTATTATGATTGACGATGATATGTACATTTTATAAAATCACCCTGTGATTGAATAATATAAATAAATTAAATTAAAATATAAATTATTCTTTATATCATTAGATTTTGTATCGAAATAGTATATTTGGAGCAATATTGTTTCATGAAACGACATTTGATCTTGAATGCGGAAATAAATTTTTCCCTCAGAGAGAAAAAAAATATTTCTGAAAAAAAGATAGTTATGATTGCCTAAATGTTTCAAAAGTGGAAATTTTATGGATGTACAGAAATTTGAAAAGTCTGATAAACGTACATGATTTACGAATACCAGCAACGAGAAATCCTAATTCTCGATAAGCGGATTGCATCCTTGGAGTTTTTATCCGCCGAAATTTTTTGGAATTTATGACATATCGCACTGGAAAATAGTAGCATTTTTTCTAGTACCTAGAAAAAAACAACAGATCCGGAAAAAATGACTGTAATTTTAGCATGTAAAGTTGTGCGACACACGTAACGAATCGCAATAATCATCTTCGATGAAACAGCACGTGCCTTTACTTATTAATGCATTTAATTAGAAGTTCATGCTTAGTTTTGTGCGGTTCGGGGGGTTTACACGGCAACGGGGGTCGTTTCTCCTGTTTTCCCCACGTGGCATCGTACGATGTTTAACTCCTCTACATCATGGACGCGCGGACGCACACAGGAATTCCACTTTCGTGACGGTTCGCAATTTCAATGACCACTCGAGTCTGCGTTCGCATCGTCGATCACACTTAATGACGTTTGGAATTTATTGCAAAGCACCGCAGATGAAGTCCATTTGAAATTCATACGATTCTATTCATATGAATTATATGAACAGAATAGAACGATATATTTCAAAACAAAAAAAAAAACGAAGGTAATTGAACGTGCTTTTGTGTTTCCACTGGAGAACACGTTGCACTTTAAAATCGATTTGTTAATGTAATTATCCTTGATTTAACGTATAAAATTATGGAAGCAAGTTACGCAAATGCAGACTTTAATTTCGTGTGTGCGCGGCTATATTTATTTGCAGATCTTTGCGTCATCCGACAGTATGCGACAACGATTTATCCCCGGATTGTGCGTAAGAAAGCGCGCGCCAGCGGAGATAACAATTTAGAATCCTATTCAAATCCCTTTGCCACTTTAAAAGTAAAATTTATCGAGCAACGCCAACAGGGATCCAGGAAAGAACGTGCCTGCCGAGTAAATTTTTATTGTGAGCTCACAAATAACGTGGGTGTAACAGCGGCATTCAGCTTTACTGTGTTTCATCTCCTCTATATCTCTTCTTTCATCTTTTTTTTCTATATTACCCCTATTTTATGTGTGGGCGTCTGTTCGACTTTCGTCCCGTCATCCACGATGAAATCTAAAAAAATTTGTGAGTGAAATACTTTTCGCGTAACGAGAGACGTGTCTATTTTTTATCGTCGAAACATTCTTTGTAGTCTTCTATCTCCCCCCTAATCGGTTGAAACTCAACAGTCCGTGACCACGCAAAGCTATTTCGTGATATAATTATAAAATTATCCCAATAACGCTTGTCGTCAAAAAATCCTTTATTCCTAACTCTATTATTTATGGAAGATGTAGCCGATGTATTTCAATATCATAAAATTCGATATATATAAAGTATTTCAAAATCCTATTATCATAAAAGAGCATCCCGAATATCCTTTTAATAACAGATCCCTTAGCCACTTTGAAGTCAATTTTGTGCGATAAAATCGAGAAATAATTTATTTATTACAATTAAACAAATTATTTATTACAATTTTTTATTACAATTTTGCATTATATGTATACATATATTGTAACTAAAATTAAGATTGAAATTAAAATAAATTTTAATTAACTAAAATTAATTAAAGATTTCATTCTTCAAAATTTATTTTGCTAAAAGCTTTATAATTCGAAAATTATTAATACGTACTTCGAGACAAACTAGTCAAGAATCTATCATTAAAACCCATATCCAGCAATATCGGAATACTCTGTGCGTACACATGTGCGAAGTCTGAATTAATTTTTATCTATTTTTTTATCTATTTTTTTATCTATTTTTTTCATGTCACCCAAATGCCCAAACATTTATAGTTATCCCCAATTCACCTCAATTCATCTTTAATTTCGTACCGTCATCAAATACGAGGTCAGTCATTTAATCGTTTTTTCATTTAATGTGTTCGTGTAGCCAATATGTATGGCCTTCTACTCTAGCGTCAATTTAATTGAATTTTCAAATCAATAGCAACAACCGCTCGGCGTATTATGATACGTCATCTCTCTGTTCTCTCGTCTATGGATAAAATTTCTGCACAGTTCATGCCGAAGTCTCGCTTACGTGGCTCTTAATTACTTCGAAACCTTGCCTTCTTCATACAAAGCTGTTGGAACGCGATTTATCTGCATCGCGGCGATGCATCGCATTTCGCCTCTCTCTCTCTCTCTCTCTCTCTCTCTCTCTCTCTCTCTCTCTCTCTCTCTCTCTTCTTCTCTCTCGTCACAACTTAGCAAAAAAAAGGAAAAAAAACTAGTAAGCGTAGCGGTAACGAAGAAAGGCTCGATGTATTGTCTTCACGGCCCAGAAAGTCTCCTCGCCTCGACGAACTCTCGAGAGGGTCACCGATCTGTGAATAGGGCCTCGCCACCCTCGCCTATTCCCGTCCCTCGCGTTACTTATCGCCAGTTCTTTATTTATCGCATCAGCTCTCTCATTCCTTGTGTCTGTCTCTCCCTTAAGGTTGCTGATACGAAGAAGTGATCAGTCAGGCTCAATCAAGAGTTCGATCGATCTGCCAATCATCGAGTCGAGTATACGACGCACTTGTCATCTGCTCGATCGTGCAGATGTATTATGTGTTTCCGGAATACGCTAACGTAATTGTGCGTAATCGTAAGTTTAGATAATTATTATGCATATATAAATATATATATATATATATATATATATATACATCGTAATAAGTTTGAGATTAATTAACGAAGCAGCAACAAGTAGAAAGAGAAAATCTACGATGATAGCGCGAAAAGTGGTTTGATTGAGAGAATCAAAGATTAACTTTTATATTTCTTTTCTAAAGATAGCTCTCAAAGCTTGGATTCTATAAAAAAATGGAAGAAAGAATTCACGGAATAATCGGTTCGAAAATAACTGAAACTTTATTGGACGTTGTATGTCGCCAACCCTCTTTCAGGTGCAATTAATTGAAAAGTGGATGAAAAGAAAGGATGGTCGGACTTTGTTGAGCGTTCCGAGGAAACTTCAAAGGTTTCGACGACGAAGTTGATGAACAAAGGCTTGTATTAAGAAGTCGCTCACAAACACATCCGTATCATAATCCAGGATATTATAACGTGACACCTCGGAAAAAACGATAAAAATAATTTTCCTGCACACCCTTGAAAATTCGTGGATGTCAATTTATGAAAACAAGAAACTGTCTTCTCTTTTTCTCCTTCTTTCTCTGTCTCTCTCTTTTATCCATTTAACGCTAACGTAAGACTTAATAATTCTTCCAGAAGTGTTGCGCAATCGGTAATATTACGTAAATAAAATTCCTACGGAATGCGTGAGGGAATAAAGTGTTCTACGACAATTTGAGACAGTTCTGAGCGAGCCTAGTTTAATCAGTTTAATCCAAGCATAATGTCCACGTGTTTCCTTATCATCGCCAAGCTTAAGGTAACGGCATGCCATGGATTAACTGCATCTGGATATTATCTATGTTCGCCGGAGGCTGTTGCTTATCGCGAAGCTGTTTTGTCACCGTTCGCTCGTAGTCCTCCATAAATGCCTCAATCGATCCCCCATAGAATAAGAAGCCTCCCGAAACTATAAGGTCAGATTAAGTGCTCAAATGTTTCTCCTTGATATTGATCGCCTTGATCTTTATTTTTTTTAATTCTAGGGTATTAAAATTGTGGGAAACCGTCTTTTCAGCGAATATTTTTCGTTAATTAACGATAATATTCGTACACGTGCAAAAAAATTCCCCTCATTTTAAAATATATAAAATGCTTCTCACTCTTTTATCACAATTTCCGACTGTGGAAAATTTTTCAACTTCTTTTTATAGAAAAATGTTTCGCGCCAAGTTTCGTTATTTAAGGCGAAATAATTATGATACTTTCTATTTGGAGACGTAATAGAATGATTGTCACGTAATAATTATTTTATTGAGTAATGATCATATTCCTTTACGGATTTATTTTGTGTCTCGTCGCTTCGATGATCGCGGTTTTGAATGTCAATTACTTTATCTAATGATGAGGACGTACACAGTTTAAACAGTGCAGTGTTTCGTAAGCTAATTAATTCCGTAACTCGACCTCTCTTAGAAAATTCAGGAAACTATCGACACCGTTATTGCCTGCATAATAGTTCGCTCGTAGCCATATTAATATCTAACTTGTCTGTTGCAGCTGTATGAAATATCTGTGAATTGTTACACATCATAGCATCCAACTTTCCCGACAGAACGAAGAATAGCTTTTTATCGTCATATCCACATATTAAGCAAACAATCGATCTGATGAATTCCCGAGATTATCGAAGGCCATATGGCGTGAAAATGCCTGCAAAACATCCAAATTGATTCTATTCAAATGTTAGATAAATCAAATGTTAGAGATCGACAAATTTTACTTTGATAGAAAACAAAAGAGACGTTAAAATGAAACATTTTCATTAAGAAGTAATATTGAATGAAATAATTTTGTATGAAATATATGTAATTTGGCGAGAGAAAGATTTCACAGACTCTGTTGCAATATTTTGTACAAATTTTCCTTTATAAAAATGTACCGGTTAATAACGCGAGGAAAGGAAAAATTTCGATCCGCAAGTTGGAACTTTGAGTCAACAGAGTTTCACGGAAAAATTCTTCTCTATTTCTTGGATTTATTTTGGAATTATTTATCAGTCCCTTAACGCGATGCACGTATTCATACACATCACTCGAATTAAGAAGAAACGAGATCTTGGCTGAGACCGGACGAGCTCCTTGTTACCAAGGACCTTCAATTACTTTTTCCCTCTCGAGTCCCTTCACGACGGAACTAAATGAGCTTTTTAATAAATGCAAAGCGTGTTGTAGATCTTTTACGAGATCTTTACGTTTCGCGAGAAGAAATACGAAGGATACTTTTTTATTACTTACAATCCCAGATTCAAGAATATTCTTAGCGGATTAAATGGATTATTCGGATAAAACTGAGCGGTAAATTCATGGGAAATTTAAAAAAAAAATCTCCCTCCGCGAACAGATATCCAATAAGTTGACGCGATCGGAAAGTTGAGGAAACGCGTTTCTAATCGGGTTAAGATATTCAATCTTCATTTCTTTTTCCATTTCTCCTTCGTTTTTTATCATCATCGCTTACATCACATCGGATCATCTGTTAAAAAGAGAATTGCTTCTACCTTTCTCCGTCTCTTGAATTTCTCCAACGCATTTACCCTCTAGGCTTTTATTCTTGGATTTTTCTATCAGCACACGTTCCGCAAACGAGTTTCAAGTAGATAAAATTACTCCCCATGTTCTTTCTCATTCACGTGACACAAATCCGAAGTAATTTCGCGTAACTCTAATCAGAAGAAAGATAATCTCCGGTAATCTCATTATCGCGTTCTCTTCAGTAATAACGTCCAACAAATTATCGTTCTGCGTATGTGTATCACGTTTCTCATTTACGGTTTAAATATCAAATTTTATACTTTTAAAATTAATATAAATTATTAATCCGCTTCCTTTCTGATACGAGAAGGGACACTTTTACAAATCGCAAACAAATGTTGAAACTTTTTCGTGGCAGTTTATTTCTGTTTCCATTTTTCTCTTTCCCTCTCTCCCTCCTTCTCTCTTTTTCTTTCCTCCGAAAGCTTCCTTTCATTTCGGCACTCCATGAGGATTGCGGTAGTTGTAGAACGAGCGGGAGACCGATCGCTTTTACGACATTACCGCGAATCCACCCGTTCTCGGGCGAGTTTTAGGGTGAATCACGTTTGCGCAAGCCCGACAAGAGAGGTGCCGGAGCCAGAACGACGTGCAACAACCATGCGAGCTTTAGTTTTCGCCAGGGCCTCGTCGCGAAAAAAGGGTTGCACCTGCTCGAACCGAGGAGCTCTCCCATTGCGCTCTAACATGCCGCCTCGTGGTGCCAATCGCTTGTTTTTACGAGGACGATAATGCAATCTCGATCGTAAGGATCGCGTCGCGAAGGTATCCGGAGCGACGACATCGCATCGTCGAGCAATTAAATGAGAAGTGAGAGCGTAAAAGCGATGTTTGCATCGTTATTGAAAACGGCTACTTTGCATTTTACTCTCGTGAACGTGCTGAATTCGATTCGTGCGTTAATCCTACGTCGTTATCCCACGTTAAATCCTACGTTACATAAATGGTGCGCGCGCTTATTTAATCCGCTGTTTAAATAAATGAAAATTATATTTTAGCTGTCTTCCTTTTTCGGTGTAAACTTCTTCCGAGCTTCGAAAAAATCGCCGAAACTGTGTCATCGCGAGCTGTACGCTTCGAAACTAGTCGATGATCGAATTTATTAATCCTTCCTTAGCCGAGTGACGCTAAGTTTTGCCGAAAGACCACGTGAGGTATGCGAATGGAGGGAAAAACATAACGGATCTAAGAGAGTCGCCAGCGATATATGACGACTTGCGAAGTTCCTAGTGACTATATGGCAACGTCCACGGTGGTGGATCATCATGAGATCGTCGAGAAAACTTCTCAGGACGTTTCCGAGCTCATTTCCATGAACGTCTGTCCGCCGAGTAGTTTCCCAGACAAGTTTCAAGATTTCTTCGCGGCACTTACCGAAGACGGGGACGACTTACCCAGCATGCTCGAGAACAAACTCATACCGAGGTAATTAAAGTGGAATAGTATGCAGCGTATAATTATAGCGCAAAACACTTATTTAGGTAATAAATATTTATCAAGCTTTGGTGAAAATTCTTGAAATTTTCTCGCGAAAAAATCCCGACAAATTTAAACGTTTTAAGTGAAGTTTCATATCTCGAGAAAGAGCGATATTAAAATGTATATTAATGGGAAAATAAAAAAAATTAATAAATTACTGCATAAAGAGTCTAGCTTTTTATAAATTGATTTTTTAATTAACAACGGAAACGATATTAAAAACGATATTAAAACATCTTTACTGAAATGAATTTATTTGCGTGCGAGAGAGGAAGAAAATGCGACTTGATTAACTGCTAAACATAGAATCTCATGTTCCGTTGATTATTTCAGTATAATTAAATAACTATAAATAGAGGTGCACGCGGACACTGATCGAATCGGCGAATAATGCGATTAAATCATAATCGATGCTATTGATATTGAAGCAAGGAATAATTTCAGCATGCTTTACTTAGCGACTCTAGTGTCTCTAGTGTACGCTGTTATTGTAAATTGTTGTAAAATAATGCTTGAACAACAATAACTTGAAAAAAAAATATCGTTTTGTCCGAATAAATGTTTTGACGGACAAACATATGCAAAATTTCAATAATTCTCAAAAAAGGCAATAGTATTCGCTAACGCACAATCGGAGTAGAACTCGACTGCAACTTTCTCTCGAAATTACATTTCTCAAATTGAAGGATTATCCGGGCTGTTACGCTCGTGTCGTATTCGAGTTCGCGGCATGTAACGAACGTGCGTGGGAAGTCTTTGGTATTGGTTGAAGCCATTTGGGATTCTCGCAATCGGATTAGATGTTGTCGCGAATGCGATTCCAACGTTACCTCCGTATTTAGCGAAAAAGTGTCAATACTCGACTCGGTATCCGAAGATCGATAGAAATACGATAAAAATACGATTCAAATAGTTCGGAAAAATTAGATTGGACGTTATATTTGCAAATTTGAAATGTCCAAACGCATTATTATTTTCGTAGAAAAGTAGACGCCACAAGCGTGGACGCAAAAAACCGGCGATGCAGCAAGAGAACTGTTCAGAGGCGAAGCAGCGAGGTGGAGGTTCGCCTTCATCGCACCACGTTGTCCGGATCTCAGGGTCACAGCTGCGCGGATGGACTGAAATCGCCGATCCCTTCCAGACGCAGAAGCTCCAGCATCGCGGTCGCCAGACCAACGCCGGATCTGCATAGGTCGTTGTTTCCTCGTAAAAAGTGTAATTGATTAATCTTCGGCCATTGTGTTAACCCGTAAATCCGACACGTCGTTCGCTCGGTAATCAATCTGTCGAGACTGGCGCTTAAAACCCCGATATCGTCGCGTTTCCGCGAACCGCGCTGAATCTCGTTTCGCATCTTGAACAGCGAACATAAATTGATTAGAGAAATTTACGATGACGCTCGCGTGGAATATTCTATTTTCGTTGCGCTAGATTTCTGCAAGCGGAGGCTGGTCCCTGGGGTCACCTGTCACCCTCAGCCAGAAGCCCCACCAGGACACCGGCGTTGAGTCCTGGCGCCGTGTCGTCCTCGTCGCACCTGAGCGCGAGTGCGAGTCCATGCGGACCCAGTCCGACGAGTCCTTCCGGTCCAGCGACCGGAGCTCGTGGGACCAATCAGTATCGCAACAGAACAAGCAGCATGCCGGCGGTTCCACGTCACAGGGTAAGTGCGAAAGGAAAAGTAGTATAGAGGCAAATATAAAGGCAAATCAGATCAAAGCAAAAATTTCGCGATAATGAGAATTTAAATGAGAATTAAAAAAAAATATTCCTCTGGAAAGAGACTTCCCTGTGTTTTGTATAATGACTCTATCTTCCGCCGCGAGAATAATTTATGATCCGCAGATATTCAGTTGGCAGATAAATGATACGTACACAATGAGCGATAGGCAGATCGATAACGCGTGCGAAATTGAATTAATTTCCTCGACCATTATTGACGATAGCTGAAAATGTTGCTCCGAAAGGCTTCTTTCTTTATAACGGCGGAGTTTCGCGCGTGTACAGACAAAAATCAAATCGAATGCATCGGACTGTAAAATGGTACGGCAACACAATAACGATGGAAATGTCGCGGCTGTCATTCTTCTTGAATTTCAACCTCGCAGTGAATGTGAAATGGAAAATCGCAAAGCGACACAACGAACGAATGTACAGAGCGCTATCGCGAGAAATTACCATCAATTTCGTGTTACTGATTAAACCTGTATTAAACGATATTCGTCTATAATTCATGCCACAAAATTTGCAATTTTTGCAGTATTTAAATTATAATTTTGTATCGTGTACAAATATTTGTACCGTGCAAAAATATTTCTAAAGAAATAAAATACATATACATATACATTTATAAATGTATATGTATATGTATTTTATTTCTTTATATATATTTCTTTATATATATATATATATATATATATATATATATATATATATATAGGATACAGCGATACATGAAATTACAAATGGAATTCTATGAATTAATTCTTCTTGAATTTTGTCATAAATTATAGATCATTTAACGCAGTCTCTAATTCTTTTTCATTGTTGAAAACTGTTGGTGCACCATTTCAACTGTTACAATTTAAACTGAATATTGTCAGCACGTGAATTCGTAATTATCCCAAGCTTCGCAGAACGAAAATTTGATTTATTTTAAATTAAATTTAAAAAAGAAAGGAATTAATTTGTTACCTTTCGAGAGAAAACCTTGTTTTACCAAATTTTATATATAATGTACAAAATAAAGGTACGGTTATATACTTCTATTTATATATATATATATATATATATCTAATCTTCATTAAATTTTGACGGGCGTGGAGACGATACTAAATGGTATAAGCAGCCTGCTGCGTAAAATCTGCCAAGGATCTTGCGAGTTTAAGCTTCAACGTTGAGCGCCAATCCAACTTTGTGACCGCCCCTTATAATGTTTCCACAATCGATGTTGAATGAAAGGATTAACACAACCCCATCGTTTAGCTTCTGCAAGAGACTCGTGGCCAATTGTAAATCAGTGTTGGCTTTAAACCGCAAAGTCGATCTATCGTCGATTTTACACTTCGCCGCGGCACCCACGATCCATTTTTGCATATCGCCCCGTCTCGCGTATATCCCATTTGCCGCAACATCCAAGTCAGGATTTACTGAAGGGTAAAACAAATAATCGCGATTAGTAAAACGAAGGGAGCGATCCATGAATACATATATACACATTATAGATCGAAATTAGAGATATTATATTTTATGACGCGTCATAATTTTCACGACGCTATTTAAACAACTAGAATTCTCAAACAATCTCTCATAAACTGAAGTATAAAAATTTAATATAAATATTACTGATTAAAACAATAACACAAACTTTATCAGAGATAAAGATTTCATCTTCAATGTTTCTTTTAATAACATTTATCTTTGTACTTTGTTAATTGCTCCTACAAATAGATATGATTATTACTGAAAAATCAGTAACATTTGTGTGTGTGTGTGTGTGTGTGTGTGTGTGTGTGTGTGTGTGTGTGTGTGTGCGCGCGCGCGTCTGTCTATTTGCTAGCTTTCAAAATTTTTTTCTATTTTTTTTTGGATTACTGTTCTTTTTTTGAACGCTAATACAAATCTGGGGAATGAAAGTATATAACTAATATTTAAATTCAGTTTTATATATAAGTTATATTTATTTTTATTTTTAAAATGTAAAATGTAAAACAAATAATTAAACAAGACTTTTAGTCAAAAAATATTTCTTTAACTAAATATATAATTATAAATTTATGCCATATGTATTTACGTCATATATATAATATGACACATTTTAAAATAATACTGATTGAAATCACCATCATACCTGATTCTTTCCGTGAGATTTTATTGATTCGCAATACTATATTTAAAGTCATGTGAATATATGATTGTTCATTATTTTTGATAATATATTTTGATTCCATTTAAGAGAAATTAATTTTTCATCCGCGTTTCTTTAAACAAAATTGTTCATTATTTTTGATGGTACATTCTAATTCCATTTAAGAGAAATTAATTTGATTTTTTAGCTGTGTTTTTAAACAAAATTTTTCACGTGCAACGTTACGTAATTCTTACACGAACATAATAGTATCGGTTTACGGTTCCGAGTTTTGCTACACTATCGCATGACATTGTCAAACCCCTCCTCCCTTTCTACATTAATGTCACTAATTATCGCCCTTGCTCAACCGAGAAAATTGATAACGCCGGCATATGCCAATATATGCTAAACGATTTGTATTACACGTCCATATTCCGCCTATCTGGATGCGGAACAACGGGTTCCCATTACAGTCGCTTCAACGAGGCACGTTTAACCCCCATTACTTAGCACGCGAGAGGTAATCTAACGGTTCTGCTCAACGAGGATGCTCGACTGCACGTAAAATAACAGGCAGTTAGTAAAAGAGAGCATTATTAAAATAGAGCGAAATTGCTTTGCGTATTTTTTCCTCGAAAAGATATTATTTTTCATTGGCAACGACAACGTTTTACGTAAAACACAGAGCACATTGATTTCGCAGGGACGCGTAAGCATAAATATTGTATTACGGATCCCGCGTTTACCTTTGCACCACACAGAGAGCCCGTATTCGTGTGGTATACAGGTACATCGAAAATGCAAATCCACATCGGAGCAACCATAAACCAGACCGATGTCGTTCTTCGTCACCTTGTTCACGGCTGTCTCGTAGCCAGCTCGATAGCCCAAGAGGAGATCCCTACATTTCACCACTATTGTGCCGAGCAAACTGGTGCCCGAATTTAGATCGTTGGCTGGAAATTCGGTAATTTGCACGATTTGACATTTGATATATTAACGCGATTACTCGCATAATTGACAAGCAAACGTTTCCAACTCGAAAATCCAAAATGTTGTGGAAATACATAGAAAGTATCTTGATAAATAATTTTACGATTTTTGCTTAAATTCACTCTGATGTGATAAAATAAATCACATAAAATTTTCTAGTCTATTTTTTCTTTTTTCTCTAGTCTATTTTTTATTTTATTTTATTATTCGTAATACGTATCTTTTAACCTTTTGTTAACAGGACTTTGCGTTTTTAATAGCTTCAATTGCTTAAACAATTATTTATAAATTTCAACAATCAATAACTGAACTAAAACCGTAGTCTATAATTAGGATAATTAATAATTAATTAATAATAATATATAATAATTAGTTTTTTTCTTAAAATCTTTTTATGTCTCCTCTTTTTTAATAGTAAAATAAAAATATAAGATAATTTAATGTTGAGAATCGTTGAGAATTTATTTTATCTTCTCTCAAAGTAAATTCGATAAACAAAAATAATATACATTTATCAAGATGCTCTCTATGTATTTTTAAAATTTTTAAAAATTTTTGAATTGTGTGACATTTCCTCGTGAGATATTTTCTTTTGATGTAGATATAAAATTATTCAATTTCACCGTGCGAATTGTATAAAAACAATCGTATTTTATATCAAAAGTTGATATAAATTTTCTATTTTATTTCTCTATTTTATTGAATTATTTCCCTATTTTATTGACGCTGTTTGTAAATCTATTTATTTGTGGCCAAAATTTAATTCATCCGTCTTTGTATGCATCGACAGATCTGTAATTTCTATTTTATCTCTTTAAAATTCAACGCGAAAGTTTATTATGTAATTTATTTTGTGCCATATCGATAAAATCGCAATCTCGCTGTTGCTATCGAAACTTCCAGAAATGACGCTTCGATGGCTATTGTGAAAATTCGTGTTTGCGGAAAAACCGCGGTTTGTTAGTAAATATTCAGAATACTGAGATATTTAGTGCTGCGTTTCCGTGACATTAGTTAGAAAGGAGTTTATCAACGCATACACAATTAAATTGTTTGTTGAAATTTCTCTTGAATGCAATTGTGAAAATATGCGGCAAGAGAGAGAAAGTGAAATTAATTATCCGAGGACAAAAGGCGAATGAAACAGTGTTTCAATCGATATGTGCAATCTCTTTATACATCATATTTCTATATATCTATCGTTATAGAAAATGTCAGGAGAAAATTTTCGAATGCGAGTGCATGTGCCGTTGAGATAATTAATTAAATGCAGGGGAAGGGGGGAAAATGTATGTACTAAAGGTATTTTGATGTTTCAGCAATTTTTTTATACTCTCAATATTAATTTGATGAGTTGGACGTAATTATTATTTGAAATGTATGGAAATGCTTTTCATATCATGCAATATTAGAAATTAATCTCATATATATAATAATACATATGTTTGTTATTTTATATCTAATTGTGTATGTATTAATATACATTACAATATTATTTCATAATATTATGCTACATAACATATATACTATATAATACAGATAAAATAACACACATATGTATCAGTATATTAAAAATATGTGCGTGCATAAAATTCTCTTTTAAAAAATGACACGGTACTTTACATAACATTTTTTTAAGAGGTTTGGAAAGACACAATATAATCAATCTTTTTCATCCTTCATAGATAAAAATATAAACATAGTATGTAAAGCCTTTTATCTATCGTTCAAACAGCGATCTAATAGAAGCTGTTACCTTGCAAAACTTTATAAATGGAGAATAAATTTGTTCCGCGAATTTTTTGCCGTGCTTGATAGAAAAGCCTAGGTTTTATGACAAACCTACGAATATTGTCAGTGAACCAATTAACTTTTAAATCTTTAGAAGAAAGCGTTGACATTTGCCTTCGGGAAAAGTCAGAAAAAAAATCTATCGCGAAATTCCGATAAATGTAAAACTAATTATATAGATTTAATTAGAGTGCATAAACTGACAGATCTCGCAGCGTGCGTTGATCCTCTCGTTTGCGAATTGCGAGCCGACCTTCACGCTTTTCGCGGACGTCTGCGGATTGTAAGCGCACTCGGAGAGCAAATCGACACCCTTCATTAGCAGCCCGTTAAACTCATATCCCAGAAGAAGCACGCCTTCAGTCGTCCATTTCAGCAGCAGAGCTCCGGCGTCCGTCTTGTACTTCGTTTCCATTAAACCGCTCAACTATGCCACCAATTCATTGTGAATAAATTATCTCTAATTTTCTTTTAGAGCTTTTATATATCTCACTCAAGTATGATGTCTAATTTCAAGATTACTTAAGAACGTTTGATTAATATTATTCGAATAAACTATTATAATTCGACTTTTAATATACGATTTAAAAGGCAAAAAAATATATACAACATTTATCGAACCTATTAATATTGCGATAAAATAATTATTTTATGAATATTAAAGTATTATTATATGCATATAAATTATAAAGATAATAAAAAAAAACATCATTTTTTTTTATCCTTTTATGGCAACAGTTCGCCACGTGTTCGAACTTAATCATACGCGCATAATATTGCTCGTATAATCCGATATATAATTAAAAGTAAATATTGCCGCATATATGAAATAGTTGACTCAGCTACATTTTCTCGTAAAATTTTTCACAGAATACGCGTGTAGCATATCATTCTCATGAACAATAAATAATGAATGAGTGGTGAAATGAATATATGAAAAAATAATATATTAGCGTACAGCAATATATATAGGTCAATTCGTTTTATGGTTCAACAATTTCTATGGCAAGAAATTTATATTATTCCGTAAAATTTAATTTAAAAATTTAGACGAAAGTCTTGCGATTCTCGATAACATTTTTTATGTAATATGTATCCATCCTACCTTCGACGCCTCGAAATTCAAAGTTGTGTCACTTGTCATTTGGAACCTCTTGGCGGATTTAGTCTTGACGTTGAGTTTGATAAGGCCCTTGCCTTGATGGTAGGCCGTCTTGAAGACATCCCTTGCATTTTTCCCGAGGTCGGCAAAACTTGGTACCTCCATTACGAATTCAGGATTGAATAAATTATCTTCTTCTGTTCAGAATTTTTTCTCTCTAATATTAATATGTTAGTAATATAAAATATGTTATAAAATGTCTAATTATAAAAGTTTCTTTTCTTTTGCTTTTTTAATACAGCACGATTTATACGCGTAATTATTCAAATAATTTAAGATTCAAATGTTTCCAATTTGTATCTAAAATTATTGCTCCCTACCTTTCATTTATCTTTAATTTATTAATTATTCAAGATTAATGCGGACCGTTTATTTTATTCTACAATCTTTTTGATTTGATATTCCATCTATAAATCGGAATAACCACTTTAATCATTTCGGTATTTTTCTTATCAAAACGTACGTTTTTATCCTATTGAATAATCTGAAACTCAGCAGATTAAAGCTCTGATGTAATTTGAAGTGACGACGTACGCGAGAATTCCTCGACATGACGAAAACATGGTCAATGTCAATTGCTCGTCGCGGGTTCGAATGGGACTGGGGAATAGACTGATTAATCTCGCGACTTTTATAGAGAGACGAGGTCGATGCTTTTTTCACGCTTTACTGCGAATATCGGAATAATAAAGTGAACTTGATCGAGGAAGGAAGTGAGGCGCTATCGTTTCAAACTATCGATGAATACGGATCGAGGATCGTTCGGACCGAACTTAATACAATGCGTTCGTGTAAGTGCATGCATTTGAACGAGCTAACCCTGAATGATGTGATGAATGATGTCACTGTACAACGTATATGTACATCGATCAGCGAATGCGTTAGGATTCGCTCTGACCCTAATACGAAGAGTCTAGTGCGTACTTTTGTCGCCTTTCCACCTCGCTTCGCAAGGACAACAAATGATACATGACAACAAGGCCATTCAGTGCAATTTACATAGCTTTATATCTCGATTTACATCATGTTGATTTAATTTAATTTAATCAAATGCATCGGAAAATCGCACGTATCATGTGTAATACAATTTGCCAATTATCGATGATGTTTAGTAGGATTATTTATTTTCTATGCAACGTATTAAATTATCTTTCAATATCGTCCCATCAAATGTATAAACAGTTAGGTATAAGTATCAACAGTTATATTACAGAATAAATTAAAAATGTCTGAAAATAAAAAAAAATATCACCAAGGAAGCGAATTTTCTTCTAATTTGTAACAATTTTTAATTTTTCAAGACTGTTGGCTCCATATAATCGATGTGAAATAGATATCCATTCATGTTGGAAAAAATTAAGCGAATTGATCTCACATAATTGTTGCTTGTTGTAGCCAATGCTGGCCGATACGAAGCGTAGCGGCGCAACGGGAGGCGAGGAGAGCGAGATCGAAGATGGGGTGGAATATTACAGACTACGATCTTTCTCCATAACGGCGAACGGGATCTACAACTTGGGCGATTCATTAAAGACACGACGCAGCAGAAGCATTAACAGCGTCACTTCGTCCACCAGTTGTAGCAGTACTCGGGAGAGCAGGTTGCTCAGGTGAGAAATACTGAAACTGAACATTGTTATGGATGATGGCGGAAAAGAGGGGGATAATTTTCCTTCAAAATTAACGTCGTTTCCTGCCACATTCCAACTTTTGTCGAAATTGTTAGAGTTATTTCGAAAATAGTAAAGCTTCAATCAAAAATAACAATTTATTTAACCGGAAAGTTTCACAAATAAAAACAATGCATACTTTTCTCTTTCTTTCTCTCTCTCTCTCTCTCTCTTAGAGTTATAGTGGAATTGCAATAAAAGTGTTTTGTAATTACTTTTATTGCGTGATGATTGCATTTTCGATGTTTACAATTTCCAACTGTAAAGAGAAGAGCGAGATTGTGCACGAACAAAAATAATTATATTCTCTTTTATAATATTATTCAAATAATAATAACGAGAATTATAACAGTATTGTAGTTGTAAGACTAAACTTCAATGACTGAATTATAATTGGATACTTTCGTCTCTATGGTAACCGCAAATAATGTAATATATAAAAGTATAATGCATGGGAAGAGAGGGACATGCTGGAAAATAATCTTCCACGTGGTACACGTGCATTTCCTCCTCTGCGTTTTCATCTCCCCGGATTCGACTCGGCTGTTTATTTTCCTTCTCAAGGCTTCGTTGCAATGACGATTTCGAAAACAAAGAAAAATACATCCAATGTTTCCCCTCGCATAATTTTATGTAAAACACAAATTTTTAATGTGTTATATAAACTCTTAATTTGTTTTAATTAATTATCTTTTTGAGAATATACATCGAAACGATATAAAGATGATATTATTTTAATAGAAAGTAAATAAATTTTGCGCGAATAAAGATAACATACATATAGTGTAAAAGAAGTAGTTAAAATCGATCAACACTGGCAATATTTATTGAGATAAAAAAATCACAATCACGACGTTTCGACCATAGGTTTTGGTCCTTTTCGAGTGAACTACAAAAAAATTATTTCCAGTAATACAACAAACAAGAAAAATTAATGATACTAAATTACATAGATGTTCAAATAAGATTACATATAGTGTATATTGATATTTTTATTTACACAAAAAATATTAACGTAATATTAACAAAAATTAAATTGTTTATATTATTATATTATTATATGTATAGTATATTATATTATATATTATATGTATAATGATTATCGTTATGTTTGTTCATCCGCTGGACAAATTTAAAACTTATTTGATAAACCTCGGAGAATGTTGATTGTGTACATTAGAAACTGTAAGTAAAAGTTCGACTAGCCTTTGACACAGGAGGTTGACACACGCCAAATCTAAATTTGCCACCGGTAGTTTCCGTTCGGAAACTACATCGGAGAGAGCTCTAAACTTCGAACGGCTATTTACGCTTCCATGCGTCGCGAAGTAGATCATATTCGCACCCTCTCTCTTCTCGGTTTATCAGCAGCTACTCGATTTACTCATCAACTCTCCCGTGCGATGCGCAAATTCCGAGTAAATGCGACTTCGCCAACACTTAAGGGCGTCCTAATTGCCCGCGGGTAATTACACGCCAGGGTGTAAAGGATGTCGGGAGGATTAGACGTCGTAAAGAAAGTCACCCCCGACAGTAGCAGTCATCGGGCGGTTTTAAAGAAAATTAAAGACCGGTCGCGCTTAACGTCGGGCACCTCCACTTGTCTTCTCTCTTCCTTTACGCGTGTAATTTCACCGACGTGATTTTCTACATCGTCGAATCTCAAAAGACCGTTCTTTTTTGTACATACGGTGAAAAATGGCAGCGACGACCGTCCTGAGGACGCAATGCGCAATCTTGGAGAGTGCTTCTTTAACGAGAAAAATCCAGGCTTCGAAAAGAACGAGGAGACAGACACGAGGGTGGACGTATCGGTGCAGCTGTGGCGAATAATTTCGATCACGAGAGGCGCAAGCTGTCTTGTAAATTCTCTTGTCTGTAGAAAAGTCGACGATTTAAAGAGATAGAAAATTTCTAGCGTCGTTACCGCAACGCACGGCTTTGCGTAGCTTTTTTCTCTTGCTACTGGAAGCAAAATCCTCATTTTACAGATCAGTTCGTTTTAACGAACGCGTTTTTTGTCACTTGTCTCTTCGCCGTTTTCCATTTCAAAAGCACACGTATAGACGTACACGGGTATGCACTTTTACTCAATTTTAAATATAAAGTACAAAGTATATACGAAATAAGCTCGAAAAATATTCCAGTAACGATGATAATAACGAGAAGGGAAGATTATTATTAGACCTCTGAATATGAAGCGGAGTTGATGGTTGCGGAAAAGTTTACTTTAACTTTGTAACGGGATGACATGTCTTTCGTATAGCGCATTTTCCTAAAAGTAAAACTACCATGACACATTTTCGCTGCGCGCAGTCTCATTTTCGTTGGGATCGTAAAAAATAAAATTACTCGATATCGCGCATTATGGCATAATAACCGTATCAACCGTATTAAAATCGAGCCAAAGTAGCCATAATAGCATAATATCGAGCTTGATAAAAATCGTCGGAATTATATACGTTTCCTGAATATAAGCTAAACTACACGTATTTATATAATCTGAGAATGAAATTATCGTCATTTGTTGCCTTAACAAAGAGGCTGCTTGGGCCGCGCGTGTTCCTGGGATAATGACGAGAAATAACGCGGCTGAATCGCGTAATTGCACATCTGATTAGGATGCGATATAAATAAAATTGCGACTTCCAAGTGCGCGATTCTGAATGTAGCCGTGTTAATTCCGCGCATGTAATCTACCTTCTTTGGATTTTATTCCTCTCTTTTTCTCCTTCCCTCTTTTCAGTTCGGCCTCGCAGCTCTCCGACATGGAGACGGGGGAGGAAGCCAGCAACGAACGGGTGACGACTTACAAAGTAGGCATGCTGGGCGCGTCGGAAGTCGGGAAAACCGCCCTCACCGCGCAATTCACTACGAGCGAGTATATTTGCGCTTACGACGCTTCCCTCGGTAAGAATATTCAAATTAGAAATCTCTCCAGATCTAATTTTGGTATCGAAATGATTGATTCGCGACGCAACGATCGGTTCTTCTGGATATGAAATATATTCCCGAAGTCATTCGCGCGATTAAAATTCATGGATTTTGCCAGAAGAAATAACAATTATTTTCTTCGTCGATGGATAGATGATGACGAATAGATATCTCTTTTCAATCGCAAACTACGTGCCATATCGTTTTCATCGCCGTGGAGGAAATTGATGTCGTCTCCGCGTTTCTGCTTCGGAAAGAGCTCGAATAGAGCTCTTCTCTTTCCGGAATCTTTGCGTACGGCAGATCATTGTGATGGCTATTTTGCATTTAATATAATTGTAAGTTCTCTCTCTCTCTCCCTCTCTCTTCTCTCTTTCTCTTTCGCGAGAAAGTGATTATTCGCGAAATTGTGCGCGCTTTTCCGAGATTCGATGAGAATTAATTACTCCGATGGAAAATGTATTGACCAGCCTATTTACGCGTAACATATTTCCCTTTAAATATTTTGATTGCATCAAAATAATTGCCCGATTATATTGTCGACAAATTATTCTTCGTAAATGGCTTTACTGCCGCGCTCAAATTACTTTGGTACGTCAAATTGCATCCCGTTAATCTTTTCAATTCGCTCAGTTTCCATTCGCGTTCCAAACGTTGTCGCGCGTGCAATAAACGGCCTCGTACTATATTCCTTTTGTAGATCGACAATCGGCAAATGTATTGTGCGAGTTGATATTTATTCGAGAGAACGAAATTCGATCGTATCTCGTGCGAGAGTGCGATAACTTTCAATATAACACATAACAATAAGCAACGTGACGCGGAGAGTTTAGCGAAGTCCGACCGGGTTAATTAATTTGTTCGAAATGATTCGTTTCGAGATACAATTGCGCCTATAATGAATCGTTCATTGGCGCGTTCACGCCATGTTTACACGCCATGTTTTCTCCTCGTTCGCGAATTCCATTCACGACGCAAATTTGCTCGCCCGTTAAATAAGCTTCAATGCTTAATTAAAACTCGCTCGTTAACTCGACTCGCATAACGCGTTTTTTTCGCTTTTCGATAACATCCTCCATCAATGCAGAAAAAAAATAAGTGTCGAATCAAAACTTATATACTTAAACTAACGCGTTCATTGTTTCGTATATACGCAATTTCTAATCTTCTTCGAAGAATTTAATAATTTTAAATTTCAACAATATTATAGTCTTATTTTAATATTGTAATTGTCGTCTCAAGAATATATAATTATTTAATTCTACTTTAAGAAAATTCTAATCTTTGATTTAAAAATGTTATTTTCTATCTAACATTGTTTCTTTTCCATTCGAGAAAATTAAATCTTAAATCATAAGAATATATTTTTCTCGAACTTGAACTGTACAAAATGGCTTCATTCAAGTAAGCAATTATTCAAGCAATTATATTTTTCTTTAATTAACATAATGTAACCTCATTTCAAGATTTCCAAAACTAATTATATTTTTAAAACAAGAGTGTCCTTTTTTTCTGTGAAGGGAATACTCTTTTACGCTTCGTGTGACGCGGAAGAAAACAATCGTTTCGTATCAATCAGAATTTTCAGATATTGATCTTCGTATCGAGATGCAGTTTGAGCAGCTTAGTGCATTCGATAGCGATTTGTAACGCATTGTACTTTGAGTGAAAACGACGAGATAGAAAACAATAAGCGGCTTGTTGTTGACCCGAGAAGGAAATGGCTTCTCCGTTTCCTTATTCCTTGGAGCGCGTACGTGTACAATATTTTACCGTCAGCGAGGTCACTCTCGTAGTGGCTTTCAACGCTGATTTTATTGAAACTGTACAAGCTTCTGGACCCGCGTTTCGAATACGGGCCGGCGGCGATCCGCGAGAGCTTTCAAAGCTGACCCCTCGTCGTATCGATTTTGTATCGAGGCTATCGTTTCGCCGAGGGACCAAAATCGATATTTTCTATATTACGTGTGGGAAATAAAAAACACATCTTTCTTTTCTCGAATTCTCTTTGGCAATACGGACCCGACTTGAATTGTTAATGATTCGCCAGGGAAAGAACGATTAATCGGTTCTAGGATTTTATCGGTGTTTTGGGTGCAATTAGGTCCGTCTCTTCGGATAAATATTCGCGCATGACGCGTACATCTCCTCTCGGTAATCTCGTATAAGATTAATGAGAGATCGAGCCTAATTTGCGTAACGAGGTGGCAGTTAATGAAATATATGATCGCCGAGAGAAGACCCGGAAACGTTATTGTCGGAGATCGGAGCGGTATATTAATCATGTTGTTTCATCTGTTTCAAAATTATTTACTTGATGTATCAGCGGCGCGATGAATAATTCGGGATGCATCGCGAATTTCAATTTTCATTTCCAGATGAAGAATACGGGCAGAAAAGCGTCTCCGTGATGCTCGACGGGCAAGAAACGGAATTGGAGATCATCGATCATCCCGCCGCGGAAATGTCAGTGAGTATAACAAATGCAATGTCTTCCTGCTTATGTAGAAAAACTCTGCCGTTAAAAATAACGACAATCGGGCGATCGAAATTACGTAATAAATTGCATTGGATGAAATTTATCTGACGCTTTACGGCAAGTAGAGTAGTTATAACACGATATCATCCACATCTAGAATTCCTTTTATCGTCGCTGATTAAATGTCAACGTAAAAAAAACCGGGATACGCGTTTCGATATAAACTACACGCGAGATAATAGGCGTAGATGAGAAAGAAAGAGATCGGAGAAACGTAGGTGTTATTCTTTATCCGTTAAAGAGAACGAATAGACTCGAGAGAGTCAATAACACGGAAGAGGAAGCAAGTGAATTATTTGTTTGGATTTATCAAGATAAATTGGAGAAAGGTTTCCGCGTGGGTACATAATATGATATGGTATGAAATGTATAAGCTGTATGGAACAAAAAGCGTGTAAACAGCAATGCACTGCCGTAAAGAATTGGTCGGAAACGTACGCGCGAATTATTATTGAAAAATAAATAATTTCTTTTTTATACAACAATTTCTATACAATAATTTCTTTTTTATACAACATACATTTCTGTTCCATTTATTGTGCAGTATTGCATGTGTCGCGTCACAGCGGAATTCATTATTTGTGAAAAAAAAGAAATAATAATAATAAAAGCTATTCGCCGAATCTATTTTCATCATCGCCGATGATCGATGTTTTTCGCCGAGTTTTTCCATTTTTCTTTTCATTTTTCTGAGGTCGAGAGTTTTTGTTCGACCTACAATCCGGACGTGTACGTAGTGGTGTACTCGGTAGTGGACAGAAGGAGCTTTAAAGCCGCCGAGGAGACGTTGCTCTATTTGTGGAAAAGCGATTACATGGCTACTCGCGGTGTCATTTTGGTCGGTAATAAAGTCGACCTCGAAAGAAAGCGGGAGGTTCCATCGGTGGGTGAGTATAGATGAATTTTTGTCCAAATTTCCCAACGCAATTACGATTCGCAAACCCTTTCAATGAAGTCCCGAGAGAAAATATAAGTCAATCAAATTTTTAATTGGAGGAAAATCCTCATTACTGTGAGAGTCGCAAGAAAAAAATATTTTTAGCATTTTTTTTGACACAAGATGATTTTAATAAAAATGTCTTATTGCACACTGTTGTTAATGAAAATCTCATATTGATTGTTTTTTTACAATACATTTTGCAAAATTGGATTAAAAGACAATATGGTAGCTGTACGTCATGCTTTGTTGTCAACCTGTTTTAAAAATTATTTCGATTGGAACAAAATGACCTATACTTTATAAACTATATGAATGTATAGTTATCGTTGTATACGTACAAAGACTTAAAAATATTAATCTATTGGTAAAATGTCAAACTTCTGAAAAATAAAAATATTATTAGAGAAAATCGAGTTTACGATTAAAAAATATTTTCTTAAATAGTAGACAAAAAATCGACAAAATAAATAACGATAACTATACGATAAAAATACATCCCTTTTTTATTTCTGATTAATTCCCTGAATAATTCCCGAGACAGTCTAATAATATATAAAACGTATGTTTATTTACATTACTTTTTTTAAATTTTATTTCCAGCATTCACAAATTGTGTAGAATCAGTATATCGATAAGACATTTTTATTAGAAACTTTATGTTAAAATATTTTGTACCTTTTTTTACAATAGATAGCTTGTTAGATCAAGATCCTTATTATATGTGTTTTTAGATCTATATAAATTTACTATCACGCTAAGGTTGACGAAATAAGCTCGAAAAAAGCATTTAACGAATATTGATGATAAAATTACAATAAAAATATAATATAAAAATAATATAAAAATAAAATGCGACGCGTAACGCGGTAAAAAGATGAATAAAAGAATCTGCAAAGATTTCAAAATCGCAATGGACATTCGAATCCTTGATTTCTGCCGATAGTCGGTCGTCATCTGGCGAACAATTGCGGCTGCAAATTCATCGAAACCTCCTCGGGTCTGGCCCATCACGTGGACGAGCTCTTAGTTGGCATTCTAGCGCAGATCAAGCTGAATCCGCAGCGGGACCAAGCCGCCAGACGTCATCGGAGCAAGCACCGCAGGCGAATCCTGAAGCATCTGCTCGGGTTCAAGAGGAAAACCAAAAGTTGCGAGAATCTCCTCGTTCTCTAACGTACCTTCGTTCCTTCGCATACGGCGAAGATAATGATTTCGCCGGATATCGAATATTTCGAGCGATTGTCGTCTCAATCGGCTCGAAAAGAAACGTGCGCTATCTGCGGCGAGTCTTGTCGATCGCGCTCACGTAGACGAGAAACGTATCTGATAAAAGCCGAATCGGCAGCGCGAAGTAGGAATATCGAGCAGGCTCTCGTGGCACCAATTGTAAGATGGAAGAGTTCGCGCGATACGTGACAAAAATCGTCGAGCTTTCGCAGAGAAATAAAATATGAGTATCGCTTCATCATACGATTCCAAAGCGTGATTTTTTTATACGAAACGTGACGCGGTGGATTATTAAAGTAAAGAAGATTAATGCAAAATTTTGTTGCGAAACGCGCACTTACATGCATAAGTAATAATTTTATGAAAGAGTATCAATGTGTGTGTATTGCGTCGTATTTCTCTCTCTCTCTCTCTCTTTCTCTCTTTCACCGAGAATAATTGTTATTGTATATTTCATCAAGAACAATTTTGATGTTTATGTCATCTCGCGCGGCTTATGCAACGCTGCAATTCATTAAGAGGACAACGCGACGCTAAATAGCAGCGAGAAACAAGTCGGGAATAATCATGAATGAATAATGGGATGTACGATAAAAATTATATATACGAGAGATACGAATTCTGACAAGCGAGCTAACGCAAAGTCATAAGAGGAAATGTGATTTATCGTAACACGTGGCGTTGACAACAGGAGGCTACGCGCTGCTGTCCATCGATTTTTGTGAAGTTTGCAGAAATAATATTATACTGCCAATATATAAAATCATCTTTCACATGAGTTTCAGAAGTAAAATGATAGAGAATTAAAAATAGTTTCTTATATATACGCTTATGTAGCCGCAAGAAGTAAGACAAGTATTACTTAGCAACTTTAAAAGTGTTATGTTTTATAATAACAATTATTATCCAAAGAATATATCAGTGAAACTGTCATCAAAAAATAGTTATGAACTCTCTTTTTCTTTTTTTTTTTGGTTTTTTATTATTAAGAAAACAAGCAAAAAAATTTATATAAATCAACTGCACTTGAACCTGCATAGTGCTTCTGCTGCTAAGCTATTTATACTCATACGTTCAATATTAATCCTGAATAGCTACAAGTATATGCGCTGCAAGAACCTATTTTTATTCTCTCATAACTTCTAAAGCCCATTCGAAAGATTACACATATTGATAGTATATTTTTTATCATTTCCAGGGATTATATTCCCTATTTTTTTTTTATTATAGAGAAAAAAGGGAAAAATCGTGACTAAAGAAAGGAAATTAAACAAAAGAGAAATTGTAACTGATGAATTTACAATCATATCAAAAGATTAAAATAAATTTTAATCTTTTAAATTTTAACATTTTAAAATAATAAAACTGATGTATTATTTAAACAATAGTATTTTCAAAAATAAGCACAATATATATTTAATATATATAATTTCTGATAAAATTTATATGAGATTTATAGGCACTTTAAACATTTTGACATAATTATTAACAAGTTAGTATATATAATATCATAATATATATTTATATATTTTCAACATAACTATTAAATGGTATAAAAATGAATACGGAAAGCAGTAGCATGTTTTAAAATAATAATTGGCACATTTTAAATAATAATATATTTATTGTATTTTAATCAGTATCAATAGTTTTGAGTTTTCTGCTTATTTTCAAATTTTTTTTTTAAATACTTTTCTCTCACTTTCTCAACTTTGTTCTTTTTCTTTATTCCGAATTTTTTTAGAATTAATTCTTGAAAAATTTTACTCATCATAGATTTATTATTTAATAGCCACTTTCCTCCAATATTGTTTCAAGCAGTAAATTATAGGGGAAGATTATAGGTTTAAGAGGAAAAAAGGCAAGAGCAATGAAAAGAGAATAAAGAGAAAATAGAGAAAAGAAAACGATCACTGCGTTTCTGTAAATTTAATGGACATCGATGAAGAATAGCGTGTAATTGTCTCGTTGTAAGATGACGAAACGTTTTGAGAAACTTTGCAAAGATCTCCTGACACTTCGAATTTACATTTGTGCTATCTAACGGTCTACTTGGAAGATTACCATAAGCTCATTTTCTCTTCCAAATGTACATAGATAAGCTACATATATCCGATATAATCTAGATTAATGTTTGTAATGATACGATCGTATGATATAATAATAATGATAATAATAATTCTAATAATTAACAGCTGTGGTAATCATGAAAATCGATCGCTTTACCATTTGGGGTGCGCGAGAGAATTAATTGTAGAAACATCAATTTATACGTACACTTTGACGGCTATCTCGCGATGGAATATATCGAATTTATTCGATTAAAAAAAATCGAGACGTCTAGATAACGACGTTCTTTCAAGAAGAGACTCTGTCTTCAGATTCATTGCTTTTCATTGACAATTTTATAATATACGTATTTTTTTTTATCGTGAATAACTTACTCGAGTTTAAAAGAACTTATCTGAAGATTTATTTTTTTTTTTTAAGTATAGGATATATTTAATTTAAGGATACAGTTTCGCACACTAATGTTTTTAAATATATATAGATGGGATCAACAAAAACATAATTGACCACGCAAATGTCTTGTTTACATAAAGACAGCTTTGCCGAGATGCACGAAAGAGCGTCGTTATATAATGAAATTTCAGCTACGGGATTCGCGTTCGAGATATAAACGATCCACCTGCTATCTCCATTGAACTGGTATCTGTTTAATATCGTTATCATACATGTGGGGAACATATCATGTAACTACAAGAGATGTAATCTATCGATATCAGGTGCTCCAAAATCTCGAAATTAAATTATCCTTACGAATGAATGTTCGTTTTTGAGAAAATTCGATATTTTGAGTACAATTTATCGACTCTGTACGCGCAGCTTCTGTTAAAATTGACCAAACAGTGAATGTTTTATATGGATTTTTAATAAATTTTTTCTTTTCCTCAATTTTCTATCCAGAAAGAATTTTTTTTCTTCATCTTACACATTGTCGCCATTTATGCTAAAGTGATAAATAATCCTGGAAAATCAGATAGATTCCTTACTTTTAAGTCCTTTCTTCTTGTTTAATTTTTTATTCGTTAAAATAACACGGTAACAAAGGATGAGAGAACGAATTCGGGAGATGCGTTGCTGGTAGTATCGGAGGTGGCAAAGGACGAGGGCAACATGGTCCACGTGTTATCGGACAACATCGAGGTGGCGGGACACAGGGTGGTCTCCGAAGCGGAGCTTCGCAAGAAAATTCTTCGATCCTCGGGGGCAAAATTACGCTGAGCGATTCTGGTGGTGGAACGCTCGGGTATTCGCTGCGAAAAATGTTGCAAATAATGAAATACAGTTATATTGCAGAGAGCAATTCTCTATTTTTTTCATACGCGCAAAGAACACAAATAATTTTTATCGTTTCGATTAATTAAATATTTCGCGCGTACCAGCGATCAATCATGCATATTAAATACTTCAGTTCTTCCATATCGTCCCGACACGGCTCTGATTTTTTTTTATAGCAAGACGTGTCTCTTACGTGTACTGACATTTTTATTTTATTTCAATTGTGAAATTTAATTTTAAAATTTTAATTGCCTCGCATACTAAATCTTGTTGTGACTTTTGACAGAGAATTTTTCTGATGAGGAGAAAATTATCGCGTGATGTGAAATTGCAGTTTAATATACAAAACCAATCTATCGCGTTTTTAATAATACTACGAACAAAGTCGCAATTAAAATGTGTCAATTTTAACTCCAAGCCCTTTTAATATGTTTTATATGCATTTAAGTTATAAAACATAATTTTTTTCAAAAGATTATCGCATAGAATTATGGCAATGTCCGGAAAAATTAGCGCTTATCAGAGATTAATGTTGAGAATTGCTTCGATCCTGCCTGAAAGATTCCGTGCTGTATTTTTGCATCCTGCAGGTATGTTGCCATCTAAAAATTCAAATTTTTCTAAGAAAATATTTCATAAAAAAATTATCTCATATCTCAGGCCCGACTACGGTATTCTTTTGGGCACCGACGTTTAAATGGGGCCTGGTAATAGCGGGTCTAGGGGACATTAACCGACCCGCGGACACAATCTCGCTCAGTCAAACTGCGAGTCTTATGGTTACAGGCGCTATATGGTCTAGGTATGAATTTTATCAATTCTCAATTTAATCACAATACTGTCAACTTGTCCGTATCTACGCAATTTTAGATATTCGCTGGTAATAATACCCAAAAATTATAATCTATTCAGCGTCAACATGTTCACATGCGCCACGGGGGCGTATAATTTTGTTAGAGGATTGTTATATCAAATGGAGAAGAAGTAAAAGACGGGAATCGTGAAATGGAAATCGTGAAATTATCGTATATCGATATATCTTTTGTAAAAAAATGTATGTATACCTCCTTCGATCTTTATTTTATAAAATTATTTTACAGTTACGCTAACTATTCGTATATCGTCGTAAGGCTTATCAGTCTTAGGATTCGTTTTCACTTGACTGATATTTTGCACGACTTCCATTCCTTTATGAACTCGGCCAAATACGGTATGTTTGTTATCTAACCAGGGCTATAGAAAGCGAACAAAATATTCGCATTAAGTATCTTTAGTAAGTATTGTAAAGTACCTTTTATAGAAACTATTCATCATCTCAATCTATGTTCGAAAAATTTTATTCGAGATAAATTTGTACTCACCGTCGGTGTCAGCGTGATGAAAAATTGGCTACCATTCGTATTCGGTCCCGCATTAGCCATACTTAAAGTGTATGGTCTGTCATGCTTCAAATTCGGCTTAAACTCGTCCTCGAACTCACCTCCCCATATGCTTTCACCGCCAGTACCGGTTCCGGTGGGATCGCCCGTCTGTATCATGAAACCTTTGATAACTCTATGGAAAATGTGTCCGTTGAAATAACCATTTTTCGCGTGTACGCAGAAATTCTCCACAGTCTTGGAGACGTCCTTGCCGAAGAGATTGACGTGGATGTCGCCGAGTGCCGTATGAATGATCGCTGTGTCGTATATTTTCTGCATATTTGTAGCTTCCGTCGAAGATATAATGTCTTCTTTCGAGGGCTTCTCATTGAAAACATCTCGGTCGCATTCTTGGCTCTTTGTGTCTTCCGGTTCTCGTCTCGTGAACATATAGAATCGATTTTTTTTATGAGCTGTGCAAAATAACGTTGGATCGGGACGGTTCATTTCTATCGTAGGATTCTCAGAAGCTTCCATTTCAACAGTTAACGCAGCGGTTGTCTTTCTCGCTTTTCCCTGCACATCATTCGTATGTTATATATCATGAATCATACATCGATCTGCGCTTTAATTGCAAAACTTATTAAATACCTGGAACAATGCTAGGTGCATTGGTCGTATGTTTTCCGGCTTCCCCATAATTTTGATACAACGATTTGTGTAAAGATTCACCATTTTAACACCTAGCATCGTAGGGTACAAAATAATATAACCAGATTCGTCAAAGATGATATTTCCTAAATTCGTGTCAGTTTTATCCAATTCTCTTTCGACTGCCATTCTATAATATGTAATAACAAAAATTTATGTAACCAGTTGAAAGCATTTAAAAAATTTTGAGAACCATAGAAAGTAACAAGCATTTTACCTGCGTCCAAACTCCATGTTTGGAAGTTGCTGTACAGTTTGTTGCAATTCCGTAAATCTTTGAAGTGTCTCGTCAAATATCCTATATAGTTTACCCGTCCGAAAATTGAAAACTCTAACTTTTCTATCTCCACTAAGGGATGCAAATCGTTTGCCATCAGGTGATATTGCTAAACCACATGGATAAGTCTTATTCTTGGCAAACTCAAACAAATCGGTGTCTAATTTTGATTCAAACGATATGCATTTGGGAAATCTGTACTTCATTTTCGGACCCGTCCAATACTCCAATATGCCTGCTTTATCGATGGAGATGCATGTTTCATATACAGGATTATACTGCAAAAAGAAAGATATATTAATCAAATTTTTTTTCAATTAATTCAATAAGTCTCTCTATATATTTTGAATTGTAATTTACTTTCATAATAACGACAGGTTTAGTGTGTAGTTTCTCCAATACATGTAAAGGTGTATTTGTTCCTTGACCATCATAGATAAATATTTTATTTGATTCTTGCGAAGATACTGCAATAGCAGATATAGCATCGCCAGCTGAATACACCCATTCAGCACAGAGTGGCACAAAATCCAATCTTATCATATTTATCATGTCTTAAATCAAAAATATATATATGATAAATTAAATGTTCTTTATAAATGTTTTAAAGTAATTAAAAATAATAAATATATACTTACCAAAATTGATGACGTCAAATATTTTCATAGTTTTATCAATACTGACTGAGCACATGTGAACACCATTGCAACTAACAGACATTGACTGTATTGCCATTAAATGTGCCCGAAAATGCTTTACAAATTCTATCAATTCCTCCTGTTTTTTCCAAAATTTTACATGTCCATCGCAACTGGCAGTTATCACAAAGTTTGACCTGAATTGATACATTCGAATAAGATTTTTCAGAAAGCAAAAACTGTATACATCATTTTATTATTTATGCAATATACCAACTTTGTTACCAAAATGTGAGTAATGACATCCCTGTGCATGTAAGACTTCTCGTAACATTCACAACATGGCAAGTTATCTATATACACCTGTTCATACTCCAAAACTGTAAAAAAATAAAAGATATTTAGAAAAAATATACAAATAAAATACAAAAATTTTCTTATTTATTGTTAAATAAAAATAGAAATAAAATTAAAATCTTGCAAGAGAGATTTACATAGAATAGGGAAACATTATTTTTCATTATATTTATTTAAATGTGAATTATAAAAATTGTCTTCATTATAACCTCGTTGCTTCTTTTGCGGTGCAGCTTCTGTAGGTAATGGTCCAATCCAGCCATCTTCCGTGTCACTCTCTTCGTGTTCCCGCTTGCCGCTCATTATAATCACCGCATATAATGTATGATATTTCCAATATTATTAATAAATAAATACACACAATGTATAATCACCTATCCACAAATGTTTATGTTGCAGCGACCTCAGCCGCAACCGCCGCAACTAACTCTTCAGTTGACATTTCATTGGTTGAATAAACATGACAGTCGACCAATATAAAATCAGCTTTAAATGTGCTGCTAAAGGTATGTTCGAAAATATTACTGGGACAGAATAGCTTTCAATTAACCAATCAGGACAAAGAGAAGTCTTTTGTCCTGATTGGTCAAATAAATGTTACTTTAGACGATTGTAAGATTTTTGAACGCGCCCTATCATGTTTATTGTCCATTTGACATCCACAGAAAGTGGGATTGGAGATTAGCAGAAGAGCAAAAATGGCTGCTTGGATGAGAACTATTCGTACCTTCTCCAGAAAATATGCGACTAAATCTAGCCCACACGAACATACAAGTACAGGTGAATACGAGCGAATTGTTATGTCAATAATTCAATATTTTATTTGCATGCATTTGAGAAACACAACTTATGCTTGCACAGAATATGGCATACTTGACGATACCGTTTTTTATAATATGTTTTTATTAAATATTATTAATTAAGATCTAGATATGATGCTTTGCACTTGAACAACATTACGATGATGCATTGTTTTTCCTCAGGGACAAGAAAAGAATGTATCATCTCTAAATTAATTATCAATGAATATTACATAACAGTAATACTTGTGTGTACATACCTTACAGAACAGTCACTATTGTTGTGGAAGAGGATTTCGTTCTTTGTTGGCGTGCCAGCGATATGTCTGGCTATGTTGAATTGCTATTTGAATCATCAAGCTCATCATAATGATGAACGTCCAGAATTCGTTGCGTATGAACATATGAGGATAAGAACCAAGGTATACATCGATATGTCGTGCATTGATATAATTATTATATATATATATATATATATATATATATATATGTGTGGAAAATAAACATTTAAAAATTAAGTACTGATTAACTTTTCATTTTCTTTTAATTTTCAGAAATTCCCATGGGGCGATGGTAATCATACACTTTTCCATAATCCAGAAGTAAATGCTTTGCCTGAAGGTTATGAAGAGTAGAGACTAATTCTGTTTAGTTTGTAATGATTACGTTAATATTACTAGCATTCTGTAACATGTATCCTACATTGTATTATCTTATGAATGATTAAGTCAATAAATTGGTAGAGATACAATATTTACATTTTTTTCACATGTTACATTTTTCTGTACAATTAATTTGATGTAGACATTGTAACAAATCATTATTGCTGTACATACTTTTAAAATTATAAATTAATAATATTAATAAAATTATAAATCGATTATAAATAATCATTATTAAATTATTATTAAATATTTAACTTTAAAAAGTACATGTCAGAAAAATTACTTATCAATATATTTTGTTAATTTTAGTTACTTAAAGAGAATTTGTAACCAAGCAAAAATAAATTTGAAAGAGATTATATTTTTATTAGAACATGTATGAGTATATCTATATTTTAAATATATAAATTGAATTGACAATAACAAGCATTAAATATATAAATGTATATATTTTTATTTTTCATATATACATCTATACATAAAAATCGTTTTACATCTCATAAAGTCGTACAGTTCATAGATAATGAATATAATTTTTAAAACAACTAGTTGTAAGATTTCACTTTGTATGTCAAATCTCACATAACAAATTCAAGTCACATATATCAAAAATTGAAACAAATATCGGATTTTTAAATATCACATACTATTAATATATGTTTTAAAAGCTATTTATGTGCTAGCATGTCTAAATTAAACTACTATTATATATACCATTATATATTACTCTTTATTTATATAAAATTATATATTTGTATGCATATTTGTATATTATTATATAATCATGCGTATATTATTTCATATGTGTGCGTATACGTTATATTTCAAGCGAAAAGTATATATATTTTATATATATCTTATATATGTATATATATATATATATATATATATATATATATATATATATACGATCGATAAAAAAGATATAGAAAGAGAAATGTAATGTGTGAACTTCTTTTACAGATATATCATATTATACATTTAATAAAATTGTGCGTTTATTTCTTATTACACACATACACAGGGGCGGCACTACGGTTTCGCCCCAGGTCTGGACAACAATCAATTGAGAGGGAGGGGGGTAGGATTTGATTAAAAAAAAAAATTTTTTTACCGGTTTAATTCATGCAAGAAAAGTTTAGTTACGTCCACGGATAAAGTAGAATTAAAAAAATTTTTTTTACCGATTTAATTCATGCAAGAAAAGTTTAATTACGTCCATGGGTAAAGTAGAATTAAAAAAATTATCCGTTTATGATTGTCAGATTTGAATTTCTATACCTACTCATGAGTGAGGTCTGAATTTATCCAGACTATTCCTAGTGGTAGGTCATCCCTGCACACAAACACACATACATATATATATCATGTATATGACTAGAATATTATAAATATTATATATATTAATTTAAAGATTAATTTCTCTAAATAATCATCAAAAAATTTATTAATAAATTATTTTCTTATAAATTAATTCAAAATTACTAAACATCTCGCGTGAGATTTAATTTTGTAAAAAGATAATTTGCGTCAATTTCGCGAGCCTTTAGTGGTGATTCAAAAAATGGCGAAGAAAAAAAGCACTAATTTAATGCGCTGTAATAAATTAGTCTGTACGGAACACACAGACATGAGGATTCATCGAAGCGATTATAAACTAGCAATTGGTGAAGAGGCGAGAGGCGCACGTCCATCAACCATTGACAATCACCTGTTGCGTTCGCTCGATACGCGCCACGTGCTAACGCGGCGCATAATGCACGTGCTGCACGATACGACGCAGGTACCTCTTGCGCGATCAAAAAGAAAATGAATCATCGTATTTATATGGTTTCGTTCCAACGTGACATCCTGTACGATAAATATCTCTTCTTTTCACCTTCTTTCCATAGCTATAAAATGGTCATTGATGCAAATTATTTTCTTGAAAATTGAGTTTCATGCGACTATATAATTAATTTGTATTACTATTAATTTGTATTACTGCTCTTCTGATTTGAATATTAGTTTAGAGGACACAATATACTTAATAATTTTGAATAATAATAATTATAATTATTTTGAAATTATTGATTTATAAGAAGATAATTTATGTTAATAAATAATTTTGTGTGTGTGTTTGTGTGTATGTGTGTAATTATATGTGATAATTATATATATATTGATTTATTTTTTTTAAATTAACATCTTAATTGATCATACATATAATACTTATAAGTTTATTAAAGACTAGAATAATGATTCAATAATCCGAATATTTAAAACATTATACGGTTATATATAATAATGGATATCAAATAATTGTCCAATGTATTATTTTTTATCTTTAATAATACAGTGTTTCTTATGTTTGATGCATTTCAGTAATTTGGTGATATAAGAATCAAACCGAAAAATATTATAAATATATATTACATGCAGTTGCTAAGTAAAACTTAACAATATTTTTATTATGCGCTTTATTTAAACGATACGTTGCGGCAAAAGATCGGCGTTCTTGCGATTCTAAATCAACTTCATGGACAAATGCACTTCCTGTTACAACTTTGATATAAACGCGGATTTTTTTAATGAAGAAATACAAGTTGATTTATTGGAAACAAGATTAATGCACTTTTATTTTTCATAATATATGCTTACGCAAATCCGCACTATGAAAGTCATATGTTGATTAATTTATAGATATTTTCGAAATCTTATATATATCATACGATTTTAATTTATATTACACACACAAATCATTAATCGTCAATTGACTTGCAATTATTTTTTCGAGAATGTAATTTTATATAAAAAATTACATATATATATATATATATATATATATATATATTATATTTATAAAACGAATAATGTCGCGTAATAAGTAAAAAATAAAAAAATTTTGCCGAAATGATATTTCGTCAATTTTATTAAAAAATATTTTCGCGCGACACGTTAATCCCATCACCTTTATCGCGCAAGTATTATATCCATTTCTATGCATGTCACTCAAATTTTTATCCACTTTAATACTCTGATTAAGCGTAAGATTAGCAAACGTCTAGCAAAAATCCCTACAAGGGATATTATACTTCATGTTCTGTGGCAACCCTCGAGATGGTACAGTAAGATACTGGTTGAATAATTAAGAAGGGCAAAAAGCACAAGCAAAAAATATCACAAGAGTGGTGAGAGTAAGTCGCCTCTTTCTATCCGAAATAATTTATTTCTGAAATTTCTAATACAATTCTAGAATTATAAAGATCCCAGTTGTATAGAATTTATTGTCGAGAATTTTTAACAGACCAGTCGTCTTTTAAGGATTACATGTGACTTTCTTGCCATTATATTTATTAATTAAATCTTTATCGAGTTGATCTATCATGTTTTTAGACTCCGTTTTGGGGCTTTCACGCATGCCACATGTGGAATAGCCTTCCCCTGGCTCTCCTTCAGACCTTTTTATAGCAAGATGTTATATGCAATGCATAAGTTTTTTTACAGGATTTATAATGAAATATCTTGCAGAAAAGAAGTAAGTTATTTCTGGCGTGCTTACTTAATATTCGGTACCTCCGTCAGCCCCTTGTCAGCTGCTCTTCTTTTTGACTGTCCTAATGAGATCCTATCACTCTTGTCAATAGGTCACCGTTCCTCATAAATATAATACTGTACAAAGTGAGGCAAACTTTCACCCTCGAAGGGAAACATCAATGATATATCTCTCTCCCTAAACCGGGGAGATTTAGCCCCTAAAAAAACTGTCTGCAGTCGAATTTTCCGACCCTTGTGATAGACACTTGAGCCCTTGTCACGTCACAGTATATAAAAATATAATCATATATACATTTATTTCGAATTATATCACATAATGGAAGGAAACAAATGGCATGTGCGGAAAACTTTACAAAACTACTCGAGATGATGTTAAACAGGCTAATGTAAAAAACAACAGTGGTTAAAAATTTGTCTATGAGTGTCGAATGAAAGGAAATTTGTTAAAGAATACTTAACAGATTTCTTAAATATGTTAAATATGTTAAAAACAAAATATTATTTTATTATATATGTGTATTTGTATAAAATATGTTTCGGCGTACAATAAAAAAAAAAATTAATTTCTCAGTTTATTGATTTATGTTTTTTTCTCTTTAAATTATAAATGCAATTTGTATAACATTATATTATTTATTTTTCAATCGTGAAGAATGCCAATCATTCAATCGCTTATTACATACGTTATTTTTAATAATTAAGATGTTTTAATAATTAAGATGTTAGCCAATATTTCACTAACAAAATATCAAATATTTCTTTTTTTCTCATTGTAAAATGCAATGATTGCTTGATCGTGAAATACTTCCTATTCTCTATTTTCTAGATTTATATTAAGTAGATTTTTTTCCAACTTTCAATCGTGAGAAGTGTTTTATGCTGCTGTGTTTATCGCAATGATATCATTTTAACAATAAAGATATCGAGAGAAAATATACATATATTTTGCTAAATGGAAATTTTTATTATAATTACAAAGAATAAATTAATTATATATAAATAAATTTATTATATATAATTACAAAGAATATTATATTATAATAATATTATATAAGAATATTATTTATCACAAAAATAGTACGTAAACTATAATTTCTCTCATCTTACGGTGAAGTTTTCTTGTTAATGCACAGAATTGCTACATTACTTCATGTGTGTCGAATTAAAGACGCGATTATATATCTGTATATGAATATTCAATCTTAATGTAAGTCGCAGTGGCCGACAAATGTAGCCGATCGATAATTCTGGCAATTCCTTCTTCACGATTCATGACAACGCCAGCTTTAAATGTTGTGTGTCGCACATTGTAAATTAAAAATGTGCGTGTTCTGTTTCTCACGAGCGAATGTACGCGTTGAACACATTTTATACGCACAGGACACCATTATACATATTGAATTTAATTACATTGAAAATGCACGACATATCAACACCACATGTGAAATGTAATTAATATTACAGTATCATATTGAGTAATATCATATTGATCGTGTCAACAAACAATTACTACTTATAATTCCTTTTAATATACCTATTGTTACATACAGTGCCGTGCTAAGAGGCGAGCGAGGCCCTTGCTCAGGGCGCAAATTTTGAAGGGGCGCAAATGCAGATGAAATTTTGAAAGCTAATATGCATTACAATATTGTGATAATATAAAAAATATTTTGTATGTGTGTGATGTGTTGTTATCGCTGTAATATGCAGCATACTGATTATCGTTGTGATTATTACTGCTCAGCTTTATACTTTAAAATTATATAAATTATTATAAACTTATATTCTTTTATTTCCTTCATAAACCCGAACAAATGTGCACTTATTTTTTGACGTCACTTTTATTCAAAGGGCGCTAAAGGACTAGCTCGCCGCGAGTGTTAAATTACCTAGGTACGACACTGGTTACATAAATACATTGGACGGTATCGATCATTCGTAATTTGCGAAACCTATGTCCTTAATGATTACATTTGACGGACAAATGATACAATTATTTATTAATATAGATTAATATTTATAATATATTAACGATACAATTATTTATTAATATAGATTAATGTTTATAATATATTAACGATACAATTATTTATTAATATAGATGATGGAATTATTAATAGTATAGACCAATAATAATGTAAACTATAATTATATAATAATATAATAGTATAGAATTATTAATAAAAATCGACATTTACGCAAGGTATGTATAAACGTTAAATGGAGTAAGGTGATGCCGATGATATCCTTACCTACGTAAGGTGACTATGTTTCTATGCATACATATCCTTGGCAGATTTATAGCACACTCGGTTAACTTCGTTAAACTTATAAAATGAAATCCTTTAACCGAATTTGCCTTGTTTTTTCATCCCGCATTCGTATTCTAAATATCTTAGCTCCAAGAAAAGAAACCTACTCACATTTACACTTTAGGTAATTAATTTACATTTAAATTTTATACTCTGGGGTTATATACATGTATACACATATTACACACTACAGCCACACTTGTACACAAATTATACACAACATACACATTGTAGACATAGACAAAATTTGGAGAGAGAAGGGTAGGGCAGACGCGCTGGGAAGTTAGAGGGAATACTTGATTGAACTTGAGGGAATAATAGGATTACAAAGGATGTATATAATTGGACTCTTGGATCCGGGGAATTCATATGGAAGCGGATCCTTGGAATTTAAATGACAGTCCGAGCGGGAGAGGAGAAGTTTTTTTAGAGGGTGCAAATTGCACACAGCTTATCGAGCGGGGGTTCACAACGCATTTTTTTCATCTTACGCAAAAAAAGGCAGAGAGAACTGTAAAAGATTATTTCAATTTAAGATCAATGAGATATAATTAAACAAGGCGGAAATAACAAAAATAATAAAACATAATTAAACAACAGTTCATAAAATATTGCTTACTTTATAAATTTTCGTTAAATATTGCTTACTTTATAAAATATTGCTTACTTTATAAATTTTCGTAACAAGTGATATTGGAAAAAAATGAAGAAAATTTTCAAAAAAGGATACTCATTTTGAATTAAAATTTTCATTTGTTATGTTTTTGATTGCTCTTGTTTCAAAAAGTATTCCTGCAAGCAAAAAATACAGAAACATTCCATGTTTTGGTCGGAATAAAATAAAGAAACTTTATTTCGACAGATTGATACAAATCAATTTCTTACCCATGTCCTTGCTCTATACATTAACTTCAACTATATTATTTGTAAAAGAATTTATTTTTAAGAAACTTATTTTTCGAAAATTATTGCATATATACTGACATATATAATGCATATGTACCATGAATAAAATTTCATTTATAATTTTATAATTTTTCACTGATGTTCTGATGATTATTTATTATTTAATAATAGGAGAGACTTATCAGACGCGTTACATATTGCAATCAAAATTATCTCTGCCTTTATTCATGTTGTATCATTATTGATAATAAAAGGTATAAATATTGCATCTTTCATCTTCGTTCCGCGTTGTGTCGTTACTGACGTATAAAGATATAAATATCGTTATTCCATCATCTTCGCTCCACATTGTGTTATTATCGATGATAGGGAATATAAATATTATTACATCCTATCATATCCTATTATATCCTACTATAGCAGAGCTATTTTTAGATAAAAGTTTCCACTGTAAAATTATAAAATTCTGTGCTATCAGGTACGTCAGAGCCTTGATCGTTTGTGAATAATATCGGGTCATCAATATTTTCTACTACTCGCAACATTGAGCTACTTACATTCATAGAGAAAAATTATTTATCAATATATTTTATTTTAAGCTAACCAAGGAGAATATATAACCAAGAGAAAATAAATCTGGAAGAGATTATATTTTTATTAGTATATGTACGAATATATCTATAACTTAAATATGTAGGTTGAATTAACGATAACAACATTAAATATATAAGTGTATATATTTTTCTTTTTTATATATATATGAAAGTATAAAAGTCACTTTACAAAACGATAATCTCATAAAATTGTACAGCTTATAATGAATGTAATGTTTAAAATAACTAATTGTAAGATTTCACTTTCAAATATGTCAAATCTCATATAATAAATATTCAAGTCTCATGTATCAAAAAAAGGAAACAAATATACTGGATTTTTTAAATAAATCTTACAGTATTAATATATGTTTTAAGTTATTTATCTACTGTTAACATAACTAAATTAACGCTACTACATCACACTGTCATATATTAATTCTTTATTTATATAAAATCATTTATGTGTATGCGTATGCATATATTTCAAACAAAGAGTATATTTTTTACACAGAATATATTTCTTACGGTCGACGATAAAAAGAAAGAAAAGTAGAAAGAGAAATGCGAAATGTAATGTGTAAACTTCTTTTACAGATTATATATAAATTTTTTAATAAAATGGTATGTATTATCTATTTCTTATAATATTTATATAATTTCTATTTCTTACATAAATTCATTTTTCTCGTCATTTTACATATTATTGCAGCAAACTCTTAAATCAAATTGGACTTAAAAATTTCAATTATAGCAGGAATTCTACCTTCTAGACAGCCTTAAAAAGTTGTACTAAAATTTACTACTAATCTTACTTTAATAATTTTGTATACTAAATGAAGGTAAGAATTCCTTTAAAAAAAATTTGAAAAATTGCACATTTCTATCGTTCTTTCTCTCTTTCTCTCCTTCCTCCCATACTCGTACGCGCATAGAAAAGAAATTGCATACTTGGAAAAAATAACATAAAAGAAAATTAAACAGTTATGTCTTTCGACATTTTCTTATGTATTATACTTTTTTTATTATCAATCTTGTAAGAGAGAAAAACAACTTCGAATCGACAACTTCCTGTACGAATCATCCTACAGCATTGCATATAATTTAAGCTTTAGAAAATTTTAATTATAAAAAAATAATTTTGTCAAACAATCATTATATTTTTTGAACACAGTAACAATGCAACAAGTAAGATACTGATTAGTCAAGCTCAAACAAATATCGTCTATTTGATATATTAAAAAAAAAATCACTCTACATTCCAACTGAACTTCATATTCAAAACGAACATAAATAAGAATCTTCAAAAATTATAAATCAATACAGATAATTGACTTGTAGAGGTTCTTACATTGCTTGTAATGAATTGCTCTCCAATGCAAATCCGAACAACGTTTGGAGCAGTAATGAGCCTCCAAACAGGCCTGACAACATACTGTGCTCTTGCGTTTACAACGTAAACACGGTCTGTTTTCCATCTCATCTAGTCCATCTTCGGGAATGTTGTCTGATGATTTCTTTTCCTTTACCTCATTCAACGACGTACAGTTAGAGACTTCCGGAATGTTGTCGACATCCAACGATTTTCTTTGCTCTACCTCATTTAATGACGCAAAGTTAGAGACTTCCGGAATGTTGTTGACATCTAACGATTTTTTTTCCTCTATCTCATTTAGCGACGTAGAATTAAAGATTTCTGGATTATCGTTCACGTTCAATGACTTCTCTTCTATCATCTCAGGCAACCACACAAAATTATTGACTCCCAAATTGTCATTTACGACCGATGATTTTTCTTCCTTTATTTCATTCAATGAGGTTGAATCAGGGAGTTCTGGATTATCATCAATTATGTCCAACTCTTCTATCTTTATTTCATTCAACGCGTTCAATGCACAGCAAAGGATTTCTTCCAGATTTTCGTCCACGACCAACGGCATTTCTTCCTTTGTCTCGTTCATTGCGGAGATTGCATTGTTAGGAACATTCGGATTGTTCATATCCAACGACTCTTCTATCTTTATTTTATTCAATAATGTGGAGTCAGAAACTTCCGGATTATCATTTACGACCGATGATTTTTTTTCCTTCATTTCGTTCAATGACGCTGAATCAGGGAGTTCCGGATTATCAATTATGTCCAATTCTTCTATCTTTATTTCATTCAACGATGCAGAGCAAAGGGCTTCCAGATTTTCGTCCACGACCAATGACATTTCTTCCTCCATCTCACTCATTGCTGAGTTAGGAACTTTCGGATTGTTCATATCCAACGACTCTTCTATCTTTATTTTATTCAATAATGTGGAGTCAGAAACTTCCGGATTATCATTTACGACCGATGATTTTTCTTCCTTCATTTCGGTCAATGACGCTGAATCAGGAAGTTCCGGATTATCAATTATATCCAATTCTTCTATCTTTATTTCATTCAACGATGCAGAGCAAAGGGCTTCCAGATTTTCGTCCAATAACATTTCTTCCTCCATCTCACTAATTGCTGAGTTAGGAACTTTCGTATTATTCATATCTAACTCTTTCATCTTTATTTTATTCAATAATGTGGAATCAAAAACTTTCGGATTATCATTTACGTCCGACATTTCTTTCTTCGTTTCATTCAATGACACGGAATTAGGGACTTCCGGATTTTCATTTACATTCGATGACTCTTCTTGCTTCATCTCATTCGATGAAACGGAATTAGCGACTTCTGAATGATTCCGCATGTTTACATATGATAATTCTTTATCTTCCATCTCATTCAACAATGCAAAACTATTTTGAAAGAGATCGGAATTTTCCATCTCCTCAAATAATGATGATGATATGCTCGTGATATTCAGAATATTTAATCCGATATCGGAATTTTCATCATCATTTTCGCTTTTCGCAGGGCTAGCAACATTGGCAATGACGTTCGAAATGACACTTTTTGGGGTTTCATTTATATTTATATTTATAGCGTTGCTCTTAGGATTACACGAAGAGGTTCTCGGTTTCCCGTAATACTTATCAGACACGTGTTTGAGCAGTTCATTAATCGCTTTAACGCCACTATGCGTATCTATTTGTACTTGGTTCTCTCTTATATCTTCAAATTGCTTCACGATGTCAATCGATTGTGCCGTACTTGACGCTCTGGATGTATCCTCCAGAACTTTAGATGATGTTCCCTCAGTTTGCAGTTCCTTTTGTTTTGATTTCTCATTCAATTCCTGAACGTTTGTTTCTTTCTTTTCTAATGATTTTAATTCGAAACCTTTCGCGAATGATGACAGTGATGTTTCTATCGGCTCGCCCTTCGTTTTATTAAGGCATAGATCCTGCGACGTATTCAGCTTGTTCTTTTCGGAAGACAATATTGCGTCGCATTGTTCTTCTTGCGAATCTGAATTCGATTTTTCCGCGTTTTCGTCGATTTGCAGATTTCCTGAACTTTCGGAGCTTTCATCACACGTTTTCTCAGAGTCATTAATCAGTTCGTTCGTAGGATCCTCTTGCGCGTTTAAGAAGAATTCTGAGAATGTTTCGAAAGTAAACTTTTTACACGCGGTATGCGCTTGCAATTTTTGTGCGGATTCATTCTTGTTCGTTGGAAGTAATAATTCTGACGTGTTATTCGGTGCAAGCGGTGTCGAAGTTCGTGATATACGCGACGTATTAAATTGTGCTTCTGTAAAATCTGATTTGGATTTTTCGATATTTTCTTTGACATTATCGCGCAATTTATCCTGTGAATTTTGGCCACATATTTTGTTGCTGGGATTACACGCTTCATTGTGATATAGCTCTTTATCTCGAGCTTCTATATTACAAGGAATTTGCGAGGCCGCTTTTTCGTTCCCTTCACTGTTATTTAATACTGCAACTTTAGAAATTTTGCATATGTTCGCCATTTCCGCGTTTTCAGATCTTTTAACATTTATATTATCATTTTTCGTTTTATCATATTGTAAGTTCAATGTACTCTGTGCAAAAGAGGAACACGATCGTTTGTCATGTAGATGTTCTGCCGGAGATTTTACAGCTTCCTTATCTGTTATATTATTATGTGTTTCTGAATTAAATGAGGATTGTAATATCACATCGTTTCCTCTGTTATTTAATGTTACATTCGAAATTTTAGATATTCTCTCTACCTCTGTGTTATCTATTTTTTTAGCATCATCTTTTGTAATTTTTTCACAGCCTTTTATTTCATCGTTTAATGCAATTCGCAACGGACTTGGTGTATCTTGTGCGAGAGAAAAACATGATTCCGATAGCTGCTTATCGTGCGAATTTTCCGTCAGAGATTTGATAATTGTGTTAATCTTTGCGTCGTTTTGCGCTTCTGTTTCCGAAATTCTGCGCGACGTTTCCGGGATCGGATTTTCTCTCGGAATGTTTGAATGTTGTCTTGTTAACGATGTTACATTTTCAGATTCTTTTCTCATAGCGGAAGATAAGATTCTCTTGAAACGCATCTTTGGCGTATCTATATTCTGCTTTTGCAAATCTATTTCCGGAGATTTTCCAAGTAATTCCTTATTTATCGGAAATTTTGGTATAGATTTAGGATCCAACTCTCTATTTTGCACTTCCATCGATAAATCATTTTTTGCTGCAGTAGATTTGGAATTTATTGGTGCGTTCGAATCAGTAGTTTTTTCTGAAGATTGTTTCTCTTGCACTTTATCGCAGATTGGATTATTTTTATTACACTGAGTTTCATTGTGAAGTAATTTAATTTCTAATGGGAAATTTCGTAATACCGCTACTTTTTGTGCTATATCCATTGGCGATTTTTTGTCTTCCAGCTTGGTTATGTAACTCATAATGCGTGATAAATATTTATAAAGGGAAATTAACATTTTTCTATCCCGTTGAAATTTTTCAGAGTTTTGCTCTGGAAATGAACATCGTTTGAAGTAAAATTGCAAGTAGAGTAGCAATCTATATTTGTCGAGCTCTGTTAGAAAGCTCAGATCAAAACAATATCTCTCAATTTCATTCGATGATGATGGCACAGATGTAGTTTTTGGTGACATTAATATCGTTTGGCTCTTTTGCGAAGCAGTGTTAAACATCGTATTTTGCAAGATACTTGGCTCCTGTGACATTGGAATCTTCGATGAAGTCCTGGACTCTTGCGATGGGATTCTTTGATATACATCTTGTTGCGGTTTTGTGAATGATGTTTTATTCGGCACGGGATCTATAGTTTGTGTTTCGGGGATCTTCGTTCTGTTGTTCTGCACGGATGGTTGCACATTCTGCGGAACATTATTATCTAACATGTTGATTAAATTTAAAATTATAGATGTGTTTTTGGATTGTTCCTGATGTAGCACATTTTGTTGCTGCTGATTTGGATTCAGCGAAATATTCTGAACGTGTACAGGTTGCGACGTAAAACTATTCGATACGTTGTTGCTTGATGGGATACTTTTTTCATAGGACACTGACGTAGTCGTCTGTGGATTTACAAACCGATCCCCAAATCCAACGGTGGTTATATTTTCCGTTATGTTAGCAGTATTGCTCGGAACGTTAATATTTGTATAAGTTTGAGGTTGAGCATTATATATAATCTGATACGTTTTATTAGTATTTTGGTTCATTATGGGCAGCGGTAATTGCGGTCTTACGTAAGACGGCATCTGAGAGTATATAATCTGGTTCTGTTGTTGCGTGTTAATCGTAGGCATCGAATTGATAGTCGCAGTAGTGGTGGTTCTCGTTCCGATATGCGAATGCATTATGCCAGTTGTAGAAGAGATATCGGTATTCCCTTGATTTACGGATGGATATACACGCACATTAATATTCGATGTTGATACAAGCGATGGGACTGTATATGGACTGCTATTAAGATTTACGACAAACTGCTGATTATTAATATTCACCATATTCGTCGGTACATATTGACTTTGTACGTAACTTGCGTTTCCTGTAGGTTGTTGTGATTTAATCGCTGGATTTGGAATTGAATTTGGAACTGGATTTGACAATGGTACGCCTACATGTGAACTCTGAGGTCGAATATTTGGCATAGATTGCCTCGAATACAAAGGATTGCTCGTACTCCTCCAAGATTGTGATCGATTGATATTTGATCTCGGACGTGGGATTGTCGAAGACTGCGCTCTAACATGCGGCATTCTGGGAATGGAACCTGGCAACGGCACGTTTGGAACATTTCCCAAAAATGGTGTTTGCGCGTGAACGTTCGTCATCGATGCATTCGGAACTGAACTGTTACTAATATTCGAAGGTTGCGGGATTCGATTGAAACATTTATCGCAAAATGGTACGTTACATTTCGATACGGGTTCAAATAATTTCGTATACTGTTGAAATTCTGCAGCTGATATCAGCGGAATTATTAAATTTTGCCGATTGATGTAATTTATAATGTAATCTTCATTTGTCACGCGCAACAACATTTTCAAGGTTTTTATATCTTGGCATATTCGAGTTATATTAATCTTCATTTCACATACCTTTTTCTCATTGAATATTTGTTCGCGAATAATATTGCGACACGAGATGAAGCTCAAGCAGATGCTTCTTACTGCGGTTTGTATTAACTTCATATTGTTGTTAAAGCTAGGAGGAACATTCTCAGTTGGTACACTCGAAAAATTCGCTACAGGTGAATGATACATAGATTTGATAGAGGAATTATACGATGGCGGTGGTCCAGATGCAGATGATACAGGAAATACTGAATGTGTACTGTTTGGTGCAATAGATATATTAGAATTCATAGATAAATTCATAGGAGTAACCCATGAGGATCCGAGTTCCATGTTCGTTCGTACCCTTACTCCACTAATACGCCTCACATCTGAAGTGTCTGAGGAAGTCTTTGGTAATTGTTCCTTCATCTCAGGCATGTCGCGCACAGGTTTAGCTGATTCAACACTATTTTCAGCTGCAACTCGTGTTTCATCGCGCGTAGGTTTAGCTGATTCAACACTATTTTCAGCTGCAACTCGTGTTTCTTTCCGTGCGACAGACTGTACGCATTCGTTCTTTTCTGCTTGATTCGTCGCATCTTTATCCTTTAAAGTTATATCATCTTGAAAATTTTGTTGTTGTTCGTCTATTGTCTTTCCTTTGTCACTCGAGAAAGTCTTTGATAATTGTTTTTCCAAATCAGACGCATCACACGCAGATTTGATTAACTCAGAACCATTTTCACCTATCACTCGTGTCTTTTCCTGTTCAGATTGTATTTGTTTATTCGTTTCTTCTTGATTATGCTGTGTCACATTTTTATTTCTATCAAAAATTGTGTCATCTTGAGAACTTCGTTCTTGCTGTTGTTTTGAACAATGATTTGCATTATCTTTGGTAGTATGACTAGAATTAAATATAATTTCCCGAGTATTTGATGCTATTTGAGTGGTAACATTTTGATTGACGTCCTGCGATTTTTTCGATGTATTCTTTGCTTCGTTTTCTTCACTGATTGTGTTCTCGTGTCTAGAATTTTCGGAAGATGTGTTAAAATTCATCTGAAAGAGATCGTCAAGAAAGTCTGGATTATTTTTAAATGTATTCAGATTCTTGATGTATGTGTTCACTGCAGACAATGGTGCTTTCAGCGAAAATTTTTGTGATACTCGAGATTTCGATTTGGGTTTTATTTTTATTTCTACTTCAATATCGCTGATATCATCATCTGTTGATGAATGATCACTGGTATTTTCTGATTTTTTTACAGACACGTTCGCTATTGGCGCGAAAAAGGTTTCGTTAACGACATCTTTTTTATCTGAAGAATCTTCCTCTGATTTTGTTGACACTATCGAAACATGATCAGTTATCACAGTTGTTGTATTTTCTGAAATATCTTCGTTATTTTTTAATAATACATCTTCGATATTTTGCGATACATCGTAGTCATTTTTATCTTCAATATTGGATGTCAATTTTTGCGTGGATATAGATGATAATTCCAAATTCGATTCTATATCTTTCGATATTTTCATATCCTCTTTGGCTAAATCAACATTTTTAATTTCTTGCGCGTCCTGCATATTTACTTCTTTCATTTCCACATCTTCGAAAATAATATTTTCGATATTTTCTTGATTTTGTCGCACGTCTTGCATATTTATTTCTTCCGTTTCCATATGAACCGTATCCTCGCTACATTTTGTATCGTTTTTGCTTATGATTTCTGCATCGGCAATTGATACAGAATGTTCTAGGCGCTGTATTTTCGCTGGGATTGTGTTCTCTATATTCTTCTGCGAAATATCAACTGATATATCACGTTTACGTATCGATATTTTATCGCTATTAAAATCTGTTGTTTCATTTATTTCTTCGTCCATCGTAAAATCGTGCAATGTGTCGTTTTCAATACTTACAGTGGAATCACTTGAATTGATGGATTCTGATTTTGAGATTACGCTTTCTGTATCTTTTTGCGAATTAGTAATCGACGTATCACATGAGTGTATCGATATTTTATCTCTTTCATAAGTATCTTCTTCTGTTGTAATATCGTTAAATGTATTATCCATTTCAGAATCGTCTGAGAAAAATTGCAGCTTTTTTCTCTCTAGACATTCCAATATAATATTAAGTTCCTCACTACTCTCGCTTTGGCTAAAACAATTTCCGAACCAGTCACGAAATTTTCTTCGTATCCTTTTAATTTTATTTTGTCTCTTCCTTTTTAATTTTGTTTTTTTTCTTGAATATTTACTTTTTCTTTTCGTATATTTTGTAATCTTCCGATACATTTGTTCTTCACTTTCATTATTATGGATTAATTTATCCTCGGAAAAGTCTTTATCATCAAATACCTCGAGATTACTCAAATTTTCATCGAGTGAGCTATCAGAAGATGTTTCTTTCTTTTTTTGCCTTTTCACCTTTTTTACTTTTTTCATTAATACACTTTTATTCGAAGATTTAGAATATATTTTTCTCTTAACTGCTATTTTAGAATCTATTTCAATACGTGGACTATCCATTTGCTTCGTTCTTATATTTTCGTCTCGATCTATGTCTGTTTTTACAAACATTTTAGATGAAGGTGTATGTGTTTGCTCAGATAACAATTCAGAATCGACACGAGAAGTCTGCGTATTCGAAATAGATGTATCTTGATTCTCACTTGTGATATCATTAGTTTCCGTTCCTAAACAAGTTCTTACATTTGAAATTATTGTATCACCTGATACATTAATATTACGTTCACACGAAATATCATTACTTTCAGATTCATAGTCGCGGTTTTCTATTCCCAAATTTAATAAATTAATTTTTGGCGAAGAGAACTCTTGATTTACTTCTGTTTCTTCTTTTTGTTTTTTCTCGTCTTGTTTGCGTTTTTTTTCAAAAATTTTATCATTTTTCGAAACATCAATGTCACTTATAGAATAATGCTTCTTCAATCGAATCGATATATTTGTCTTGAATAATTTATTTTCCGACGAATGTTTCTTATTGACGGATCTATTTTTCGCAGAGATAGTTTCATTTTTAGAATAAAAATTTTTATTTTCAGATTTCTGTCCGCAAATCTGAGATTTGCTTCGCGATTTATTTTTCGACATGGGAGAATCTAACTTTTCTTTGGCAGAAATATTTCTATCATTTGTTAAAGTACTACCATTAACGTGAGAACTCTTTTCTTCCATTTCTTGGACAGGATTTTGTACAATGTTATCCGACGATTTTTTCCCAGGCAAGCTACGCTCCTGGATTTTAATTTGATATGTTTTATTAGCATAGGTTCTTATTTCTGATGATGCAGTTGTAACAGAAGAGCTTGCATTTACGCTGTCGTCTGCAATTTGTTCGTCGGTTTTCTGAGAAATATACTCCAAGCTTCTCGGCTCGCTTCGCGATTTTTTTTCATCATCATTTTGCCATCTTTCCTTCTGGACCAATACAAAATTTTGAGGACTATTCTGTGACAACTGCAATGGAATCTTATCTTGAGGCGATAATTCTATCTTTCTGAAACATATAAAAATATGCTAAATGCATAAAAAATGCAAAATAAAAATGATAATGTGTATATATATATATATATATATATATATATATATATGCTAAATGTTTTAAAATAATTTTAAATTAATTTTAAAGTAATAATTTTTAAGTGACGTGTCATCATTTAATTGTCAAATCTGCTGCATAATATATATTAACTGATGTTATTAGATTATTCATAATTCGTTTGTAAAAAATGTAAATAGTTCTAAATTATTTATAATAAAAATCATTTATAATGAAATGGTTTTTTTTTCAGTTTTGTTAAGTAATATATGTATGTATACGTAATATTCAGTTATGCTAACAATAATAGTAAGCTTAGAGTTTTATAATAATTTATAATGGATAAAAAAATTTAATAAAATACTTGAATCCAGATATGTGTACGCAACACTAAAATTTATATCAGAATACATATATCTGTATCAAAATATATAAACTGAATAAAATAAACTAAATAAAATTTTATTCTAAATTCTGTCACAAATAATATAAATCGTTTATAAAATCGATTTTAAATTAAAAAAATTTCTTTCAGCTTTTTACGGTTAACATTTATCGATATCAAAAGAATTCAAAATTATTTTTATGTATTATATTTATTATATGTACTATATTTATTATATTTATTATATGTACTATATTTATTATATATATTTTTATTTTTTCAAAATTTTACAAGTATATAAAATATATTAATTGATTTAATTGATTGATATTTCTCGGTTTTATAACCGTTTTATAATTTATAATTTTTATAATCATTATGTTCACACACCGATATTTTATTATATATCTGTGTTTATCACTGTACTCTATCATAAATTATTAAATTGATGGAATAAAATAAGATTTTGCAGATCATCTATTCGCAATCTTATTCGAGAGATCTAGAGACAATGATGTCCGAATTTGTAATTCAAAATTCATAAATTCTGTATCATAATGAATTCTGTAAATAATTCTGTCATCCTCTTTTCGATTGTCATTCCGATAATTACTAATCACGAATCGAACTCCTCGGAATAATAGCGATCCATAATTGTCGCGTTTTTAAGATTCGATTCTTATGGTGAGGGTACTCGTGTCACTATTCCTTCCCGAGACGTCAAAGACGTCATGAGTCTGTGGATACGACTGCTTATTGATCAAGATTTTAAAATAGAATTATCCGTCAACGCTTTTCTCTCTCGTCCGATCAACATCGGTGTACCATTGCTAGCTTTTTTATATGTGTTTTCGATATAAATAGCGAATAATAATCGAATGCGCGATCGGTGATTGTGAGGTCGATGATAGTTACCAATCGATTAGATACACCTCAAAAAAGCAAAATTATTGTTGCACATATGCTTTGTATTATTTTGCTGCTCGCAATAGTACAGTGGAATCAAATATTGCTGAAAAGAGATCTGCATATCGTGGTGAGTCTCTAAATTTAAAAAAAAAAAAATAAAAAATTTTTGCGCAAACTTGGATTTTTTTAAATGTTCTCTCTTTCTTTTATTATTCATTTAATTTTTTTCAGTTTCTTAAACATAATTATTTTAAATTTTATTAATTATAATTTTGAATTTTTCTCATTTTGCACACAATGATAAAGGGTTTATAACTATTGTTATTGTTATATTTTACAATAAAGGAAAAATTTAACATTTATAAAGAAATTTATGCAAATGTTAAGAAGCATTTTAAAGGAGAAATCTCTCTCTCTCTCTCTCTCTCTCTCTCTCTCTCTCTCTCTTCGCTACATGAGATTGCGGTTTTCGCCGCGGAATAATCATTCGTGATTCCGCGATTATATATCCCCGTAATATTGCCCCGTGTTATGTATAACGAGCAAGAAACAAATTTTCGGATCAATATAGCGTATACGCGGGATGCCGGGGAATTCGGCAATTAGGGTATAATCTGATCAATAACGAACGAAATATACAGAGTGAGTTTTATAGCTTGTGTCAATTTTTTTATCATGCGGAAGATTAATGTGTATAATAATAATAATAATAATAATAATAATAATAATAATAATAATAATAATAATAATAATAATAATAATAATAATAACAACAACAACAACAACAACAACAACAACTATAATAATAATAATAGTAATAATAATAATAGTAATAATAATAATAATAATAATAATAGTAATCCATATTACATAATTTCAGCTTTTAATTTGCTTTAATTTTACGCATTATATTCGGGCCTTCGATACAATCGATCTAAATAATTGATATTTATGTACCAATTTATTATGTAGTCGATAATCTCTAACATTATAAAAAGATTGACACAAGCAATAAAACTCACCCTGTATATCAGAGTTCATTCATGCACAATGCGTTCGATCCACTTAATGTAATACGACTTGATTATCATCGCCGACTGATTTCAGTGTTGGAAGTTGGAACAGCGTGCATTCAGCGTACACGAGATGTGAATAGATCAGAACAGATATATTTGAACAGATATATTTATCTTGTAGCGAACAGATAGATTTATCTTGTATATCGAGACCCGAAAATCCGAGAGAGAAGGAAAAGGGAGAAAGCGCGTTAATCGATACCCAGGATACGTACGACTGAGATTGCATTTCCGAATTACGCATGAAGTGCGTAGACTGCATAGAAAATCGCTCCGATTTAACCAATGCGTATTGGTAGCGCTTTAGCGCTGAGAATTCTCTAGATTGTACTAACCGTACTAAATTTTTAGCACTCCTTCTAGCGCATTGACTGCCTCTACTCTCGATTTGAGGCAGTGATGCGTAGATGCATTTATGCGATTTATGTGTTTTATGCGTAAATCGGAACGCAATAGCGGATAACAAATTCTTTGTGACGATGGAAAAACAATTATATGAATTTTTAGTTTAAATTGAAGAAGCTAATGAAATAATAACTTTGTTTTTAAATAAAAATGATATAGAGAAAGCAAGCCAAGCTAATATTAATTTACCTTGTTTAATATTACCTTTTTGATATTATTTTACCTTGATTTATTTTATTATTTATTTATTATTTTATTTTATTATTATATTTTATTATTTTATTTTATTTATATTTATTATTATTAATATTTATTAATATTTATATTTATTATTATTAATATTTATTAATATTTATATTTATTAATATTAATATTTATTATTATTTATTTATTTATATTTATATTTATTATTTATTTTTTTTATTTGTATTTATTATTTTATTCAATTTTTATTTATTTTTTTTATTATTTTAATATTTTCAAATCGTATTAGTGCACAGAATGCTCAGGCACCGTTCCGAATAATTAAAGCACTTTATGCACATTGATAAAACGGAACGATTTTGAAGCGCTGCGCAATAGTGCAAAAATGCAGTCTATGCGTTACATGCGTAAATCGGAACACACCCTGAATCATTTGAATATACTTCCTAATGACAAATCAAAATGACCACATTTATACACATATACAGTTTTTATACATTTACAACTGCATGATTTGTATCTGCAATTATTTTTTTTATTCGTTTTTATTATTTCGTTTCGATTAAATGATGATACAATTATAGATGTTTGTCCTTTGATGGACTTAATTAAGTTATTTTATTTTTATGTGAAATAGAAAAATTACGAAATACGAAATAAGGAAAATTTATATGAAATTGTATTCAGTATATGCTCAGAGTAGAATCGAATCGCCTGAATACATGTCCTAATGATGAATCAAAAAGATCATTTACACATGTACATTTACACATGTACATTTACACATGTACAATTTATACATTTACATAACAATCGCGCGATTTGTTTTTTTTTCATTGTATCGATTAGATGTTGATATGATTATAGATGTTTGTTCTTTGATGGACTTAATTATGTTTATTTTTATGTGAAATCTCACAAGAAAAATTTATACGAAATTGTATCGTAAAATATTCACTTTTCATGTTATCGTTGATAAAGATTTGAGAATTTAATCATTGAAAATCAACTGATATAATCTAACAGTCACGACAATACAATATTATAATATTTAAGGTATGATTAATCTAAAAACTTACCTTTTTAAAAAAAAAAATAAAAAAGTACACGCCAAGTACACGCATCATGTACAAAATAATATTGCAAAATATTATGTAAAAATTATTGTAAAAAATTATTATATATCTTAATTTCCAAAAGTCTTAATTTCCTATAAAAAAAGTAATATTTTGTAGGAAATATCTTGTATTTTGTTTTAATAAGAGGTTTTAGAAAATAATATTATTTTGTACATGACACGTGTACTTGGCACTATCTTTTTTTACGAGTAAATTTTTATATATATGATTAGGATATTATATTAATTTAGAGATTAATTTCTCCAAATAATCACCAAAAAATTTATTAATAAATTACTTTCTTATAAATTAGATTTCGAAATAATTATAATCAATGATCTGAAACCACTAAACATCTCGCGCGAGATTTAATTCGTAAAAACACAATTTATGTCAATGAGTTTTTTGCGACAAAAAAACGATGGAAAAAGGAGAGCATGCATTTATTGCGCTTAATAAATGCAAACACAGACACAATGATTTATCGAAATAACGATTATAAACTGGTAATTTGCGGCAACATACGCGTCCGATCGACAATCACCTGTTGCGTTCGCTCAATGCCCGCCACGTGTTAACGCGGCACGGTAGATACATATCTCTTGTGATCAAAGAAAAAATGAATCATCACGTGTGCATGTTTCGTTCCGCTTATATAACATGATCCTGCACGATAAATATCTAGTCTCTTTTTTTCGTTACGTCTTCCTTCTATCATTATAAAATGCTCATTAATGCAAATTATTTTTTTACAAATTGAGTTTCGTGCAACGCGACTATATTACAAATTCTGTATTAATCTGTACTACTCTTTTAATGATAGATTTGAATATTAGTTTAGATGATGCAATATATTTAGTAATTTCGGATAATAATTGTAACTATTTCGAAACTATTAATTTATAAGAATTAATTTATAATTTATGTTAGTAATTTTTTGATTTATTGATTTGATTTTCCTAAATCAACATCTTAATTGTATATATAATATTGAGTATAATAAAGATTAGAATAATGACTTAATAATCCGAATATTAAAAAAAATACATAATTAAAAAAAAAAAATATATATATATATATATATATATATATAAAATTAACTATTATTCTTTAATAATACAGTGTTTAGCATGTTTGATGCACTTTAGTATTTTGATCTAAGAATCAAATCGAGAAATATTATAAACACACACACACACACACACATTAGATTACATTATAAACACATTACTAAGTAAAAATTTACAATAATGTAATATATTTATTATATTAAATAATTATATTAAATTATTAAATTAAATTTTTAAATTAAATATTTTTTATACGCTTTATCTAAACGATAAGTCGCGGAAAAAATCGACGTCCTTGCGACTCTAATCAATTTATTAAACAAACGTATTTCCTGTTTTGATTGAAAACGCGATATTTTATTAAGAAATATAAGTGATTTATTTTTTTATTTATTTAAAAAAAGGGTTATCGCCGCACATCACTTCTCATAATATATGGTTACATAAATCAGAAATGAATATATACATACGGATAAGAGTGTTGTCATAAGCCTTGAAGATGTTTACTTTACAGGGCACGTTTCCGTCACACGGGCACTCGAAAAACAGATAAATAGTTCAGATTTTACGTTTCTATAGCAAATTGCAAGTGTGCACCATAAAAGTCGTTTGCTGATTTATAGATATTTTCGAAACCTCATATATATCAGACGATTTTAATTGATTATACGCACGCAAATCATTAATCATTAATCGCAGTTATTCCTAACGATAATGTAATTTCATATAAACAACTATATATATGTAACATTATATTTATAAAACGAATAATAATGTTACAATAGATAGATAAAAAATTTTACCGAAGATCTTTCGTAGCATTTCGTCAATTATTAAAAAATATTTTCGCGCGATACACTAACCGTATCGTCGACCAGGTATTATCACTATCATATGTGTGTGCGTTATTCAAGCAATTGTTATCGATTCACTGGTGACCTGACAAAGAGTCATAAGATCAGCAAAGGTCTAGACCGCACAAGAGAAACACCGAAACTGATGTCGATGTTTCTTCCGCAACCCTCGAGATGGTACAGCTACGATAAGTAGCTAGTGTACTAGTGTTAGTTCAATAAAGGAGAAGGGGCAAAAAGCATGAGCAAAAAAACATCACAAGAGACCCGAGGGTAAATAGTCCTTTTCTGTTCGAAAGAGATTGTTTATTTTTGAAATTTCTTAGTAAAAATTTCTTTCTAGAAATTTTGAAGATCCCAGTTATATATTTGAATTTTTTTTCTCTATAATAAATGAAATATAAAAAATAACAATACTCGTGTATATTATATATTGAATATACATCGTTTCCAAAAAAAATACATTGTTTCGAATCAAAGCAATAATAAAAGATGTTTTATATATATGTGCGCATATATATATATATATATATATATATATATATATATATATATGCGCACACATGTACACACATGTACACACATCAGCATAATCTTTTGTAAAAACCTTTGAATTTTATGTGTGCAATAAAAAAACTGAGAAAAAAAGAAACCAAAGAAAAGACCTTTTTTATCCCGAAAAAGGCTAAGCTTTATGGTAAATTTTATGGTAAATTTGGGAGGGATAACTTAGGAGAGAAGACTTTTTGTCGCTTCTAATTCCTTGTTTTACCGACAAGATATAAACCGGTATAACGAAAGGATATCGAAGGAAATACCCACATATATATATATATATATATATATATATATATATATATATACATATATATATTTGCTCTATTTGACTGTAATTTTTCATTTGTGTCTGACAAAAAAATTAGCGCAGCAGAAAGACATTTTGTTTTTAATTTTAATAAATAAATATTGCTTATGTGTTGTAAAAGATAATCAACGTGAAATCGTATGTGCTAAAGAGATTTATCGGCGTGAACGATATCACATTCCAGTCGCACACATCTAAAGTAAACTTACCTACGATAACAGTCGGCAAGTCGTCTATCAAGGATGACATGCGGCTTTCTCGCCAGTTGCATCAACCCGAGATGTACTGCCCGCTTCGATAATGAGAGCTTCTTCAGGTCATCTTTCAGCTGAAACAATCACCATTATATTTCACAATTAAAATATCTATCGAATTGATCTGTCAATGTCAAATTTTTTATCGCGAAACAGTGGATTTTTGTCGATTTAATTCTATCGTCTTCATTTATTTATTAATCATTCTATCGTATATCAATGTGCTAATTACTAGTTTAATTGATGAAGCTTAAAAATGACAAATATTTTCGTTACGAAAAAGTACACGTTTAGGAAGTATTACGCACAGTTTGAAATTTACGCACTTAATACTATGAGATTAATCCTAGTAATATGATAGAAAGGCATTCGATGAATAAGAAAAAATGTTCGCACTTTGGTCAGCAGCATGCAGCTGATGCAGCGCCTCTTGCTTCCAGCGCGACGAAGCCACCACTTCAATTCAAAGTTGTCGTAGATACGCGAAGCATGCTCCTTGCACTTCATCAGTTTTGTCGTTTGACTCATTCTTTATCAGCGGCAATTCCTCTTTCCAATAAGCGAGAGTTTCTCTTCCACTCACACACAGTTCGAGAGATTGAAATGATTTTTAATTTCGATCACATTACATAACAATCAACGCTATGCCTCGAAACTCGTGTCGATTCGCACGTGTTTATAACTGGTGCGAAAATCGGCCACAATAGGATCGCGCGAAAATTCGTTTCTCTCTTTGTCCCGCAAATTATTTTTTCTCGCGTTCCTTCGTCCTCAGTTTTCTTAAGTTCTTCCTTCGTTCTTGGCTGTGATGTTTTTAAACCGGTTCTCTATGTTTGCCGTTGATTTGTTGAGTCCCTTCCAATCGATAGAGTCGCCATCTCTTGATAAATTTTAATACTTGATTATATATAAAATGTATATACATACATTATGTATGTGTGTACACACACCCACCCACACACACACACACATACACACACACACACACACACACAAATAGTGAAGACACGGTCTTTAATGTGTACATGACATTCTCTCTTTCTCTAATTTCTTTCTAATTTCTTTCTCTTTTTATAATTTTATTTCTCTATTTTTATATTTTATTGCGTTATAAAAACAAACAGCATAAAAAATTCAATTCTTCATCTTTCCATTTTTTTTTCTTCTTTTTTTATTTTTCCTTTTCCGTGAAATTTTGGTATTTTTTGGTATTTTTTTTTCAATATCAAATTTGTCAGAGAAGTGTCTCTTCGAATTTTTTTCTTCTAATACGTGAAAATATCAGAAAGATTTTCGATATATTGAAATCATCCACATTTTTCATTTTTCAATGAAATATTTTTGAAAAGGTTTTCTTTTTTATATCAAAATTTTTTTCTGCCTTGTTAATAAAAATGCCAAATAGATGCACACATGCTCATACGCATGCACACATACTATATATATATAACTTTTTAAGATAGGATATATATATATATATATATATATATATATATACATACACATGTAATATTTCTTTATAGCTAATAGCTACTTTTACAACACTCTAAGTGCTTTGCATAGTGTAATATTTTTGCAGGGACGATGTAATTTGAAATGTATTGATTGGCCTGTTTTAATGAACATAAGCTCACTCTCAACGATAACGAAATTCTTTCATCATTAGGGCATCGTTAGGGTGCCTTCCACTTCACGCATTAAGTGCATAATTCGCAATTAGTGATGTGCGCATTAATATTGTTCCGTTTCTATTAATGCGCAAATATAGGAAACGGAGTAATTTTTGATGCGTTTAATGTAAAACAATGTGGTTGCTATCGAAATAAATGACACACACATGTATCACATGTGTATATACACGAAGTTGTTAACTCTCTGTGCATGCTCGCATTAACTTCTTCGGGTCCAACCTGTAGTAGCTGATGCGTTACTGATGCGCGCATTAAATGAAACGGAATAGTTTTCTCAGCAGCTTATGCGTTTTATACGTGAAATGGGAGGCACCCTCTGATAGCGATTGATTTGAATTTCTCCATTTTACACTTCATACATACTTCATGCATTATATAATATTATATTTTTTATTATAATACACATAAACGGTTTATTGTACGTTTCCCTTTTATCATTTTTCTTTTTATGATTCATTCATTCAGTTGATGTGTCATAAAAATGAGTTAAGGTAATACATAAATTTCTTTTTAAAATTAAATATTATTTTTTTTATTAAAATATATAATAAAATACTACATACAATAAAAGATAAAAATATATGTAAAATTAAAATAAAATTGGTTCAAATAATAATAATAAAAAAAAATTAATTAAAAATTGACAAGTAAGAGCTAGTAAAGCGTGGAACGCAAGAAAGAATAAAAACTTATTTTTTTTAATTACTAATATATTTCAAATATTATCATTACTCGTTGCAATACATGTATTAAACATGAACGTTTCGAATCACCTTTTGATTCACCTTCATCTTCAGCGTGACATATTATCACGCATTAAAAAGTATTATACAGTAACATCTGACAAGGAGAGATCGCGACCTTGGGGACAGCGATTTGAATAAAATTTTAAGTGCGTGTAGTACTCGACCAAAGAAGTTTTTGAGGAAAGTGAGAGGACGCAGCGTGAGAACGCTCAGCCGTTTTTAAAAAAAAATCAAGTGAAAAATAGGCCGTATCTTGTATACCGGTAAGTTTAGACTGATCGTCAAGTAAGCGGCGTAGCTCGGGCGATAAAGGTCGAGCACTACACGCACTTAAAATTTTATTCAAACCGGTGTCTCCATGGTCGCGACCTATCCATGTGAGATTATATAAATCATTTCACAATCGATACGCAACTAATTTATATCTTACAATACTATATCTTACATACCTAACAAGCACATTCTCCCAAACAATTCGCTCATGAATTAGAAGTAAAAATAAAGATGTATGGAATTATTGCACGGAAATCAAATTTTAATATTTTAAATAATATCATATAATAAATAAAATAGGAGAACTTCTTTCCAGATCCCGCGCTCCTTTTCGCACATTTGATGGCATTGAATGCCGTTATGTACACAAATCATGACTTAAGACTTCATAACCTTGAGATTTAATGATCCGAAAGATAATGCATGTAGCGAGTAATGATAATATCTGAAATGTACTAGTAATTAAAAAAAGGAAGGTATTTTATTCTTCCTTGCGCTCCAATTACCACGCTTTACTAGCTTCTCTTTGCCTAATTTTTAATTAGTTCTTTTGATTATGAAAATATATATGTATAAAAATATATATATATATATATATATATATATATATATATATGTATGTATATATATCTATATATATATATATATATATATATATATATCCAATGCGAAAAGAATTTCAGACAAATCACTTTAATCACTTTTAACAATAAGAGCTCTTAAAGAAACACTTGGACGACACTTTCTCTTTATTGATTTATACACTCGTATACAGACTCTTTTTCACACTGAGTGTCGAACACTCGTCGCGCTATTTATATACTAAAACGAAATGCACTATAATAAATTCATAAGGAAACATTTGACCAATAGGATCGCCTTCCACGCATTTAATTTTTTCATTATATCCCATCTCTCATTGGACCTTCATTATATGCCACTTCTCATTGGACCAACGAGGAAACAAAAAGACTCCTGTATCGTTTAGATAAGATATAATATGCCTCTTCCGGTGAAGAAAGAGAAGTCAGAGATGAGTCATGCAATAGTCGTAGAAGAGACTACTGCGTATAATTTTCATAAAAAAAGAAATAAATTTTTTATGACACTGTCGATATTTTTAGTGCAGTTTGTTGCATATGTGATTTGAAAGAAGAATGCGCCAGTTATAAAATGACAACCATGTAATGCGTTCGTTTCGCAAGTTGACTAGTAATAATAATTAACATAACGAGTGAAATAAATGTTCCTAAGTTGATTTATATTCTTATGTAAAACAGCTTATTATTTAGCATATATGCATATATTGATGCATGTGATTTGTATTCCATATGATTCTATGCATTTTATTATATGCTGACACATCATCATTCCGCATTTTTCGTACTTATTACGTCTTTGATTCATAAACCAAAATGAAAGATAGGCAAATGAGTTTTCTACATTCCTGTCAGGTCAGTATGTAAATCGTTCCTTGAAATGACCTGTGTGAAGGAACGCTTAATGAAACTTGACGCCTACAACGACTCTTAAATTTTCTTATTGTGCTCGAAATAACATATGGAGTTAAAAAATGATACCATTGAAATTTAAACAATAAATATGCGCGTAACTAATCATACAAGTACACTGAGAAAAATATCCGGCGAAAAGGTAACGAACGGATATTATACCGATCACTTTAATTGGATATCTGATCGGAAAGTTCCGAATTTTGAACTTTCTAATCAGATATCCGATCGATCGATTGTAAATAAAATTTGTTAAACCAAAAATATTTAGTTTGAATTTTTTTGAATTTTTTATCAATTTTATTATTACGTGAAAAATATGAAGATGTGAGCAAAGAATTTATTTTGTCGTCCCCAGAATGTTTTATTTTTACGATAATTTACATTTTTTTTTCAAATTTCAAAAAAATCTCCAGTATCTAATACTGAACGAAATCTATATTTTTCTACAATTATAATATTTTTATTTCATCTTCTGTGTTTATCACTAACTTTAATGTTAACAAATAACATTTATTGTGAAAAAGTTTAGATTATTATATTATTTGTGCAAAGAATATATCTTTATCAATAACGCAAAAAAAAAAATGCGCATAATTAGGAACAGAAAAGAAACTAACTTGAGGCTTATGTAAAACATCTAGATATTATCATCACTCCCAATACATTTTTTTCCTATAGTATATAAGTAAATATGAATTTATGCAAAAAATAAATGTTCAAATTGTGCGTTTTTTTTTAAAGACAAACTATGATCGTTAAAAGAAATCTTTTAAAATCCTTTAAATAATTCTTTATATATTTATATTTATATATATATTTATATTTATATTTATACTTTTCTTTATATACTTTATATACTTATTCTTTATAATATTTTTTTATATTTGCGAAACTTTTTCATAACAGTCGTGTATTCATATAAACACGAGTAAGCAAAAACTTCACAAAGCTACTCGAGATGATCTTAAACAGGTCAATGTAAGAAAGAATAATGATGAAAAATTTGCCTATGAGTGTCGAACGCGTGTCGAATGAAAGATAATTCGTTAGAAAATGCTTAATAGATTTCTATGCTAAATATATATGCGCTAGAAAGAAAATATTATTTTATGATATGTATGTATTTGTATGAAATATGGCATATATATATATATATATATATATATATATATATATAATAAAAAATACCAAATACATATAATAAATACTAAAATAAAAAATACCAAATACATATAACAAATACATATAATAAAAAAAAAATCCTCAATTTAATCATTTATATTTTTTCTTTTTTTTTCTTTTAATATGAAATCTGTACGAATATTATTAACATTGTAAATCAAAAAGAATGCCGGCCATTGATTTTCAATGGTTTATCACATACGTTATTTTTAATTAAGACGTTAGTAAATATTTCACTAATCCAATATCGAATATTTCTCCTTTCTTGTTGTAAAATGCAATGAGTGCCTGATCTTGAAATCCTTTCGTTTCGATTTTCTAGCTGGATTTTTTCTCGCGACCTTCGTAATGTCTTATATCGTTATTCTTATTGCAATGATGCTATTTTAACAATTAAGAAATCGAAAAGAAATATATATATATATATATATATATATATATAAATAGAAATTATTATAATTACTATAATTGCAAAGAATATTGCGACCACAAAAATAGAACGCAAACTACAACTTCTCTTCTCTTCTTCTTTTCTCTTCTCTTAACCTTATAGTGGAGTTTCCTTGTGAAAGCGCGCGATTGCTTCATTACTGAGCGTCGAATTAAGCGAATCAGTATGTCGAATTAAAGACGCGATCACATACCTTTATATGAGAATGTCCGATACCTTATATAATTCGCAGCGGCATCCCCGACAGACGTAACCGTTGACCGGCAATGCCGGCAATTTCCTCGCCACGATCCATGACAACGCCGGTTTCAGATGTTTACCGTCTTTATGTGCTTCACGTTGTAATAAATTAAAAAGACAACGAGGTTTGTCGCTCGCTGCCGTTTCGTTTTTATCACGCTGCGCGTCTCGTCTCACGACTCTCACGTTTGCCGACATCGCAAAACAATGATGAAGATGAAAGTGGACACGTTCCGTTTCTCGCATTGAGCGCATTCCGTATGCGCAGGAATGACGTCATACATGAAGTTAAATTACATTGAAAATTCGATTAGCACTGCAGATGATGTGATTTAAAAACGCTGATTTGATCGCATCTACACATAATTAAGTACTTACTCTTTATAATTCCTTCTGATATGACCATTGTTATGCAGAGAATTGAGCACTATCGATCGTTCGTGGGGATGATAATTCGCGAGACCTGTAGTCCTTATGGCCATCACACATAAAATTCTATAGACATGTAAAATGTAAAGAAATCAACCAATCATGATCGAGTATTGACCTCTTGGAGATTTTACATGCTTATGTTTTATGTGTGATTATTAATGCTTCTGATTAGTCACTATAGCCATATTGAAAACGTAACGTCAGAAGCGAGAAATAACACGCTGAGAATTCTTGCGTGCCATTTTTAAATAAAAAAATATTTTGAAAAAAATAACACTACAGATCGCTTTAGTACACTTGTAAAATATTCCGAAAACTAAGTTTTTCCCTTGACAGTTAATAAACTGCCTTAAAACGAGTATCAAAGTAAGCGAGAAAACGCGTGGTTTGACAACTGTTGGAAAGAGTGGATAATGTTTTTTAATACTATATATTTCTTGCTAAACTTAGTTTTCGGAACATTTTATGGGTTTCACAAACACGTTACACGTCACAGCACTAGTATAAAATGGATAATAATGAAATGGCACGCAAGAATTCTTAGCTGTGTCATTTAGGCTGTCAAAATGTCACTTTTAACGTCTTATAGTTTGTCGTTTTGCAGTGTGAGGCGCTGCATGGAAAATTGTGATATATGGTGGTCATTTGTTATTGATTTTTTCATGTCAGGTGATGTGATTTTTATGTACAGCTGATTTTATTTTATTTTATAATAATAATAGAGTAATTTCTACAAATATTTCTTCAATGACGTCAATAACGGATGATAGATGAGTCTCTGTGTAAATGTGTGTTACAACGATTGATTTCTTATCAATTAATAACACACTTCATTTATATGATAAATCTTATTACCGCGTAGTTTTTTTGTCGCCACCATCAACTCAGAGTTTCGCGAAATATTCAAATGATTATTCAGGAGCCTTAATAGCCACATTTGGACAAATTTACAATTGTTTATTAATTTATGGACCAATCAAAATCGACATTTGCGCAAGGCGCGCGATTGTGTAAACGGAGTAAAATGTTAAATGGAGTAAGACGATGCCAACGTTCTTATTTACGTGACGTGTTTAGACTATGTTTCTATGCACATATATCCTTGACAGATTTATAGCACACTCATAACGTGCGGGTACTTCATCGAAACTTGTAACTGAACTCTTGTAATCAAATTCCGCCTTGTGTATTTTTTTTTCTTCTCGCATTCGTATATCAAATATCTTAGCTCCGGGAAAAGAGAACCATATGAGATTATTTCAATCTCAAAGATTCCAATGGCCACAATACACAATGGGTCGCTTTTGCAACAGAAACTCGTGAATTTGACACGCATAGAAAAGGTTCTCGATCATAAAAAAAAGCATACCTGAGTGGCGCCCGAAATAAAAGTCTTAAGTGTTCAGAATGTAAAAAAACTTCTTACATGTGTGGGATTATTTGAAACGTGTATCTTAAATATAAGAAAATATATTATTCGTAGTTGTTTTGTATATATCTTATTATATAAATAATTCAATAAATAATTACAAATAAAATTTCAGTGCAATAATTTTCCCCCTACTTTTCCTAGTATACCCAAATATTTCGAATTTCGAATTATGTCCACCTTGTCCTTCTCGAAAAATATAAAACAAAAGTTGAAAATATCTCCGAAAGATCTCTCTTATCTTATGAATGGTATTAATCTTTTTATGTTTTGTTTAGTTAAAGACTCAAGAATTCTTGATCATAAAAACGTTTGATGACACTTATAGTTGATCTTTGTGGCTATTTTAAACTTTTGCCTATCTGCTGACCTGTAGACAGTATTCTATTATTGTCGTAGACAGTATTCTACTATTCTAGAATTCTATTATTCTCTTTCAGTGCGCGTTTGAGTCCCAAAAATTTCAGGAAAAAGGTAAACCATCCAGAAATAAAAGTCTTAAATGGTTGATCTTTGTGGCTATTTTAAACTTTTGCCTATCTGCTGACCTGTAGACAGTATTCTATTATTCTCGTAGACAGTATTCTACTATTCTAGAATTCTATTATTCTCTTTCAGTGCGCGTTTGAGTCCCAAAAATTTCAGGAAAAAGGTAAACCATCCAGAAATAAAAGTCTTAAATGGTTGATCTTTGTGGCTATTTTAAACTTTTGCCTATCTGCTGACCTGTAGACAGTATTCTATTATTCTCGTAGACAGTATTCTACTATTCTAGAATTCTATTATTCTCTTTCAGTGCGCGTTTGAGTTCCAAAAATTTCAGGAAAAAGGTAAACCATCCAGAAATAAAAGTCTTAAGTGATTCAGAATGTAAAAAAACTTCTTACATGTGTGAAATTATTTGAAACATGTATCTTAAATATAAGAAAATATACTATTCGTAGTTGTTTTGTATATATCTTATTATATAAATAATTCAATAAATAATTACAAATAAAATTTCAGTGCAATAATTTTCCCCCTACTTTTCCTAGTATACCCAAATATTTCGAATTTCGAATTATGTCCATCTTGTTCTTCTCGAAAAATATAAAACAAAAGTTGAAAATATCTCCGAAAAATCTCTCTTAATATGTGTATATGTGTATATATTACAGTTACAAAATTCGAAAATATCGAGAGAAACAATGTTCATTTTATATAACATCAAACTAAATATATATGATACATTAAATATATGATACTAATCTATGCAATCTTTAATAGAATACATAAATTGTATTAATAAAAAAAAATTATAAAATTGAATCTCATAAATCACATATTTTTGTACAATCTTTTACGGTTGATTAAAATAGCAATTTATTCAAAGAAATCGCGATTTTTAATAAATTATTAATTTTAGTAGATTATTAATTTATTAATTCAACTGTAACTATTAATAATTATTAATTTGCAGAACATTAACTTGCCAAATTTTTATTATTATTTCTTTTTAAAAGATTGAAAAATGTGTATACTAGGGAATTCTATTAAATATTAAATACTATGTAAATTTTGACACTGAATATATATATTATATTATTGATGTTTTATTAGTTTTATTATTCAGGAAATTTTAAAACATAGATTTCCAATTTATATTATATTTATTTCAATAAATTCACATTCTTGGAACCATCAAAAATAATAAAACATAATTAAACGACACGTAACAGTAGCTAATAAAATATTCCTCTTTCTAAAAAATTCCTGTAACAAGTAATATTGCAAGAGAATGAAAAAAAAAATCAAAAAAGGATACTCATTTTGAATCAAAATTTTGTCTATTGCGTTTTTGATCGAAAAATGCTTTTGTATCGAAAAATATTCGTACAAGCAGAAAATGTTAGAGACATTCCATTTTTTTTTGTTCAAAAGAAAATCGAAAAATTTCACTCCAACAAATCGAATTCTTGTCATCTATCCATATCGAAAAATTTTGCCCCATACTTATCATCAGCTAATATCAGCTATATTATTTGTGAAAGAATTTATTTTTGAAAATTATTGCATGTATTATTGCTGATATATATAATATATATGCATGTGAATAAAACAAAATTTTCACTTGCAATTTTATAATTTTTCGCTAATATTCTGATGATTATTTAATAATGAGAGAGACTTATCAGACGCGTTATATATTGTAATTGTAGTATCTTCTTTTCTCCACGTTGTATCATTATTGATGGGAGATGTAAATATTGTTATTGCAGCATCTTCGCTCCACGTTGTGTCATTACTGACGAGAGAAGATATAAATATCGTTATTGCGTCATCTTTGCTCCACGTTGTGTCATTATCGATGGCAGAGGATGCAAATATCGTTGTTGCATTATCTCTTATATTATTAACAGTGCTATTCTTAGGGAAAAAAGTTTTCACTATAAAATTATAAAATTCCGCGCTATCTGGTATTTTAGAGTCTTGATCATCCACGAATAATGTCGGGCCATCGGTACTTTTTATCACTCGCGACGTGGAGCTACATACATTTATGGAGGAAAGCGATTTATTAAAAAAATAACAGATACTTTAATACTAAAGACTCTTTACGAAAGGAAAGCTTTTTTTAAACATACTTCTCCCTTTGACTCGAGTGATCGTCTGCATCAAAAAATCTGAGGCTAATATCTGTCGAGTTATGATCTTTCTTGCTCAGATGCACTGTGGACCAGGTAATAATTGTCAACACGATTAAAAATATTACAAACGATATTAACCACTGAGTCAGCCCGAAAACCATATTAAAAAGTGATTTTTAAAGTTTCGTCAATTCTTTTCTGTTTTCGTTATAATCTTATATATATTTACGCAGGAAGAAAGGAGATATTCAGCCATGAAACAAAACAATAATCTTAAAAAAATAATCGATGTATGTGTGTTTGATTGTTTATCATTTTCCATGCAGCGCCTCACATTGCAAAACGACAAACTATAAGACGTCAAAAGTGACATTTTGACACGACATTTTGACACTTAAATGACACGACTAAGAATTCTTGCGTGCCATTTCATTATTATTCACTTTATCCTAGCTGTGACGTGTAACGTATTTGTGAAACCCAAAAAATATTCCGAAACTAAGTTTAGCAAAAAATATATAGTGTAAAAAAACATTTTCTACTCTCTTCAACAGTTGTCAAACCATGCGTTTTCCCGCTTACTTTGATACTCATTTTAAGGCAGTTTATTAACTGTCAAGGAAAAAATTTAGTTTTCGAAATATTTTACAAGTGTGCTAAAGCGATTTGTAGTGTTATTTTTACAAAATATCTTTTTATTTAAAAATGGCACGTAAGAATTTTCAGCGTGTTATTTCTCGCTTCTGACGTCACGATTTTAATATGGTTGCGATGACTACTCAGGAACCTTAAATCAATAAATAGTCTGACAAAAAACTTGAAGATTGAGAAATTTATATGTGCATATTCATTTATATCGAAATACTTCTCTTTATGCTCTGCACATAAATATAAATAATATTAATAATATTAATAATATTAATAATATTAATAATAAATATATATATAAAAACTATTCTGCATTATATTAAAAAAATACAAATTTAAATTCAATGATACCCATGATAGATGAATATCAAAAATAAATATATATATATATAAATATATAAATAATAAAATATAAATAATATTTTATTCATTAACTTATTATAAACAAAGTTATTAAAAAAAGACATTCATGTTTAAATGTATTTTAAATCATTGAAAACATCAGTTTTTAAAAATGATTGATATTCATCTATTATGGGCATCATTGAATTTAAATTTGTATTTTTTTAATATAATGCAGAATAGTTTCTATGACTTACTGTGATTACATCAATGACATTGTGTAAATAATAATTATATTCATCCGCTATTATATCGCAAGCATAACGATACATCCAATATCATTGTATCGATTCCAATATCGTTGTATTGAGTAAATGCAATAATAAAATATTTAATGCTCGTTGTATCGATTTATGACGATACAACAAACATTAAAATATTTTATTATTGCATTTATTCGCGAGCAAAGGTTTTTTTTACCTGTAATATCTGTAATGACATCTGCTTCACAATTATATGAACTGCTTATAGCAATCTTGATGTCGGTAAATTTGTTATTTACTGTATTTATACATCATTAGTATTTTACTTTATTTTAAATATAAAAATATATAATAAAATGTAATTATAAATGAAACATACATAACAAGATTTTACGATAACACGTGAAAGAGCAAAAATAAACTGTCATAAGATTACACTCTTTAGAACTTTCTGCGCTGGAAACGAGACAAATATACATATGTATACATTAGAGAAGGGAAGAAAGCATGGAACCTGACACAGTGACGCCAGAATGGCCACTCTAACAACACGCAACCATGAATGGAGGGGGTAACGGACATATGAATCGCTCATATGATCGCTACCCCCTCCATTCACGGTTGCGTGTCGCTAGCGTAGGCATTCTGGTATCATTGATCTGACATCTGACATCTGACACGAGTGCAGAAAGTGTAAACAAGAGGAAACTGATCTGTATCTTGTTGTTTGCTCGATTTCTCTTCGTACGATTAACAAAACACGTTAAATTTTACGGCAATTGAAGCCGTTTTCATGCGTTTCTTATTGAAATAATGAAACGTCGATAGCAACTGCTCAACGAAATAATGCTCGTGATAGCCAGGATAATAACAACGTAACCTCTCTTTCTACTTGTATTTCTCTTCAACGCCGAATCTGCAAATTTGAGATTGCATTTCGATGTTTTCTTTCCGGTCGTCGATTCTTTTCCGCCGCATTTTTTACGATACGATGATCACGCAAGTATTATGTGCGGCGATTACATGTGTGGAGAATTCCAAGCTGTTTTGAGGAGCTCTTTAGCAAAAGGATACCGGGAAGGATGCCTGGGAGCTGCGCGAGTCTGATTAGATTAATCAGACGACGTGTCGTTCTTGGACTCATTTTTGCTCTATCACTGACGTATTGTGCCTTTTCGTTATTTCGAAATGAAAAGGTAAGTATATTCATATAACCGAAGCTGGATTAGCAGCTGATGAGTCAGTTAATATATTGTTTCATACAAATTTTATTATTGAAAGATGTGTCATGTTCTTCTTACAGAGAGATTCATTAATTTTAAACAGTAATCTTGATGATATGAATCTTATGATGCTGAATGATAATAATGAAGATCTGATGCCCGACGATAACATGCTTCCAGAAGAGCTAAGAGTGCCCAGTAAACCTTTGTCATGGCAAATGGAAATATCTGATCGAGCGGACAATACAGGAAATATGGATATGATTAAATATGGATATGATAATTTAAATGAGAACAATGCTTCTACTCAACCCTGTCGCAATTCGATTCAAGTGAGCACTTGTCTCAAATATCTAATTTATTTTGTTTACCTTGGTATAACAATATACATGTTGTCTTATAATATATGTTGTTTTATTAGGGAAAAGGTTTGATAGTAGATGAACATGGCATAGTATGTTCAAGATACGAAGTTCTATCAAATGGATGTTGTACAATGGAGCAGAAACAGGCTCCAAAGAATAAAGAGACTTCGTCTATAGTCAAAAGAAAGAGATACAGCTGCGAAACGTGCAATTCTCTAGGATGTTGTACTATTTATGAATATTGCGTCTCTTGTTGCCTGGATCCTGATAAGGTAGATACTTATCGATTTTATAATCTTCTTCTCAGAGTTTACAGTTATGTATATGAAAATATAAAAGACTATAGCTATAGGTTTAATGCTCAGGACAAAAAGTCCACGATATTAAAAAGTTTAAACTTATAACTAAAATAGATATAAATTTATTTCAGCAAATCTTACAAATGAGAGGCCGAAAGTTAGGGTCTGCAAGAATGCAAAAAGACGGAGGGAGGCTGCGTATACGTAATCAGGATCGCTTTCAGATTTGCTTGGCCGTCTGTCGCACTTCGAGTTTAAGCGTGCAACACGAAAACACTTATAAGGATCCCCTCGCGAAGCATTGTTACGTTCCCCAGCCGTTGAATTCTCAGCGACACCGCCGCAATTTTAATTCATTAAATAATAACGGCGATAGCCCCGCCGTTGTCATTACTTCTTCTTCTGTAGTGTTACTTACCCATCTTTCTCTTCCTGAATATTATACCGTATATTGTTTACTAAATGAATCTTATGTTAATCCCTTTCCTTCCATATTATTTATATCGAAACTATATTAACATTATTATTATTCCCGATTATTATCCCTGTTTTAAAATATAATAATTTAAACGCTAAACGTTTAAAAGGAAGATCGGAGGCCGCGTACAAGAGAAGATTTAAAGCGCCATATATCCGCATATGTTAGTTCTATACCAGGATATTTTTTCATCGCATATTCCAAGACCTCATTTCTGATGGTATCTTGAATTGGATCGTTCTATTGGACAAAAATACATTAGTTGTTAAAATTTGTCGGAATGGACGGAATAACGGAATGGAGCGTTACTTATTTGCGTACATCGAGCACATTACAATCCGCTGACGAATAGTGACAGGAAATGGCCCGTCTCGTCCTCTTGGATTTATTGATGCCAGATCCGTGAATGAGCAACGGATGGAAGAACACTGTGTCGCCGGTTTGCATCTCGAGATTAACCCATTCTTTGATTGAAGATAACTCCTTCGTAACAAGAAAGAGGGACAGAAATCATCATTTAACAAAACGGTAAAGTTAATATATAAGGTAATGAATAAAAGAAGATATCTTACTTCTATTCCGTGGTAAAATTTATTTATTGTACCATCCGAATTTAAAGGATAACTATGCTCGTACAGGCGATCCGCCCTGTGTGATGCAGGTGCTACGTAAAGACATCCGTTTTCTCTATCGCACGGTTCCATGGCTGTCCACGCGGCCACTATACGATCAGCTGGACGTATCGGCATGTAATACAGATCTTGATGCGGCGGATGTCTGCAGAAGCGCATTATTTATTTTATCAGCTATATATATATATATATATATATATATATATATATATATATATGAGAAGTATGCTGTTAATATTAACTTCAAGGATTTTCATACGATCACCTGGAACTACCGAATCCAATGTCGGGCGGCTTCGCGATGAGCATATTGTGTATCGCTAAAATGTTCGGTCCCGTAAAGCATTCGGCTACATCGAGGATATTCTTGTGCTCGATATAATGACGGAATATCGGGTCCTGATTTATATACTGTATCTTATTTACCGATTTCCTATCCTTCACATCATACATCACTAAAATTCCGTCTCGTGAAACTTTGTTTTCGATAATATCATCAAATCTGAAAAGAATAAGAAATAGAGACAGAAATTCAGCAAGAGACACATTTTCTGACATATGTCTTTAAAGTGAATCTTATGATTCTTTTTCGATAAACTAATATATCGCGCTTCGAGTTGATGTTATGTTGATGACGTGATTGATATCAAAGAAAGCTCATATTTGCAATTCCTATGTCGGCATTTCCGAGATTACCCATTTGAATATTCAGATATCAGTCATCTGTGATATCATAGTCTGTTTGCGGTATTTGCGTGAGCGTTAATATATCGTCAGCAAATTTACCAAAACATCGAGAATGTTACAGTAACATTGGATTATCAAGCTATATATTCGACGTAGTCGTTGAATCATCCACAAGAATTATTTTCAATTAATGTTTTCGTAGCAATTATAAATATATTTTCGCTTTGAAAGCTTTTTTAACATCTACATATCTACCCATGTTGAATAAATATTTTAGGCATTTATTAAAAGCTAGAACGATCAAAGAAAAAAAATAACACACACACACATACATATATGTATAGATTTAATTTCTAGTATATATATATGTATGTATGTTTCAATATACAGAGTGTGAGAGCAATCTCCCCCAAAAAAGCTTTTGTAGCTTACCTCGAGAACTTTTCAAAACTATAATAAAGTATTTTTTCATCAAGTATTTTTCGAGTATTTTTCGAGGCTTGAAATAATCTCTTAATTTTACATAAACCATAAAATATCTAGAAAAAAATATGTAATTATTAATTGCAAATTACATATTTTTTCTTCGAAATAATTGTGTGTTTTCTTTACATCAATTGATTCTTCTCGTTATTTTGTACATAAAAGTATTAAGATAAGATAATCGAAAAATGAATATTTTACTAGATATTTTATGGTTTACGTAAAATTAAGAGATTATTTCAAGCCTCATAACTCGAAAAGTATTCGATGAAAAAATACTTTATTATAGTTTTGAAAAGCTCTCGAGGTAAGCTATTAGAGCTTTTTTGGGGGAAGAGATTACCCTGTATATAAGGAAAATCTTTCATTATATACTATACGTAAATAAAGGATTTTTTCCCGAAAACCAACTCGTAAGATACACAGATGATTGATATCTCAATATTATTATAAACGGGTTATCTTTGAAATGCCACTATATAATAATTACAAATATAAACTATCTTTGATTATAATTCATCACACATAGACATATATACATATATATATATATATATATATATATATATATATATATATAATAAATTTTTTCCATATATAAATTCTCTATATAAATTTAATTTCCAACAATAAGTTTTTGAAGGGAATTTAGAAAGAGATCTTGTGATACCTTTTGTGGCATTCATCGATCACATCTTGTGGTATAAGGCCAGGAAATACTAAATATCCATTCTTTTCATAAAACAGTCTTTGTTTCATCGTAAGACGATTGGAGATATCTTTTGTGTAGCGCAAAGGTAATGAGACGTTCATTGTTCAGTTTTCTCTATTCAATATAATTGACTTGATGAGTTCTCTGACTTCTCTTTTCCTCACTGCTGCTATCCTGAAACATATAAAGTTTTTTTGCTTTGTATAATGAAGATCACATTTTTAAAAGAGAGATACACAATTGTTAAAAACTATTCATGATTAAATAGAGTATTTAATATTTTTCATTAAATAATACGAGAGAAAGAGAGCCTGATTAAAAAATACGTTTGCTTTGATATCATTCACAGTTGTATCATCGAAAATTGATCGATGCAGACAAAACTGTTTATAAAGCTATCATTTCAAATTTATTCTGTGTATGACACATTTTCAAAGAATAATATAAATAAAATGAATAATATAAATAAAAATAATATATAAATTTAACCTCCCTAAATTTATTATAAATTTATAAGTCTATCGATTATAAAAATTTATTTTAATTTTGTCAATACACGAAATCTTTTATCATATATTCTGCTTTTTAAATTGAAAAAATATACTTCATGGCTGCAGATCATGAAATATATATCAATAGTTGTGCTTGTCAGCTCAAATAAAACTTAAAATGTCGACATGCGATAAATTGCGATAAATTCTGGGGAAATATTCTTTTATTTATTTATACAATACACAATTTTATCTCTTTTGAAGGAATATAGCGAATTTTATTATTGATGTTCCGCCATCGACTTTGTTCGAAAAGGTGATCGGTATCTACGAGATACTGATACCAGGCTCGTAAAATGGGCCATAATGCTTAGGGGTGGATTTATAGGGATGATGGTAGAGTGTGGGCGAAACGTTATGAGATCGGGAGGAGGGGGAGCGAAACCGTTTCTGATGCAACCGGATTTTGCAGCGTGTCGAATTTGCACTCGATTCTATCACGCACCGCACTTATACCTGTCGAAACAGATTACACGCTGTCGATTTACCCTCGACACGTTTCCAAACGCGTGTTGATACCAGGCGGTAATCCAATAACTCGGTAGATTGACCCTTTACAGAGAGTAGAATATCACGTATGAATAATTATTGGATTTCTTGAGAATTGCGCCAGAGATGGAGATCGGAATAAATCAGAGGCGCTGATCAATTAAGAAAAAACTATTATCTGCAATATTCATGATACATTATAATATCTCGAAATAATAATCATTATCAAGGCAAAGAATATATTCCATATACAGGGTGTCCCTGAATTCAGTGTCAAAATTGATACAGTGGCTTTAGGACATAAAAACATATGTTCGAATTCGACTTTTAATGCTGCGAATGTCATTCGTAGAACTCGAAAATATTTTCGAAAATGCTCGAAACAATTTATTAATTCGTGCTAGAAAGTGTATCGAAGTCGAGGGAAGAATTTTTCAGCATCTTTTGTAAAGCTTTAAACAAAATGAAGAACACTAAACAACATTGATTTCAATTTGTATTGTCTTAAGAAAGCAACTTTATTACCTTATAATTCCAAAACCTGTTCGAATTCGAACATATGTTTACTAACATTTTCGATTTGTTTTCACGTCCTAAAGCCGCCGTATCGATTTTGGCATTGAATTCAGGAACACCTCGTATGTGAACAGAAAAAATGTGTATTTCTTCAGACTTAAAATTCAGGGAATGCAATCTTTTAATTGTTTATTTTAATTGCTGTCATTTCGAAAGGGTTGCGAGGAGAGCCGGCGATTCAAGAACGACCACGATTCTTGCTTGGCATCCCGGAAGCGCCGATTGCGCGCGTCGACGGACGGCGTCGCGACGCGCCGACGTGGTCGCTCGCGCCCGTTTCCTCTCTCTCTCTCTCGCTCGCTCGATCAGCACGTGGCATCAAAGAGAAGGATATACATCAGGGTGGTCGGTCTTCCCGGCCAAACGACGACGACCCTCGTTCCGTTGTCGTTCATCCGCGCGCGCGGATTCAACAGTTCACTCTCCGCGAATGACACCGTCATCACGAGGTAATTCAGGGTATTCAAGGACATCCGAGTATTTTGCCGCGCGATCGAGTAATCTCCTTGAGGCCCGAGTGTGCGAGATCTACGCTTGCTAAATTCCAAGTGAAGAGATCTTCATCGATCTCCTCCGGATTCTCGATCCTCGGCAGAGTAAATATAAAGATCAGTGGTTTTTGAGTTTATCTCCAGAGCGACTTTAAGATGGATACGTCGTTGGGTAAGCTTCAAGTGTCTTTCTCTATCTTGCTGAAAAAAATCAGGCTTCTTTCTGATTCTTTCCTAAACTCTTTCAAGTTATTGTTGTAATTTATTTATAAAAATTGTAATTTGTAATTGTAATTTATTTATAATTTATTTAATTTTTATATCAATTTTACGGAGGGGAGATATAAATCATGCGAGATTGCACGATGCATAAGCTTTATTTTTTTTAATTGCGTAACATGTTATTTATTCTGATATTCTATATAATTCAGTTTCGAGAAAATCGAAATCGCGATAAATTGATGGAATACCAAACATGCCACATAGTTTGGGAAATAAATGACATGAACGATCTAAACGGCGGCCTTGAAAAAAGAAAATTCTTACCTAATCTAACATCCGTTTTAACTCTCGGTAGTTTACCTCGTAAAAGTCAAATGTGTGCGGTATAACGGAAAATATATATTAATACATTTTGTGCGCGCGAGAACCGCTTCCATACGTCTCGGGGACGTATTTTTAGCGGAAGCCTACGGCATCGCACAGATTTATATACAGATTTATACACGTTAACGTGAACAATATAATCTTCCCGCAAAATCGGATCGCATGAAAAATTTAAGAGAGACCGATCGAATTGATCCCGCAGCTGTTCGCGACAAAAACCAATTGTGCGAACTTAACAGACTCGACTTTTTCGACTCGACGAAGCGCGTCTCGCGCGACATTTGCCATTTCACCTATAAAAGTCTGCCGCATTCGTCGAGAGAGAACGAACTTCTCTCCTCGCGGAAATAAAAGCTCTTCCCCGACGTATTCTGTTCTTGTTCGGCATGACGGGAATGATTAATTTTCGAATCGCCCTTCGACGGAAGTCCTCGCGCGATCTCCCTTCCCCTCCCCCCCTTCACCTCCCTCGTCGCCTCGTCTCTCATCCGTATCCGCAACCGCGAGAATAGAAACGAGTTTACGGAGGCAGGCAGACAAAATCGATATACATCGCGTTAATAATGAAGCGGCAAGGTCTATAACCTTCCGTGAGCGAATCGACCTTTCGAGGGGTGATATGCGAAGACACTCGCGTGTTCTTCTCCCTTTTGTCGCTCTCTCTACGCGTGGCATTCCCGCGAATTAATCCCCTCCTCCCGCGTCTTTGCGGCTTCCTTTTTTTATGTTTCGCGCGAAATTCCGGGTCCGCGAATATTCTGATCCCCGTGAGTCGCGATTGATGACAGCTCTCGTCCAACTTAGGTGAAAAATGTCGTCGGGACGACTGTGACTTCGCGCAGCAACATTGTAACACATTGCAATCTCATGTCTCAGGGGGTTAACTGTTATTATTGCAACATACACGCACGTGGAAGGATTAATATCGTGTATGCGACGCGCGATTAATTGCGAGATATAATTATACCGTCCCCCTTGATAGCGTCCGGACGACGCGTTACTCTTTGTATACCAAATGTTGTTACACATTATGTAATTTATCGAGGCAACAAGCGATCCGTGTTGTATCTGTGTTTTTTCATTAGCTTGAACAGCACGCATACACGTGGGCCCCGCCAATATGAATCCTTCCCGTCGTATAAATCCGATTCGGTATCGAATATTTGTCATTAATTTACTAGCAACGGTATTTGTAATGAAATTTGTAAAACAGTTGGCTCGATTATGTATTTTTTTTAAGCGTTTCAAGCGTTTTTAATCGAGCGATATTATTTGCATTACAGCTGTGTGAAATTATTACGTACGAGGATACGCCACATATACGAATAAAACGTAAATTTATATAACTAAAATATGAATGTCGGAAATTTTAATATCAGAAACTTCCACATTATTTCTTTTTAATAAACATTTTGCTTGTAATTTTCTCTTTTTTTCGTTAGAATTTTAAATTTCTCATGTTTACGTCTCGTATTAATTAGTGTCCCGAGACTTTACTAGTCTCCCTTTGATATATTGTCAATGTAAAATATAATATAGGAAACTTTCTCACGTTTCAAGGAGGGAGAAAAGAGGGAAATATGTTTATTCCACCGTTTATTCTGAATTCATCAAGGTCCGTTGAGATTTCGACCCATTAAATCGCCCTGCTTGATTAACGATGCTTCGTTAAGCAATCCTTCGTAACATTTACATTTGTCTGACAAGGAAAAAACGGTACATCCGGGTATATCAAATGTCATATTTTCTTTTTAGAAGGTGTAAATCGAAGCGCGATTTCGAGATCTCAGCGTGAGATAGATTAAAACGTTTACAATTAAGAACGTTCAAAAACTATTACACGAAACTCTGCAATTACAATGCAATTGCAATTAAGCTCGAGTAAAAACCTAAGCGTTACATTAATGGAATATTAAATATTCCGCATGCGCGCGTTCTGCAACAATTATTGCGCAAGATATTACCTCGAATAATTAAATTTCGAGAATAACAAACTTGTTACGAACAAATTTCCCATGTTCCCATATCATTTATATCAATCCTGAAGTATACATACCCACGTGCGACACACCTACAGCTGCACGTGATTTTAGACTAGAAAGGATTTAATTAGTTTGAAAAGAGCGATACCGCGAGAGGTTGCGGCGTATAAAATCCAATGCGGTTGAAAGATAGAGAAAGAGGATTCTATGAACGAGAAAAGCATAGAATTCCGGACTTGGCCGACATGCAGGTTCACTTGGCTAGACTCTCAGGCACCTTCGTTTGATAAAGGAACGACGCTCCGTCTCCGCCAAAACCGGTAAGAAAAATCTATCCGGTGGGACGTTCCTCTTTCGTACAATATTTCACCGATCGTCGCAAAATTGTTAACTTAGAAAAAAATGCGGGTTATATTTACGAGGACCGTTTCTATCCATAACGAATAGATAAATTTCGATTTGTATGCAAGAATGCGATTTCTCCCTTTGTTTTCCACCGTGGCATTTTATATTTTGAACAAGCTCGTGTCTGTAAACGCGCTCGAGGATATGTTCGCGCAATATCTATTTATTGTTGGAATATGCACGTTAAAGTGCATTCTTTCGCTCTTAGATTGCACCTAAATTTCATTTCGGGGGAATATCGCGGATTATTTTTTGTCACGCTTTTCAAAAGAAGCGAACAATCTTGTAATATTTCTTTCTTTCGCGAAAATGTACGTGTATGTACAAGCGTGTTTTAATTACCCTCCCTTTTTCTCTCTCCATTTTTTAATAAAAACACATTGCTCTCGTATCTTGAATCGCGTTGCTCTCGTATTGCTGGCAAAAGTTGTTAGCATGAATCCTTGTCATATTGACTTTTCGCTCGGAATATCTCAGCCGATGATGTAAATTCTTCCCTTTGAATCGTCTCGCAATCGCTAGCGAAATGGAAATACCGCAAATGAAACTTTACATTAAATTTCTCTCGCTAAATGCATTTAAATACAGCTTTACAGCGTTTACATTCTGGAATTATGGGTTACCATTGACCACCTTGTGCCTCGCAAAATCAGATCATTTTAGAATATGCGTTGTGCAACTATTTATTCACGGTTGCCTCTCGTATATTCATTCCATTGTACGATTAATGCAACGTCATGGCTAAGTTAATCGACTCTAAATTTTGAATTGTCTAGATTTATTTTTATCCTTTGCGACTCCATCAAATCGGTAGTATATTAAAGAGAAATTGTGCAAATGTAATTTCCAAGATGCTGGACGGCGACGATTTTGCAGAGAGAATTGCAAATTCGATATTGAGTAAATGAATTAAATGTCTATAATACATTTCTCTCATCTCTTATTTTCTCGAGACACGAAATATATATATACAGATAATAACATAATAATCGCACTATCGAGATTAATGGACGGATAAGATTTTATTCTCCGCGATATAACGCACTTAGGAATGATTGAAATATTAATAGCATGGAAAGAGATTGCGTGTCAAGGTATCGTGTCGGGCTTGTGCCGCCCTGGGCCAAGGTCTGCCATATATTTTTTCCCGAATGACCGACGTTTTCGAAGCAGTTTCCTCCGCGTATTTCACGGAGAGCACACGCGAGAGAGTGAGTTTGTTCCACAAACACTCGCGAGCGGCCCGACAAATAACTCGCGCGTCGATTCACGTCACTCGGCCGGATCCCCGTACTTTAAACCGCGTTACGTCGTATTTATCCACGCGATATTCCATTTCGCGAACTACAAACCGCAAAGATCCTATTCGCGAGATGCGCATGCTATGAGGAACTTTCCAGTTGCCAATGCGAAATGCGATTCAAGGCGGAATTTCTTACGGATGACATATTCCCATCTCAACGCGAGATACTTGACAGTCTTCGCCGCGAATCAACTCAGAATCAACCATTCGCTTCTTCTCATGCGTTAATTGCTCCAATAGCGTGCTCCATATACCTAGGAAATGATATTATAAATGCATACGCGCGTGAATGGTATTTAGATAATTATTATTGTATATTTGACGGAATATTATTTGTATTGAGATGCAAATCCCGAGGAAATCTCGCGTTGTTGTTATCGAGTCGACGCAAAGAAATCGGCGATATTATAAATGCATACGCGCGTGAATGATATTTAGATAATTATTATTGTATATTTGACGGAATATTGTTTGTATTGAGATACAAATACCGAGGAAATCTCGCGTTGTTATCGGGTCGACGCAAAGAAGTCGGCGATACGTCGATGTGTACCTTGGGAGAAGCGTGCCAAGGTCACCGTGGTCGGCGGAGAACACTTTCCGGAGCCGTGTCGTCTGGTCGCATCACCGGATCCAACTTCGATCCTCTCGATTGGATTGTTTTCTAACGCAGAATTTCTTCCTCCTTCGCCCGGATCGGAAACCGGAGTAGATTGCACGGCCAAGCGAGATAAAGGCAGGTCAAAAGGAGTACGGTGTATCCTTCTTTATGGCTGACTTTACAAAACTAGGACACGTAGAATCGATATGTCAGTCGTCTCGTCCAGTTTCAATTCGGTATTCCGGATCAATACCGGCGGTTAGGTCGTGCAAACT